ATGGGACTCTCCTCCAATTCTGGCAGTAGAGGTGTGGCTCAAGTGATAAGAGCATCAACCTTGAGCGGGAAAAGCCAAGGGAACAGTGAGGCCCTGAATCAAACCTCAGTACCAGAAGAAGAAAAAAAGCCCAAACAACAACAACAATCCAAAACAAAACAAAAAAATAAAAACGCAGTCAGAGTCTCGTCCAACTTCTGACACCACAGCAGCTTGGGTGATTCTCTTCCCTTGGCGGGCCTTCCTATCCTCAAAAAGGAAAGATAGATCAGATGTCTGTAAGCTTCCTCCCAGCTCCAGATGCTGTGATTGCCTGGCTCTATTTTACAAATGCATGCACTTTTTATTTGTGACAAAACCCCCTACAGAAAAACAAAGTCGGTAATAAATTATGAAAACAATCAGGTGCCTGATCATTTGCACTTTCTGAGGGTGCTCAATGGAATAAATTCCACCCCTGTGTGCCGCCTGCCTCTTCAGGGTGATGGAAGCTTCGAGGCTGTCAGGGGAGCAAACCAAGCAGTCTCTCCCCATAATTGTATTGACAGGATATCAGCCGAGTCCCGATGGCAGGAAGGGTGCACCCTGACAGGTTTTGTGAAGGAGCCTTGAAGGCCATTGTTGCAGGATTCTATGTTGAGTCACAGGATTCGAAAGAAATGAGAGTCAAGAAGGGAAAGGCTTGGTTCTTTATTTAATTTTATTCTTCCAGAAAGTCACATTGGAGAAAAACTGGAAAATTGCAAAATAGCTGCGTACAACAGAGGAGAGGTCCTTGCTAATGAAAACATTTACAGCACTTTTTGTGGCTATCTTGATTCAATTAAATCTCATAACTTGGCTGGGTTTTAAATGAGGCATCTAGGTGCTGAGTGTTTGTGGTTGGGATTCTGCTTAGATGCCTGAGTTTTTTCATTTTTCCTTTGGTTAACTGTGGCATCTTGCAGACATGCTCTTGAATAACGGATGTCTACACGTCCTGGTAAATTCTATGGGTGGAAAACACCGATGTTGTGTTTGTTTGGTCTGTGTCTCTGCATTTTAAATGGAAAAATTGCTGATTCTATTCAGTGGGAAAAACAACCTGTGCAACAAGCTCCCCGTATGGTGAAAGAAGCCATTCTTTCTAAAGTGCTACATTCCTCCAACAGAGATGCATACCTCCAGGCACAGCCATCAACAAAACCAAAATACATTTCAGTTCCCATCATCCTCTGCAGACACACCCAGGGCCCAGGACTCCTGCCCTCTGCCACATACAATGAAGACACACATGCCAGCACACGACTTGAAAATTGGGACCAGTGAAACCAAGAAATTGCAATGAAGGATTCCACAGAACAACAGAAATTCCACTAATATCAAAAAAGGATTTCAAATGGAAACAAGAGGTTTTTTCCTTTGTTGCTGTTTTTGTTTTCTTTTCTTTTTGTCTTTGGGTAAAGGGAGGAACAGAAATGGAGGTACCAAAGGTGAACAAATGCAGCACTGATTGTCACTAGACACTGTGTTGAAAATTACCTCTACAACTCGTGGGTGGGGATGGGAGGGAAAAACTGGGAGAGAGAAAGTGAAGGGGTGACACTGTCCAAAAATACCTCGGGGCTGGGAAGATGGCTCAGTGGTAGAGCGCTTGCCTTGCATGCCTGAGGCCCTGGGTTCGATACCTCAGCACCACATAAGCAAAAAGAAAAAAGAAAAGCCGGAAGTGGCGGTCTAGCTCAAGTGGTAGAGCACTAGCCTTGAGCTGAAGAGCTGAGGGACAGCGCCCAGGCCCAGAGTTCAGGCCCATTACCGGACCCCCCCCCCCCCCAAAAAAAAGCAATACCTCAGGGCTGGGAAGGTGGCTCAGTGGTGGAGCGCTTGCCTTACATGCATGAGGCCCTGGGTTCGATTCCTCAGCACCACCTAAGCAGAAAAAGCTGGAAGTGGTGCAGTGGCTCAAGTGGTAGAGCATTAGCCTTGAGCTGAAGAGCTGAGGGACAGCGCCCAGGCCCAGAGTTTAGGCCCCACGACTGAGACAAAAAAAGAAAAAGAAAAAAAAAAAGAAATACATAGCTTATGTAACTGTAACCCCTTTGTTCATCACCATTATAACATCAATAAAAATTTTTGCTGGACGCCAGGCGCTGGTGGCTCATGCCTGTAATCCTAGCTACTCAGGAGGCTGAGATCTGAGGATCGCGGTTCAAAGCCAGCCCGGGCAGGAGAGACCGTGAGACTCCTATCTCCAATAAACCACCAGAAAACCGGAAGTGGCGCTGTAGCTCAAGTGGTAGAGCGCTCGCCTTGAGCTGAAGAGCTGAGGGACAACGCCCAGGCCCAGAGTTCAAGCCCCATGACCGACAGAAAAAAAAAAAAAAAAAATTTTTGCCGGGCACCAGTGGCTCATGCCTGTAATCCTAGCTACTCAGGAGGCTGAGATCTGAGGATCACAGTTCCAAGCCAGCCCGGGCAGGAAAGTCCGTGAAACTCTTATCTCCAATTAACCACCAGAAAACCAGAAGCGGCACTGTGGCTCCAGTGGTAGAGTGCTAGCTTGAGCTGAAGGGCTAAGGGACAGTGCCTAGGCCCAGAGTTCAAGACCTATGACTGACAACAAAAACAAAAAAATTTTAAGAACATAAGAAAAAATTAGAAATATTACCTGACTTACGTTACTATAACCCCTTTGTATGTCACTTTTATAATAACAATTTTAAAAAAGGATTTCCAGGGGCTGGGAAGGTGGCTCAGTGGTGGAGCGCTTGCCTTGCATGCCTGAGGCCCTGGGTTCCATTCCTCAGCACCACATAAGCAAAAAGAAAAAACCCAGAAGTGGTGCTGTGGCTCAAATGGTTGAGCGCTAGCCTTGAGCTGAAGAGCTGAGAGACAGCGCCCAGGCCCAGAGTTCAGGCCCCATGACTGGACCCAAAAAAAAAAAAAGGATTTCCATGCTCTAGAACCTTAATTATTTTCAATTTTCTCCCCTGCTTTCTTTAAAGCCCAAGCCCCCAATGTTCCCTAATTCAAATTTTTCTTACTATGTATAGGAATCTGCCTAAAATGGCAAAAATAATGGGCTGGGAGTGAACATAGTTTCTAACCTAGGATCTTCCACAACCTTAAGCCAGATGCTGGGCAGAGATGGGATTGATGCAGTCATTTGTAAAGAAGATTCTAGAAAAGGTTTCTCTCCCAACTTTTTTTTTTGGGGGGGGGAATCGAACCCAGGGCCTCATGCATGCAAGGCAAACGCGCTACCACTGAGCCACCTTCCCAGCCCTCTCCCAACTTTTATTTCAGTCAGAGGTGATGGAAGACATCAAAGGTGGACATCATCTGACCACTACAGAAAGAAAAGACTTTACAGAGTTCCAGGTGCTAAAAGGACAGTCGGAGGAACAGCTACTTCTTATCTACCCCTGAGAGAAGAGAATCCTGGTATCTTCACCAGAGAGCTCAGAGGTTGTGGACCTTTCCGCTTGCTGGGTCACTGGGGACCAGGGCAGTCCTGTAACCACCCAAAGACAGAATCCATTGGCAGATCAGTCCTGGCCTGTACATGTTCTGTCCCTAAGCTCCAGTTCAGGAATCATCCTGGAAGGTGTTCAGCTAGTGCCACCCAGAGGCCAAATGTTGTCCTTAGCACAGCCAGGAGGTGAATCAACAAGGAAAAAGAAAAAGGGGAGAAATTTGCACAAATATACCCCACATTTTACACATGAAGGCGTATACTAAAAAATATTGTGTGTGTGTGTGTGTGTGTGTGTGTGTGTGTGTGATGCCTTGTAATCCTAGCCATTCTGGGACTGAGGTCTGAGGGTTGTAATTCAAAGCCAGCCTGAGCAGAAAAGTCCATGAGACTCTTAAACCTCCAATTAATCACCCAAAAGCTGCAAGTGGAGCTATGGCTCAAGTGCTTGAGCACCATCCTTGAGAGGAAAAGCTAAGGGACAACTCACAGGCCCTGAGTTCAAGCCCAGTCCCAAGCACCCATGTGCGCTTGCACACACACACACACACACACACACACATCCCTAAGAGCAGTAGACTTAATTTCTCTCCTTATCCTGGAAGGAGGGGCAAGAACTTCCGTCTGAATGCTGAGAATGGCTCTCTCCGCCCTGAAGAGGTGCAGGACCTTGCTGCACTTTGGTGCCGCATTAGATGGAGGGGCGCTGGGCCGGGGTCCTTGGCAGTATCCCAGCCCTGAGGAGCTCAGGGAAGGCTGTGCTTTCCCGGAAGCCCATAAATTCGTTCAATTAACAAAAAGCCGATAGACGCCGCTAATTCCAGCGGCGGCACCAAAGCCACAACGAGAAGCACAACCTCCACCGCCTCTGGGCTCCTATCCGCTCCCGGGGCGGGATGAGTCCTCTGCCGAGTCCGCGGTGGCCACCTGTACCCCTCTCGCCCGAGTCCGGGGCACACCTGTACCCCTCTCGCCCGAGTCCGGGGCACACCTGTACCCCTCCCGCCCGAGTCCGGGGCACACCTGCCGCGCCCGGACAGAGCCGCATCTTTAGCCGCACAGTGCCCTCCAGCGGCACAAGACAGCGCTCCCCGGCCAGCTCCACCGCCAAACTTGGGCTGAGTTTTCCCCGTGGCCCCGGGAAGGTGTCGCGGCGCCAGACCGGCGCGGGAAACCAGACGCGGAGCTGAGGTGATCCAGCCGGAAACGCAGCTGCCCGGCCGGGGCCGCCGCCGGGGCCGCCGGGGCCGCCCGGGCCGGAGACGGGCGCTTTCCCCCTCGCTTCCCCCCTTCTTCCCCTTCCCCTCGGAAGCTGCAGCGGGAAGGGGTGCGGAGCGCTTGTAGAAGGCCGGCGGCGCCGGCGCACGGCCGCGGCCTCCGCCCGGGGCGCGGAGCGCGGGGCGCCAGCCGCCCGCCACCTCCCTACGGCTCGGCCCACTCGGGCTTCCCAGTCACCCCGTCGAAGTTTGAGAGAGCCCGGGGCAAAGCCACGCGTTCCCCCACGCTGCCGTGGGGCCCCCCGGACTGGGCCGGGAAGCCCGGGCACCGGCGGGCGCCTCACCTTGACGATGAGCGGGTTCTGAAACATGGAGTCGCGGACGACCCCCAGCCGCTCGTTCTCCATGCCCGGGCGGATGTCGGCCAGCGTCAGGGGCCGCCGAGGCGGCGGGCAGATCTGGCTGACGGTGCGGTGCATCGGCTCCTTCTTCTTCTTCCATCGCGTGAGGTCCTGGGCGGACGTGTCGGGCTCCGGCATCCCGGCGCGCTCGGGAAGGGCGCCCACCGACTCCACCCGGAGCGCTTTCCCGCGTCCCGCCCCGCTCGCCGGGCCGGACCAGCTGCGCGCGGGGGGTGCGCCCAGGCCGTGGGGCCCCTTCGCCGCGGGGCACGAGCGCTTCCCGGCGGCACCTCGATGCGCAGGGCCCTCCGGACGACACCCGGGGCTTCCCGGTGTCTGGGAAGGCATTCGGGGCCTGGAGCTGTGGATTGGGAGGGGCAAGAAAATCAGGACCACCCCTTGCCAAGGAATAGAATGGTCCGTCTCCTTGGCGACGAGACGCCAACAACGTGAACGCCGCACCTGAAACCCGCCGCGACCGAGGCCGGCCCGTTCGAATATTCTTAAGTAGGCGTGGAAGAACCCAAGAGTCGCAGCGACCCTGTGTTAAACGCCACGGGGGCCCGAAGCTGGGGGCTGACGCCACCGAGCTACTCAGGAGGCTGAGGTCTGAGGATCCCCGTTTGAAACCATCGCGCTGAGGAAAGTACGCGCGACTTTAATCTGCAACTCACCAGCAGAAAACGATGGCAGTGGAGGTGTGGCTCAAGTGGCAGAGCATCAACCAAGAGCGGGAGACCCAGGTACCAGCACACGTCCCCCTCTCACACACAAGCCACAAGGCCCTAGAGGACCATTAACAGTGACTTTCAAATCAAAGATGCCCTGTCATCAACCCCACTCCACACAAGGTCTGCTCCCTGAGCTGCACATATACATCCCAGATGTAGCACTAAACACTTCCAGGTGAAATAGAAGCATAACTCCCAGCCTGCTGCTGCTGTTAATCTAGGTATTCAATTCTCTCAAGCCAGTCACCCTCTTGCCTCCTCCTCCTCCTCCTTGTCCTCCTCTTCTTCCTCTTCATCTTCCTCCTCACAGTGCTCATCCCCAAAGCACTGAGGTGATTTATTGAATCAGAATACCCAGAAATGACATACTCTGAGAACTTTTATGTTGAAATATGTAAGCTCACAGAAAATTGAAAAGATGAAAACCCATCTAGAATCCACTAGTCTGTGTGTACTTGCCACATTTGCTCTTACACTTGAGTGGGCTCATGCTCAGGGACCTGGCATGCTTGTGTGCAGATGTGCACACGTGCACACACACACACACACAGCTGAGTTACTTGAAAACATCTCAAAGGATATCTCACCAGAAATACTTCATCATGTATCAAGAGCAATCTCCCACATTTAGAATATCCGTATTATTCAAGGATTTTAATGTGATGTAATTAGCACTTCCTAATATGCAGTCCATTTGCAAAATTGAGATTCTGTATTCTTTAAAAGCTTCCCACGTGATTAATACAGTGTTTTACAACCATTCACCTGGATAATATCCAATCTTCCTTCCAGTCTTAGTCTCCACGACTTCATTGCGAGGAACCTAAGTAACTCCATTTCACTTAAGACCCCCATCTCAGTTCTGCAACTTAACCCTTGACCCTCTTCAGCCCCAATGCTAGGAATTAGGACAGTAAGCTTTGCACAATTCTCGGAACCACAGATGGTGTTTTCTCCAGACAGTATGTCAAGGTATCTGAAATTCCAGAGCTGCCCCTCCTGGGGTCTGGTGACCTTTATCTAAACCAGACACCCTACAGTTTAGCACCTATCCTCTTGAGACTCCCCTGTGGTGCAAGCCAACCAGTTTAAACTACGTCAGCACCCTTGATCTAACCAACAACTTGTTTCTGTCCTTTCCCACTTTGTAGTGCACCAATCATACTATAGAGTTGTTTTATGATTTTTCCCGCGGTTTGTAGTCATTTGTTACAAGAAGTTATGATGTATGCAAAGCCCCTGTCTTCCCTAAAAAATGTATAAAAAGTGCTGGAACCCTGGGCTCGGGTCCTCTCAGCATTGTGGGCTGCTGGCATGTACTGGGGGGGGGGGGTGGAACCAAGCTCAAGCTTGCAATAAAGACTCCTTTGCTTTTACATTGGTGACGGTCTCTGGTGGTCTTTTGGGTAAGGATTTCCGAATTCGGCTTTACAATTGTCCACCACTAGCATTTTCATTGAACACATAAAAGACTCTTACACACCACTCTGGGTTCACCAGAGAGCAAGCTGTGCTGAAAACTAATCTGGACTTTGAAGCTTTATGTTCTAACAGAGAGCAACATCAACTCCTCATTAACTAAATACATCAGGCAGATTTCCAACTGTTCATCCCAGATCAGAAGCTGCCCTTGTGTAGTAGTGTGAGTGTGCTGGTGTGTGGGTGTGGGTGCCCATGTGCTTGTGTATGTATGCCCATATGCTTGAGTATGTTTGTTGGTTTTCCAGGTTGCCTGATATCTAGACTTTGACACATGTATATGTTGATGACTTTTCTTTATATTTGGGGGACAGTGGTGGGGTTGTGGGATTTGAACCAGTGCCTAGGTGCTATCCCTGAACTGTTCGCTGAAGGCTAATGCTCTACCACTTTTTTTTTTTTTGTCGGTCGTGGGACTTGAACTCTGGGCCTGAGCACTGTCCCTCAAGCTCTTCAGCTTAAGGTGAGTGCTCTACCACTTGAGCTATAGCACCACTTCCGGTTTTCTGGTGGTTTATTGGAGATAAGAGTCTCACGGACTTTCCTGCCTGGTCTGGCTTTGAACCGCAATCCTCAGATCTCAGCCTCCTGAGTAGCTAGGATTACAGGCGTGAGCCACTGGCGCCCGGCTGCTCTACAACTTTGAACCACAGCTCCACTTCCAGGTTTTAGGTGGTTAATTGGAGATAAGTCTCCCAGCTTCCCTGTCTGGGTTATCTTCCAACTGCAATCCTCAAATTTCAGCCTCTTGAGTAACTAGGATTACTGGTGCCCAGCGTTTGAGGGCTTTTAATAAAGCTAATTTGCAGTTCACATGGAGAATGTCAGGGTGGTGCGATGAAAAGCAGGCTAGTGGAGGGTAAGAGCCTGGACCAGGTTAGTCAACTTCGACATGTTACCCTAGACCTCACTTCTCTCATTACAAGATTGGAGTAATAAATACATCACTGCCTTTTAAAAAAAGAAATATAGGGCTGGGAAGGTGGCTCAGTGGTAGAGTGCTTGCCTTGCATGCCTGAGGCCCTGGGTTCGATACCTCAGCACCACATAAGCAAAAAGAAAAAAGCTGGAAGTGGCACTGTAACTCAAGTGGTAGAGCACTAGCCTTGAGCTGAAGGGCTGAGGGACAGCGCCCAGGCCCAGAGTTCCGGCCCCACAACCAGACCCAAAAAAAAAAAAAGAAAGAAATATATAAAGAAACTGAATTAGAGTTTTGAATTCTCAAGGTCCAAAAGCCAGGACTTTCACATGTCAGGTTCAGCCACTCACCTTCATATACTTTGTGTATGGAGATACATAGCCATGAGAAAACAGTGCTTCGCTTCACCTTTAGTCATCATTTGGGGCACAGACATAAGCTGTATTTGTTTTTATTTGTTTGTGTGTGTGGGTGTGTGTGTGCCAGTCCTGGGGCTTGAACTCAAGCCTGGGCACTCTCCCTGAGCTTTTTGCTCAAGGTGAGCACTATACCACTTGAACCACAGCTCCACTTCTGGCTCTTTGGTAGTTAATTGGAGATAGTCTCAGAGACTTTCTTGTATAGACTGGCTTCAAACTGTGGTCCTCAGATCTCAGCCATCTGAATTGCTAGGATTTACAGGTGTAACCACCAGCACCCAGCTAAAAGCAATTTTTTTTTTTTTTTTTTTTTGTCGGTCGTGGGGCTTGAACTCTGGGCCTGGGCGCTGTCCCTCAGCTCTTCAGCTCAAGGCGAGCGCTGTACCACTTGAGCTACAGCGCCACTTCCGGTTTTCTGGTGGTTTATTGGAGATAGGAGTCTCATGGTCTCTCCTGCCCGGGCTGGCTTTGAACCGCGGTCCTCAGATCTCAGCCTCCTGAGTAGCTAGGATTACAGACGTGAGCCACCAGCGCCCGGCTCTAAAAGCAATTTTTATGTACCCATTACAATACCTACAACAGAAAATGGTAAGAAGAGAAAATTTGCTCCCATTTGTGCTTATGTTCACTATGTAAAATGTATGAAAGTTTGGATGATATCCATGTATATATACACACAAATACATATATATATAATGACCTTGATTTGATTACCTGATTATAGCATTACTTTATATACTTTTTGGCAGTACTGGTGATTGAATTCAGGGTTTCAAGCTTGCTCACCTGACTCTTTACCACTTAAGCTATGCCTCCACCCCTATCTTCTAGTTAGTTTGGAGATGGGGTCTCAAGGATTCCTGCCTGTGGTGGCTTTGAAGCACCAGACTTCCCTGAGTAGCTAGGATTACAGGCATGGGCCAATGGCGACTGGCCATTGTTCTATTTTCATAGTCAAGAACAATCTGTTTAGACTGTATTCATCCTCTTTCATCCACAGTTCTATTTTCTTGCTTGCTTGCTTGCTTGCTTGCTTTCTCTCTCTCTGTCTCTCCTCTCTCTCTCTTTCTGCCAGTCTTGGGACTTGAACTAAGGGCCTGGGCACTGTCCCCGAGTTGGTTTTTTTTTTGGGGGGGGGATCTGGTTGTGGGGCCTGAACTCTGGGCCTGGGCGCTGTCCCTCAGCTCTTCAGCTCAAGGCTAGCCCTCTACCACTTGAGCCACAGTGCTACTTCCGGCTTTTTTCTTTTTGCTTATGTGGTGCTGAGGAATCGAACCCAGGGCCTCATGCATGCAAGGCAAACGCTCTACCACTGAGCCACCTTCCCAGCCCCTCCCCGAATTTTTGTTGTTGTTGTTGTTGTTGATCATGGGGCCTGAACTCTGGGCCTGGGTGCTGTCCCTCAGCTCTTCAGCTCAAGGTTAGTGCTCTACCACTTGAGCCACAGTGCTACTTCCGGCTTTTTCTGCTTATGTGGTGCTTAGGAATCGAACCCAGGTCTTTATGAATGCACTACCGCTAAGCCACCTTCCCAGCCCCGTCCTAATCTTAGGGAGAGACCCTGTAACCTATCTATCCCGAGTACTAGAACGCAGCCACGCAACTACGCATGCGCACTCATCAGTTCGGGCGGCCGCGGTGTTGCTATGGCACCGTGACGCCAAGGGCACCGGAAGCGACGCACAACGACTTCCGCTTCCACAGCGGCTGCACTTCCGGGTTCGGGGGCAGGTGGCGACGTTTTCAAGGGGTAAGTAGGAAGCGTCTTGGCTAGTAACTTGCGCCTGAGTGAGCCGCGCGGCGGGCGGCGTCGCCCTCGCCCTCCGGAGGCCCGCGTTGGCGCAGCGGTGCTGGGGGCCGCCCCGGGCCCCTCGCGCGGACTCTCGGCTCCCAAGCGGCGGCCCGGAGCGGAGCCGGGTCCGTGTCGCCCTCGGGAGAATCGGGCACCAGACCCGGGCACCGCCCGAATGAGCGGGGTGCGCGCGTGCGGCCGGTTCGCCGGGTGAGCGTGGGCCCCCGTCCGGGGCACGCGACCGGGGAGGGGTTCTCGGGGACCAACGCTAGCTGTGAAGGCCGGGCCGCGAGCCCCGCGGGAGCTGGCGACGGCCCCTGGAGAAGGCCGGGGCGCGGAGCGGCGGCTCGAAGGAGCGCCGCCGCGGCTGGACGGGGCGCCCGGGCAAAGCCCTGGAGAAGGGGCGGGGGGTCTGAACCCAGACCCGGGGCCGCGGGGGCCGAGGTAGGCGCGGCCGGGCGCAGCCGGGAAGACGAGGAGCCTCGTGGGTTGCGCTGGGTTGCGTTTTTTCCCCTGGAGCTTGAACTCAAGGCCTGGGTGCGGTCCTTGAGCTAAATTTTAGCTCAAGGCTAGCCCTACCGTCTTAGCCCTAGCTCCACTTCTTTTTTGTGGATTAATTGGAGGTAAGAATCTCACAGCCTTCGCTGCTGCGAGGGCTGGCTTCAAACCCTCAGATCTCTGCTTACTGAGTAGCTGGGATTCCTGGCGTGTTTAAGCCCCGGGGCTTAAACAACCATTGTTTACTTAAATTATACTTGGGTTTAAAGCTACCTGAGAAGCGGGGTTTGCTGTGTTAGTATATCCTTGGGGGAAGGGGCCTTTCTCGGTGTAGCAGGAAAAACAACCTTGAAGTAGAGACTACCCAGCCAAATTCCTGAGGTGGGAGGCAGCGGAGATCCTTCCGGTAGAAGTGAAGGAAGGATAGGCCCCAGGCATGTTGAGGAACCTGGGCAAGGTGCGGAGCGACCGAGCCCAATTGGAAGAGAGAGGGTTAAGGCTGGGAGAGTGGCTCCGTGGTGGAGCGCTTGCCTCGCACGCCTGAGGCCTTGGGTTTGATTCCTCAACACCACATAAAACGGAAAAAGCCCGAAGTAGTGCTGTGGCTCAAGTGGAAGAGCGCTAGCCTTGAGCTGAAGAGCTGAGGGACAGCGCCCAGGCCCAGAGTTCAAGCCCCACGACTGGCAAAAAAAATAAAAATAAAAAGAAGGAAAAGAAGAAAAGAGAGGGTCAGAGATGAGGTAGGAGGAGGATAGAGCCCAAGGGTATAGGGTAATACTGTTCTCTATGAATTTTTTTTTCCCATCATGAGACCAGAGGAAGTAGACTACAGTGAGCCTCTTATCTATTTTAAATAATACAAAATTTATAATCATGACTCCAGGCTTGTCATTTTTCATACAGTTTGATTTTGCTGTGATATTCCCCCCATAGGCTAATGTTTAAAATGCAAAAATAAACCACTGTTGTCACATTTCCCTAAAGGAATAGAATGGAAGGAAAACCAAGCACATTTGAAATCCACACTTCAGTATCAGGCAAGAAAAAGAAGTATTCTGTATATAAGGAAAAAGCCCAGAAATGGGGTCAGGAAAGTTTCTGCGACTTCTCTGTAGCAAGTGACCAGCCTCAGGTAACTAAGAAGAAGAAGAGGAGAAAGGATTTCCAGCAGCTCATGTCCCCTTTAGAAAAGTCAGAACTGTGTGATGAGACTGAAAAGGCTACTTTGATACACAAAAAGAAGAAAAAGAGACAAAACATTGTTTGGGGAGTCGAGGAAACTGGTGTCGTGCGAGTCCTTGTGGATAAAGAAAACATTGAGTACATGCCAAAGAATTTTAGAAAGAACATGGATGTGGTTTATGTTGCAATGAGCGAGGAACAAAAATTAGCAAAAGCAGATAAAACAGGTAAACTGAATACAGTTGCTAAGATGCATAAAAAAGCATCAAAAGAACTTTGTAAAAAAGCTAAGAAGAAAACAATTAAGACCCATGAGGGGAAGGTTGCATCCTGTGACGTTATACAGGAAAGCCAGAAGGCAAGCGATGCCCTACCCCCGTCAGACTCACACACACAGCAGTCCTTGCCTTCTGTGGATCTCCAAGGCAAAAACACAGATCTGCCAATGTCTCCTAAGAAAAACAAGTCTAAGAAAAAAAAGAAAAAAGGGTCTGCTAACCAGGAATTGGAGACCATGGCCATGCCTGAAAGTCTTCATCTCACCCCGTCTGAAGGATCCCGGGTGGTTAGCAAGGTTAGGACTGAGGAAGGAGGTAATGTATCTGAAAAGGCTAAAGGATCCCACAGCATGAAAAAAAAATCCAAGAAAAGGGAGCGGGTGCTAGCCGAAAGCACCCCAGCGACTGGTGATGAGGTCTCATTGCCTAGTATAAACACGGAGAACACACTCTCTGACTCTGCAGCGGGTGAGGGGGTCTTGATGGAAGAAGATGTGAACCCCAGGCCGCCGAAGAAGACCAAGGCCTCCCGCGCCAGTTCAAGAGAGAGGCGTGTGGAAGAGGTACAAAGGTAATTTATAATTTCTATTGGCTTCAGTATAACTTTCTGTTCTTTTTCTCAGCACATATTAACTGGCAAAAATCAGAGACAGTCACACATGCAGGATAATGCATGAAAGGATCCATCACATCATCCCAGGGAACACAGAGGCAGGCAGGCACAGGAGAAAGATGACAAGGTTTTTTAGAGCAGCCATATTTCTCCCGGAGAGAGAACATGTGGAGACCTTCACTATCTAGGTAGCAGCAAGGTGGGGGGGGGGGGGGAGGGAGGGATAGGAAGTGAGGTAGATGGGAGTTCTGGTTGGTCTGGGCGGAAAGAGGGAGGGGCCAGGTGTATTTCAAGAAATCCAGGGCAGGGAGGAGCTCAACTCTGGGTGGAGCTGAGGACCAAGGTGGGTAAGGCTTGCATTGCACACATTTAATCCAGTGAACTTGGCCCAGCCTAGTCCCAAAGTCTCTTAGTTATGTCTATGTGCTTATATAAAAAGAAGCAAGGATTGAATACATCAGACTTACAATTCTGCAGATCAGCAAAACAAAAAAACCTTAAGATTCTCACTAACTTAGGGAATTTAGATAACATTCACATATATACCATTTAAGTATACTGCCTGATGAATTAATAAAAGGGCTTTTTAAAATTTTGGTAGTACTGCATGGGATTTGAACTCAGAGCCTCACGCTTGTTAGGCTGGTGTTTCACTATACTTATGATGCAGTTATTTTTCAGGTAGGGTCTCTCAGTTTTGTTCCAGGAGCATCCTCAGATCACAGTCCTCCTAGATATGCTTTCCACATATCTGTGTTACAGGCATGTGTGACATGGTGTTTATTTGGTGAAATGGGGTCTTCCTAACCTTTGCCCAGGCTGGCCCCAAACCATGATCTTTCTGACCTCTGCCTCCATATTAGCTGGGATTACAAGAATGCATGTTTCAGGATCTGCTTTTTCACTTTGTCTTGTAGTTCTTAGGATTCAAATTTTTCTTCCATTTTTGCTCAGTGATATCCTTAAAGTTAAGTGGAGGAGCCCCTTTAGAGAGGTCACTGATTGAAGCTATGGGTGATTTACATTGTCCTCTATGCTAGGTTATTGGGGGGACATTTTGAGAACACTTATCACAAGATAGGAGTGTAGTTCCTAACTTCCTTGGGCAGTATGCCCTCTGAAAGGTGTTAACTGTTAACCTGTCTGAGGCCTTTAACCAATAGGCCTGAACATCCTATGAGCAGATTTAGACCAATGGCAGAGTTTGTGAGAAACTGGGATGGGTACATAAGAAACAGCAAAGGAAAGGGGAAGCCTCTGGTATTAGCCGCAAAAATAATTGTTACTATGTTAGCTCTAGATGGCGCTTTAATGAAGTAGTTGGTTGTTTTCTAAAACTTGACTATCTCTTGCTGGGAATCAGAGGGCTTCACTTGGACAGTTACTATCTAAATCCAGAAAGACTAGAACAGTTGCACAGAGAGATAAAAATGTAGAAGTGGAGCAAGGCTTTGGACTTCACGTTACTGTCTAGATCGCGTGGGGGATGCATGTGCACACGTGTGTGTGTGTGTGTGTGTGTGTGTTGTGTGTGTGTGTGTGTGTGTGTGTGTAGGAATGCTTGTGCATGCATGTGTGAGCATACAAATGTATATATATATATATATACAAGTAACATAAGTTTCAATCCAGAGGTTGAAAATCATAGACTGAAAACAAGACCAAGGTCCTGTCTAGTTTAAGTGCTGTTGTAGACTAAGTGAGAGCCAGGAAGGGCTTAAAAGTTACCAGATCCGAGTGATGGTTAATGTTAACCTAGTTTTTCTTCTTAGATTAGAGCGTACCAGTGAAGAAGAAAGCAATTTGGAACGGTCTGGGGATTCGGCAACAAGACACTTAGCCGAAGATTTTGAGGACTCAGAAGTGGACTTGGACTCTGCTGTGAGACAGCTTCAAGAGTTCATTCCTGACATAAGCGAAAGGGCAGCCACCACAATTAAGCGGATGTATCGGGATGACCTGGGGCGGTTTAGAGAGTTTAAAGCCCAAGGTGAGCCACTGGCAACGCAGTGGTCCTTGCACTTTGCTGGCTGCTTTTCTAAATGACTTAGGCTGGGGAAGCAGCCTTGAGCTCCTCCTTTTTTTTTTTGGGGGGGGGGGAGGGGTCCGATCGTGGGGCCTGAACTCTGGGCCTGGGCTCTGTCCCTCAGCTCTTCAGCTCAAGGCTAGCACTCCACCACTTGAAACACAGCCCACTTCTGGCTTTTTTCTTTTTGCTTATGTGGTGCTGAGGAATCGAACCCAGGGCCTCAGGCATGCAAGGCAAGTGCTCTACCACTGAGCCACCTTCCCAGCCCCAGCTCCTCCTTTCAGAGTTGTTACCTATGTGAGGAAAAGGGTCCTGAACTAAGGACCTTATGCCTTACAAGGTAGGCACCCTTAACCACTGAGCCACACCTCCAGGCTGAAAAGGATAAAAAAGTAAAAGTATAATCTAAGGGCTCAGGTGAGCAATGGTCCCTTAGATGAGGAGTGGCTTCTTTTTTTCAAGGTATACATTTGAGGGTGAGTATATATCATGGGTATGATCCACTTGATCCTCTGTTTTACTGAGTTAGAAAAACCACCCAAAAAGCTCATTGGATTAAAAAGTAAGCCATAAATTTGAAGCTGTGTAAACAGTGAGCAGTGTTTACTGAATATCTGTTGTGTGGGGCCTAATACTACTGATTGTTAGAAAAAGTGAAAGGGCTGGGTGCTGGTGCTCATGCCTGTAATCCTAACTACTCAAGAGGCTGAGGTACAGGGATCATGGTCTATGAGACTTGTCTAATTAAATACCAAAAATCTGGAAATGGAGGTGTGCCTCAACTAGTAGAACTCGAGCTGTGAATGAAAAAGCTAAAGGACAGCACCCAGTTCCTGAGTTCAAACCCCAGTACTGGTGAACATGCACAAGTGTGTGTGGGCACACACACAAAATTTTTTTTCTTTTTCTTTTTAAAAATTTTCTTTAAGTAGTTGTACAAAGAAGTTCCCATCCTACAAAACAGTATATGAGTACAAAGTGTCTGACAACATTGTCATCCATCTCTTCTAACCCATCCCTTCTCTCACTTCTTTTCTTTAATTGAGATTAGGTGATTCCATAAATTTCACATATTTCATAGTCTTGTGGAATAGTGATACTTAGTTAAAATCACAAACACACAGAAAATTAAAAGTCCATCTTCCCTCAGTTTAGGGAGCTAATCAATTAGTTCAGAAGCAAAGTGAGCCAAGTGCCGGTGGTTCACACCTATAATCCTAGCTACTCAGGAAGCTAAGATCTGAGGATCATGGTTCAAAGCCAGCCCAGGCAGGAAAGTCCGAAAGATTCTAATCTCCAATAAACCACTCAAAACCAGAAGTGGTGCTGTGGCTCAAGTGGTAGAGTGCTCACCTTGAGCTGAAGAGCTGAGGGATAGAGCCCAGGCCCAAAATTCAAGTCCCAGGACCGACCAAAAAATGAACCCATAAAGTGATATTTTAGTTACATCTCATAAACTTATGTTTCAGTTTTTACCACCACAGAAGAGAACAATATTCAACAGGTGGTTCTCAGAGAAGAAGCTAATATAAAGTGAAGTAGCATGTGGTTCCTATGCATAGGAACCTGTGACATTCTGCCTGCTTATGCCAGCCTATGCAGAATACTACAACTGCACAGGGAAGAATTAACTATCAAAAAGCCAGAAGTGGCCCCGTGGCTCACATGGTAGAGTGCTAGCTATGAGCATGAAAGGTCAAGAACAGCACTGAGGCCCTGTGTTTAATCGTCAGGACTGGCACACACACATACAAAAGACTTTGAAAAAGTTGGGCTGGGAAGGTGGCTCAGTGATAGAGCGCTTGCCTTGAATGCCTGAGGCCCTGGGTTTGATTCCTCAGCACCACATAAGCAAAAAGAAAAAAGCCAGAAGTGGTACTGTAGCTCAAGTGGTAGAGCGCTAGCCTTGAGCTGAAGAGCTGAGGGACAGTGCCCAGGCCCCACAACCGGACCAAAAAAAAAAAAAGACTTTGAAAAAGTGATCAGTGAGGCAGGAAAGATCCCTGTTGGCAGTGGGGGATTGTAGGAGAAGAGGCCTGGCTTGGCAGAAGTCTAATCAAAAAGGTGGGACTCTGCAAGTAGGGTCTGGGGCTCCAATGTCAAGTGCACCAGCACGGCTGCTCCTGGCAGATGGGTGCCAGCCAGTGCTGGTATGCTGGAAGAAGTAGGTTTGCTTTTGTCTGTTATTGACAACACATACTTTCTCTTCTCCCCTTCAATCCTAGGTGTTGCGATTAGATTTGGCAAGTTTTCTGCTAGGGAAAATAAGCAGATAGAGAAAAACGTACAAGACTTCCTAGCGCTGACAGGAATTGAGAGTGCAGACAAGCTACTGCACACAGACAGATATCCAGAGGAAAAGTCTACAATCACCAACTTAAAGAGAAAGCATGCATTCAGGGTGCACATTGGTAAGTTCAGAAGTGTTTACTCTGGCTTTCAACCTTAACCAAGATTACTCTTGGTGAGTAAGAATTTCACATGGCTGACTGACCCTCCCGGCCCTGCGGTGCCTGGGACCAGAGCCTGTGCTCAGTAGATCCATTGCCAGGCTAACCTTTTGGGCCTTTGGACCCTGTCTTTATCTCCCAGATGGAGAGCTTGTACAGATTTTATAACAAAACTCAAGCACATTTGTCTACTTAGAAATAATTATGGCTTTGGTTTTGTCCTATTCTCTATTGCAGCTTTTTTTTTTTTTTGGTCTAACCTGGGGCTTGAACTCAGGGCCTGGGCACTGTCCTTGGGCTCTTTTGCTCAAGGCTAGCACTCTACCACTTTGAGCCACAGCTCTACTTTTTGGTAGTTAATTGGAGATAAGAGTCTCATGAACTTCCCTGCCCAGGCTGGCTTCAAACCACAACCTTCAGATCTCAGCCTCCTGAGTAGCTAGGATGACAGGCTTCTTTGCTTTTCTCTGGAATTTGAATCTGGGTCATTCCCAAGTATTCTCTAGATGGTAAACCCTGCAGGAGAACAAGCACATCTGTACAGAAGGAAAAGTAAGAAAAGCTTACATCGGAAAAACCTGTTTTTCACCTTGTGGAGAATTGGTGACACATGGCCCTAATATTACTGTTCCTTTTTTTTTTCCTTTCTTTTTTGTTTTTTTGTCGGTCACGGGGCTTCAACTCTGGGCCTGGGTGCTGTCTCTCAGCTCTTCAAGGCTAGTGCTCTACCACTTGAGCCACTGTGCCACTTCCAGCTTTTTCTGTTTGTGAGGTGCTGAGGAATCGAACCCAGGGCCTCATACATGTGAGCCACTGTGCCACTTCCAGCTTTTTCTGTTTGTGAGGTGCTGAGGAATCCAACCCAGGGCCTCATACATGTGAGCCACTGTGCCACTTCCAGCTTTTTCTGTTTGTGAGGTGCTGAGGAATCCAACCCAGGGCCTCATACATGTGAGGCAAGCACGCCACTGAGCCACCTTCCCTACCCTGTTCCCTTTTTCTTGTGGTCAGTTTCCTTTGTGAGGATCTTTGCCACAGACAGAGTAGACCTCAGAAGACACTAGAGCCTGCAGGCCCTGAGTATGTGCTTTGCTAAGTTCTCCAAAGTTGATCAGATCCATCAGCTGAGGGGTGTGTGTAGGACATGGGAAAGGTAGCCTTAGCATGCAGGACAGACTATGGGAATGCAAACATGTCTCATGCCAGCTACCTCATGTACCTCTGACTCTTCCATCTTCTGACTATAGGGAAGGACATTGCCCGGCCTTGGAAACTTGTGTACTATCGAGCAAAGAAAATATTTGATGTCAATAATTACAAAGGCAGGTAAGGAAAAGGCTTTAAGTTGAGCATTGTCTACTTGTCTGTAGTCTCTGCCAGTGTTCTGAAACAAAATATGTACCGCACTAGATGAGAGGTAAAAATCATGAAGCTTCTTATGTTGAAACCAGACTCTGGATTTGTAACATGTGTGTCTTCAAGGCTCATTACAATTTCTTCCTCTATAGTAAGCCTTTTAGGATCTTCTCATTCTTAAATATCTTCAGCTGCTTCTTCAGACTTTGGTTTTCAGCTAGACATTCCCTGCCTCCTCCATGGCCTCCCCATGCTCTGCTCACTGCTGTGTTGTAATCATCACCTCCAAAGCTCTCTTCTCGGGCTGGGATGTAGCTCAGTGGCAAAGCGCTTGCCTAGCAAGTGCAACATCCTGGGTTCGATCCCCAGTACCAAAAAAGAAAAGACAAAAAAAAAATACAGTTAAAAAAAAAAACCAAACAAAGCTCTCTTCTCAACCTGCTTTGCTGGTCTTTTCTGCCTTTGTTAGCTCAGTGCTTTGGGTTTCTAGTGTGTCTTTGAAAATGGTAGTCAGAATAGTGTTGGCTCAGTTAAGCAATTCAGTAGTCTCAATGCAGAATGTCTCATGGGATTCTTTACTCTCTCTCTTCTCCCCAAGTAAAATTTCCAGTAATAATTTGTGTTCAACATTCCAAAAAAAGGTTCTTTTTTAAGCAGTGAAGCAGAGTTTAATAGAAAGTACTTATTAAGGGATCCAATGGGCCCCAGCTAGATGGCTCAAGAGCCTCTCTGTGTGTGTGTGTGTGTGTAGAAAGAGAGAGAATGAGTGCTCTCAGGAATGGAAGTTGAAGACAAAATAGCAGCTGTTCTTTGCTCAGCTGTTCTCTTCTTCTTCTTCTTTTTTTTTTTTTTTTTGGTCAGTTGTGGGGCTTGAACTGTGGTCCTAGGTGCTATCCCTCCCTCCACTCTTCGGCTCACGGCTAGCACTCTACCACTTGAACCACAGCGCCAGTTTTCTGGTGGTTTATTGGAGATTCACGGACTTCCTGCTTGGGTTGGCTTTGAACCGCGATCCTCAGATCTCAGCCTCCTGAGTAGCTAGGATTACAGGAGTGAGCCACTGACTCAAGGCTGCCTTTGTTCTTTCTGTGCTGGGGGGATATGATGCATGGTCATGACTTATTTCGACCTCCAACCCACAGGCAAATGGTTCTGAGTAGCTGAGATGGCTGTTATTTATTATTATAAGATATGGAGACATCTCTAGACCTCCCCAAAACACAGAAATGATAAATGAACTTTAGGGTTTCCCTTCCTTAGATAAAAGCAGGATGCCAGGCAATTGGTAAAAGTTTTTCCACTACTGCTTCATACTACCATGAGAACACTGTTTCTCATCTTGCAATTCACGCAATGGTGGATTTGTTTCCCCTCTCTCAGGTACAGCAAAGGAGAGATGGAAAAGTTGAAGGCATACCAATCCATGCATGGAAACAACTGGAAGAAGATTGGTGCTATGGTGGCCCGCAGCAGCCTCTCGGTGGCCCTAAAGTTCTCCCAGATGGGCAGTCGTAAGTGGCGCATCTCTGACCACGATCCCACTTTGAGCCAGCACCTGGAGATCGCTGTACTCTCAAGGAACTATGTTCAGGCCAGGGTGTCTCTAGATCTCTTCACTTTCCTCTCTGTGTTCAGTGAAGCCATACAGCCTTCGCTTACTAGATGGATTTCAACCACACAAATTCATTGTCTTGCAGCAGGAATCTAATTGGGAGTTTTCCTGCTGACACTGGAAGCTATCAGGGAACCTGACATAAGGAGGCACTTCTTGGGGCTGGGAAGGTGGCTCAATGGTAGAGTGCTTGCCTTGCATGCATGAGGCCCTGGGTTCGATTCCTCAGCACCACATAAGCAGAAAAAGCTGGAAGTGGTGTTGTGGGTCAAGTGGTAGAGCGCTAGCCTTGAGCTGAAGAGCTGAGGGACAGAGCCCAGGCCCAGAGTTCAGGCCCCACGACCAACAAAAAAAAAAGGCACTTCTTCACATATACATGGCTTTTGGGAGGGAGGGAGTTATACAGTAGATTGGCCTGTTAGGACCTTATCCATGACCTGATGAACACTTGTTTCTTCTGAACTCTTTATTTGGGGTGGGGGTGGGAAGGGTCAGTACTGGGGCTTGAACTCAGGGCCAAAGTGCTTCTTTGCTCAAGGATTGTGCTCTACCACTTGAGCCATAGCTCTGCTTTTGGCTTTTTGATGGTTACTTGGCAATGAGAGTCTCTTAGATTTGTCTACAAAAGCTGATTTCAAACCTCTATCCTCAGATCTCACCCTTCTGAGTAGCGAGGATTAAAGATGTGAGTCACTGGTACCTGGTACTTTCCTCTTCTTGATAAAAACCTCCTTGGATTATATTCTTTACATTAGAATATGAAAAAGTAGTGGCTGGGAAGGTGGCTCAGTGGTAGAGCGCTTGCCTTGCATGCATGAGGCCCTGGGTTCGATTCCTCAGCACCACATAAGCAAAAAGAAAAAAAAAAGCTGGAAGTGGCGCTGTGGCTCAAGTGGTAGAGCACTAGCCTTGAGCTGAAGAGCTGAGGGACAGTGCCCAGGCCCAGAGTTCAGGCCCGACAACCGGACCCCCCCCAAAAAAAAAGGAATATGAAAAAGTATTGCTTTAGGACTTTGAGATGGCAGTCCTTTGGCAGGGCACTGCTGGACACAGCTCATTCTTCAGCCACTGAAGTAGTGAGTGCCATGCAGTCAGGTCCTCACACATCCAAGAAAGAAAGAAAAAATCTGGAATTAAAAAAATATAGCCAGGGCTTGGAAGGTGGCTCAGTGACAGAGTGCTTGCCTTGCATGCATGAGGCCCTGGATTCAATTCCTCAGCATCACATACACAGAAAAAGCTGGAAGTGGCACGGTGGCTCAAGTGGTAGAGCGATAGCTTGAGCTAAAGAGAGGAGGGTCAGTGCCCAGAGAGTTCAAGCCCCATAACCAACAAAAAACCAGACCCTGGTAGCTCATGCCTGTAATCAGAGATATTCAAGAGACTTAGATCTGAGGATCCCAGTTCAAAACCATCCCAGACAGGAGAGTCTATGAAACTTACCTCTAATTAACTACTAGAAAACTGGAAGTGGAATTGGGGCTCAGAGTGGTAGAGTGCTAGTCTTGAGCAAAAGAGGTCAAGGACAGTGCTGGGCCCTGAGATCAAGCCCCAAAGACTGACACACACACACACACTGACACGCACGCACGCATGCAAGCACACACGCACGCACTCTCTCTCTGTTGGCCAGGCATCAGTGACTCCTTAATTCTTGCTACTCAGGAGACTGAGGTAAGGATTATGGTTCAAAGCCAACCTGGGCAGGAAAGTCTGGGACTTATCTCCAATTAACTACCCACAAGCCAGAAGTGATGCTGTGGCTTTATAGTAGCACTAGGCTTGAGCACAAAAGCTACAAGGACAGTGTCCAGCTCTTGAGTTCTAGCCCCAGGAAAAGCACAAGACATTGTGAACTCCAGATACCTTTTTTCGAGGTATCTAGATTTTTTTTTTTGGTCAGTGGTAGGCCTGGGCACTGTCCCTGAGCTCTTGAGCTCAAGGATAGCACTCTACCACTTGAGCCACAGTGCCACTTTAGGCTTTTTCTACTTATGTGGTGCTGAGGAATCGAGCCCAGGGCCTCATGCGTGCAAGGCAAGCACTCTACCACTGAGCCACCTTCTCAGCCCAAGATCTCTTGATTTTTAAATACCCATTCAAATTGCTACGGGAGGCCAGGGGAGATGCTGTGTGTATGTGGGGGGAGGGGGGAGCTCTGTCTTGCTGCATGCCTGCATGGCCAGTACAGCAGGATCAACCATAGTGCTTCTCACACTGCATAGATGACTGGCTTCAAAGCCACCATTGATGTCACACTAAGAACTCCAGAGGCGGGGAGACAGGCACAGAATAGAAAAGTCATTCATTGGATTTTTTTTTTTTCATTACATGTGAGAGCTTGACAATACCATGCAGGTGACATTGTTTCTGAAACAAGAGCAACTTTTTTGAACTTAAAAAAAAATACTGGTTTAGGACTTCCCACCTTATGCTGTAGTGGGTATTGAACCCAGGTCCAGGTCTTGAGTTCAAGCCCCAGGAGAAGTACAAACAAACATTGTGAATTCTAGGTACCTTGGATGCTTGGTAAGGGCTTTACTATTGACTGTACTCCTAATAGGTAATGTGTCACCGGTTCCAGGTGAGGGTTTGAGTCTTGAGCAGAAGCAGCTCAGGGACAGTGCCCAGGCTGAGTTCAAGTTCCAGGGCCAAAAAAAAAAGTGGGTACTCAAAGGGAGACACCTGGGCTGGGAAGGTGGCTCAGTGGTAGAGCGCTTGCCTTGCATGCCTGAGCCCCTGGGTTCGATTCCTCAGCACCACATAAGCAAAAAGAAAAAAGCTGGAAGTGGCACTGTGGCTCAAGTGGTAAAGCGCTAGCCTTGAGCTGAAGAGCTGAGGGACAGCGCCCAGGCCCAGAGTTCAGGCCCCACGACCGGACCCAAAAAAAACAAAAAAAAACAAAAATCAAAGGGAGACACCTCAGCTCTTTTGGCATTGGATTCATATGTGATCAAAGGCAGGATTTGGCTTTATGTTATTCTAGGATAAGTATTTTACTTTGTTCTCATACCTGGTACACTTAATCACTCCCAGTGTTAAACTTTTATCACTTGTTATCATTTGGCTCAGGGTTCCTTAGACTGGCCTGCTTATTAATAAAACTGATCAAGAAAGGATACGTTCTGTCATACATGTTTTTCAAGACAGACATCCTTGAGATAAGTACTCTGTGCCAGGAGAAGTCACTTTCCCAAGTAATTGCTATTCTGAAATAAATGTCTTTCTTTATGATGTCCTTGTTCAGTTTTTAGAGCACACTAATTGTTTTGGGCTAGCAAGCAAGGTCAGATGGAAAAAGCTACTCTTGTTCTTTTCTTTCGTGCCAATGTCTCAGTTTATGAAGGAGTGTAAGAGTTAAAGAAGATAGTACTTGTATGTTTTTAATAGTAACTATGAATTTAGTACAGTGTTTTGTTTTTTGAATTCCTGGCTGCTGTTTATCATGCTTCATTTCCCCTAATTTGTTCTGCCTCAGCAGGACTTACTGCTGAATTTCTGACTTTGCTTCTCTTTGTGTGTGTGTGTGTGTGTATGCACATGCACGTGCACATGTGCACATGCACCAGTACTTGAACTCAAAGCCTGATGCTCTTGTTGGCTTTTTACTCAAGGCTGACACTCTTAACACTTGACCCACACCTCCATTTCTAGGTTTTTGGTTGATAATTAGAGATGAGTCTTTTGAGGCTGGGTGCTAGTGGCTTATGCCTGTAATCCTAGCTACTCAGAAGGCTGAGATCTGAGGATTGTGGTTCAAAGCCAGCCCAGGCAGAAAGTCCATGAGACTCTTACCTCTCTAATTAACCATCAGAAAACCACAAGTGGAGCTGTGGCTCAAAGTAGTAGAGCACTAACCTTGAGCAGAAAAGCAGAGACAGTGCCCAGGCCCTGAGTTCAAGCACCATGACCAACAAGAACAACAAAAGAATAGTTTTTTGGATTTGCCTGCCCAGTCTGGCTTCAAACAAGATCCTCAGTCTCCTAAGTAGTTAGGATTACAAATGTGAACCACTAACATCCAGCACTAGACCTCTTTCCTTCCTTCCCTTTCTTCCTTCCTTCCTTCCTTTTACCCTCCCTCCCTCCCTCTTTCCCTCCCTCCTTTCCCTCCCTCCCTCCTCCCTCTCTCTCCTTCCTTCCTTCCTTCCTTCCTTCCTTCCTTCCTTTCTTTGTATGCCTAAATTGAAACCTTAGCTTCCTAATTGTTGGGATTATAGGCGTCTACCACCATACCCTAGACTGGTTTTGGTTCTTTTTTTTTTTTGTCTGTTGTGGGGCCTGAACTCTGGGCTTTGGCGCTATCCCTCAGCTCTTCAGCTCAAGACTAGCGCTCTACCACTTGAGCTACGGTACTACTTTTGGCTTTTTCTGCTTATGTGGTGCTGAGGAATCAAACCCAGGGCCTCATGGATGCAAGGAAAGCATTCTACCACTAAGCTATCTTCCCAGCTCCCTGGTTTGGGTTCTTATAAAGAATCCATGGCTACTTTAGTACTTTCATTTGAGTTTGCATGTACTTATGCTTAGACATTTTAGGCTTGTTTAATTGAGCCATCGGAAAGTGCTGGATTTTCTGAGTGCTGGTGGCTTATGACTGTAATCCTAGGTATTCAAGAGGCTGAGATCTGAGGATCACAGTACAAAGCCAGTCTGGGCAGAAAAGTCTATGAGACTGTTCTCCAAGAAACCACCAAAAAAGCTGGAAGTAGAGCTGTGGTTTAAGTGCTAGCTTTGAGGGGAAAAAAAAATGTTAGGGATAGTGCCCAGACCCTGAGCTCAAGCCCCAGGACTGGCAAAGGCGGAAAAAAAAAAAAAAAAGTACTGAATTTATCATCTTGTTTTTAAATGATGGTTGACTGCAAACAGATTAGCAACTACATGGCCTCCTTTTCTATCTACAGAAATAAATCATGGTACTTGGAGTAAGACAGAAACCCAGAGATTAATCAAGGCAGTTGAAGACGTAATTCTGAAGAAAATGTCTCCTGAGGAATTACAGGATTTGGATTCTAAACTTCAAAAAAGTCCTGAATGTCGCCTGTCAATTGTCAGGGAGAAACTCTACAGGGGCATATCATGGATAGAAGTGGAGGCCAAAGTAGAAACCAGGAACTGGATGCAGTGCAAAAGTAAGTGGTAAGTTTTTAAGACTTCTTATGTACATTTCAGCAGGATTCTCTTGCCCTCACTGCCAGTCTCCAGGCTCTTTTCTTTTTGTTTAGAGTGGGTGGAAGGTGAGGTTGCCAGGAATATGTCCATAATAACTTACATGTCATCTCCACATGATTGCATCTCTGGTCTACTACTCCAGGCTGTTTCAGTACCAACATCTCATTTAAATGAGCCCTGAGCCACGTACTGGTGGCTCATTCCATAAACCTAGCTACTCAGGAGGCTCAGATCTAAAGATTTCAGTTCAAAGATAGGCCAGATAGAAAAGTCCATATACTCTTTATCTCTGGTTAACCAGCAAATACCCCAAATGTAGGTATGGCTCAAATGGTAAAGTACTACTCTTGAGCAAAAAAGCTGAGGGACAGCACCTAGGCCCTGAGTTCAAATCCCACTACCAAGGAATGAATAAGGAACGTCTTGCTGAAGAATCCACACATTTAGGGTAACATGCAAGATGTAGTGTGTGTGTGAGACACACGCACGCGTGCATGCATGCGTGTGTTTGCACCAGTACCAGAACTATTCTTTCTCAGCCTTCTTGTTTATGGTTGGCACTCTATTACTTGAGTTATGCCTCCAGACCAGCATTTTGCTGGTTAATTGAAGATGATGTCTCTCAGATTTTCCTGCCTGGGCTGACTCTAACCATTATCCTCCAGGTCTCAGTCTCCTGCTAGCCTCAGCTAGAATCACAGGTGTGAGCCACCAATGCCTGATTTCAGGATTTTTTTTTTTTTTTTAGTTTGAGGCAAAAATTAGGAAACTTAAACTCTAAACTTAGGTTAGTTTGTGCAACATTGCCATGATGCTGTGCATCTCCTCGATCAGAATTGCAAATGGGAACCCCTGCTTTCACTATATTTGATGTCGGTATAATTTGTGGAGGAGACGGGAAAAACAAGTCGTTTAAGGATACAGGTGGACCTGTTGCAACAATGAGAAGTACAAGTTGTCATATCGAAAACGAACTTTATAACTTCGGGGGACGGGGGGAAGGGATGTGAAGCATAAACAAAGGAGGAGGCTGCAATGCTTGATAAGAAATGTACTCATTATTTTGCCCATGTAATTGTAACCCCTCTGTACAGTATGTTCACAAAAAATTAAAAAAAAAAAAAGAATTGCAAATGGGAGGCTGATGGTCTGTTGGCCCAATTGTGGAAGCCCTTGGTCAGTCATCTAACTGCAGGTGCTCTCACCAGGATGCCAGGCAGCCTCCCAGCCCCCAGCTCCAGGTGCTGGAGGGATCATCAAGCCATTAAATACTTACTATAGGGGGCTGGGAAGGTGGCTCAATGGTAGAGTGCTTGCCTTGCATGCATGAGGCCCTGGGTTCGATTCCTCAGCACCACATAAGCAAAAAGAAAAAAGCCGGAAGTGGCATTGTGGCTCAAGTGGTAGAGCGCTAGCCTTGAGCTGAAGAGCTGAGGGACAGCACCCAGGCCCAGAGTTCAGGCCCCACGACCGGACCCAAAAAAAAAAAAAAGAAGAAAAAAAAAGAAATACTTACTATATTTGTCCTTTTTGGTGTCCCAGACACTGCTGGTGATAATAAAAGCAATATCTGTTTTATAAAAAATCAAAAATATAAATTGAGTTTATAGTGTTTCCTTTAGTGACTATTTATAGGCTTCTTTTTTTTTTTTTTTAATACGCATCGCTTCCTGAATTTGTGTGCCATCCTCACACAGGAGTCATGCTAATCGTCTCTGTATCTTTCCAATTTTAGTATACTGTCAAAGTGAGCATAGCTTATTCTTTTTTTTCCCTCCCTTTTAAACAGTTCTTATGAAAACTTTACTGTACACTAACATAGAACTCCTCGTAGCTGTCATCCAGTCTCAGTCATTGGATTTCTTTTTTATTTTTGTCAGTCATGGGCTCGGACTCCAGGCCTGGGTGCTGTCCCTTCATTCTTTCACTCAAGGCAAGTGCTCTACCACTTTGAGACATAGCGCCACTTCTGGTTTTCTGGTGATTAGACATAAGAGTTTCACAGACTTTCTTACCCAGGCTGGCTTTGAACTGTGATTCTCAAATCTCAGCCTCCTGAATAGCTAGGATTACAGGCATAAACCACCAGTGCCTAGCATCATTGGCTTTCATTTTATTTTTCTTTCCTTTTTCAAATAGATATGGTCTTAGTAATGAACAAATAAGATGGAAAGGTAGAATTGGTTCTGAATGAGGACAGTTTGGATGAGAAAATGTAGGACATTCTAGTAGAAACTTTTTTTTAGCAGATCTAAATGTATTTTTCTTTCTTTTAATGTAGGATGGAAATTCTCACCAAAAGGATGACTAATGGCAGGCTCCCTCACCGGGGAGTCAATGCTCTGCAGGCCAAAATCAACCTCATTGAAAGGTATGGATAGAAATGGATACTGGGGGCTGGGAAGGTGGCTCAGTGGTAGAGTGCTTGCCTTGTATGCATGAGGCCCTGGGTTCAATTCCTCAGCACCACATAAGCAAAAAGCTGGAAATGGCACTGTGGCTCAAGTGGTAGAGTGCTAGCCTTGAGCTGAAGAGCTGAGGGACAGTGCCCAGGCCCAGAGTTCAGGTCCCACGACTGGACCCCCCCCCCCCAAAAAAAAAAAAAAAAAAAAAAAGAAAGGAAATGGATACTGGTTTTGTTTTTGGTGATACTGGGGTTTGAATTCAGGGCCTTTCACTTGCTAAGACATTCTACCATTTAGGCCATATCGCAGCTTTTTCTGCTAATTATTTTTCACATAGGGTCTCACTTTTTACCTGGGCCAACTCACACTCTGATCCTCATATTTTCACTTCCCTCATAGCTGGGATAACAGATGTGAGTCACTATGCTCATCTATTTTCTTGGTTGAAACAGAATCTTACAAACTTTTTGCTCAGGCTGACTCACATTCCTTCTGATCACAGCCTCTTAAGTAGCTCAATATACCAGCGGGAGCCACTGCACCAGCTTCACTTCATATTGTTTTGTCTAGTTTCTCTCAAGCCAAAGAGTAGTTGTTAACACAGTAAAGACTGTAGCTTCATTTCCAGAGGTTAAATCCCTGCTCTAGCACCTTCCACATACATTTCTGTGGGCACACAATCTGCCTCTGAGTCTCTGTTAACTTGTCCTAAATGAGGACGGTGACGCTGAGACGTCCCATCTCCTTAGTAGTATTGGGGAGATAGGGTGAAATGCTCTATGGAAAATGTACTGTGTATACTGTGGGTTCAGTTTCCTCTGTGGAGGTTTTCCTGCCCATTAGGAAATGGAGATAGAAAATCCAGACAGCCTTGCAGCTCTGCAGTAGGAGTTTTCTATTGTCATCATTGTTTGATCTTTGGTGTTTTGCTTTTTTTTTTCTGGTCTAGGGACTTGAACTTGGGGCTAGGCACTGTCCCTGAGCTTTTGATCAAGGCTAGAGATGCTTGAGACATAGGCCCATTTCTGGCTTTTTAGTGGTTAATTGGAGGTAAGAATCTCAGATACATTTTTGCTGGAGCTGGCTTGGAACCATGATCCTCAGATCTCAGCCTCCTGAGTAGCTAGGATGACGGATGTGAGCCACTGGTGCCTGGCTTAGTCTGTGGCTTTGTCCTTGAGTTGCTCTTTGGTGCAGAATAAAGTGTTTTGAAGGAAGAGGAGACATGGGCCTGTTTTGTAAAGGCTGGAAATCTGGTAGACCAAGCTCTTGTTTACAAAGTAATAACAAAGACCAGCAGCATGCTCTGGGGCTCTGGCCACCCAGCCCAGCTTCCTTGATCCTACTCTGTCAGGAGCCTGTTCTGAGTTCATTGCTGTGGTTCCTATTCTCTCTGCTAGTCCTGCTGCCCATCTTCCACTCTTCTTCCTCTGCTGGTGAGAGCTTGGAGCAGAAGATCTGAGGGAGCATCACTGAGAGGTGCACTCTTGGCACCACCTGGTACTTATGAGTGAGCTTGTCTCAGGAGTCAGGGGGGCTGGGGAAGCTAATCCTCTGAGCTCAGCAGATAGGGTTGAGGGTTATTATAGATGAGTAGCACATATGTTAGTATCACTGCAGTGTGTCACCTTGTAAGTGCTGAGAACAGATATGCTGAGTACAGTCACTGTGTGTTGATTGGAGGGATAGCCTTCCAGTTCATCTCCCTAGCTCGCTCACTCAGTGAACTTCAGCTGACTTGGATGCAGGTAGGCATGAAGGGGCTAAACCAGATGAAAGCACCAGTGCCCTCCAGCTCCTGCCGTTCTGTGAGAACTGGTGATGTCTGTCTGCTGAAATTATTGTGTTCTGTCTTGCAGGTTGTATGCCCTGAATGTGGAAGATGCTAATGAAATAGATTGGGAAGTTCTTGCTGGTGCCATTGGGTAAGAGCTTGTGTTCCACTGGATGGTAATAGAAAGCAATGACTCAGTAAATGACTAAAATAAAGGATGGTGTACAAACCAGAGTTAAAATAAATATTGTTTGTAAGAAAATCAATCTAATGCAACATAGAGTAGAAATGGTCTTAGAAACAAAATGTATTTTTCGTGTGTGTGTGTGTGTGTGTGTACTGAAGCTTGAACTCAGGGTGTGTGTGTGTGTACGGGAGCTTGAACTCAGGGCCTGGGCACTATACTTTAGCTTTTGTGCTCAAGGCTAGCACTCTACCACTTAGCCACAGCTTCACTTCCTTTTTTTCTTTTTTTGTCAGATGTGGGGCTTGGACTCTGGGCCTGGGTGCTGTCCCTGAGCTCTTCAGCTTAAGGCGTGTGCTCTTCCACTTGAGCCACAGCACCACTTCTGGTTTTCTGATGATTAATTGGAGATAAGAGTCTCATGGATTTGCCTGGGCTGGTTATGAACTGCGATCCTTAGATCTCAGCCTCCTGAGTAGCTAGGAATCCAGGCATGAGCCACCAGTGCCTAGCTAATTGAGACTCTTATCTCTAACCACCAGAAAACTGGAAGAGGCAATGCTGTGGCTCAAAGTGGTAGAGTGCTAGCCTTGAACAAAAGAGCTCAAGGACAGTATTCAGGCCGTGAGTTCAAGCCCCACAACTGGGGGGGAAAAAAAATAAAGATTCACAGACTTTCCTGCTTGGGCTAGCTTCAGACTGCAACCCTCAGATCTCATCCTTCTGATTACAGGCATGAGCTACTGGTGCCAGGCTACAAGGAGGTCCACTTAAAAACATCTATCTAAAGGGCTTGGAAGGTGGCTCAATGGTAGAGTACTTGCCTTGCATGGATGAGGCTGTAGGTTCGATTCCCTAGCACCACATAAGCAGAAAAAGCCAGAAGTGGCGTTGTGGCTTAAGTGGTAGAGCACTAGCCTTGAGCTGAAGAGCTGAGGAACAGTGCCCAGGCCCAGAGTTCAGGCTCCATGACCGACACCCCCCCCCCCCCCCCAAAAAAAAAAAAAAAAAATCTAAACATTTCCTGAAAAAAAGTTAAAAGGGAGAGGGACATTGTTGATAAAGTAGTACTTTATTCTGGCTTAAATATTAATAGTTGAAAAACATCAAAATAAACTCAGCTGTAGAAAATATTTAAATAGGCCGGGCACTAGTGGGAGGCTGAGATCTGAAGATCATAGTTCAGAGCCAGCCTGGGCAGGACAGTCCAAGAGACTCTTATCTCCACCAGAGAACCAAAAGTGGCACTGTGGCTCAAGTGGTTGAGTGCTTGCCTTGAGCTGAAGAGCTGAGGGACAGCGCCCAGGCCCAGAGTTCAAGCCCTGCTACCAACCAAAAAAAAAGAAGAAGAAGATTTAAATAGTAAAGAGAACACTCCTGTGTGGTAGTGTACTTTACAATCCTAGCAATTTATGACTTGATTGTTCTTGTTGCTCTAAACTGAAATGTAAATTGAACATGAACCAAAATATTATAAGTATTCTTTTTTAGCTTTGCAATGTAAAAAGTCAGGATTTAGGAATGTATCTGAATGTCTGTGGTCTAGAGTGTGGTCTGGGGAGTTAGAAACCCAGGAGGAGGCCCAGCTCTGTCTTCCAGTCACTCTGTCTCAGTTTCTTCCTCTCCAGAACACAGGGGAAGAGTGGTGGCTCCTTTCTACAGTGGTTGTGAGGGTCATTTATTACAAGGTTGGACGTCCTAAGGCTGGGCCACATCCAAGGCAGGGATAACTTCAACCATTCTTCATGTGAACATAGCCATCTTGTACTATTCATTTTCTCTTTTTGGTTTAATGTTTTGGTTTTTAGTGCCTTTCATGTTTGTTTTACAACATCATGTTTATGAACCTATTGATGGTCAGGAACAGGATAAGAAAATTGTAGATGTCCATAGAGTTAGAAAATTGCTTGCACAATTATTGACATAATAGATTTTTAACTGACTTTTGAAAAATTTTTTCCTTTTTAAAGTGATGTGCCTCCATCTTACGTTCAAACTAAACTTTATAAGCTGAAAGCTGCCTATGTTCCCTTTTGGCAGAAAAAGACTTTTCCAGGTTAGTATGCCTAGTGTTTGTTTTGTTACAAACAGGATGTTGTGCTGTAGGCTGTGTATGTCATTAGACTGGTGACTTCAGTCATAAAATGGTGTGAATGTGGGGCTGGGATTGTGGCTTAGTGGTAGAGTGCTTTGCTAGCAAGCATGAAGTCCTGACTTCAATTCCTCAGTACCACATACACAGAAAAAGCCAGAAGTGGCTGTGGCTCAAGTGGTAGAGTGCTATCCTTGAGCAAAAGAAGCTCAGGTATAGCATACAGGCCCTGAGTTCAAGCCCCAGGACTGGCAAAAAAAAAAAAAAAAGGTGTGAATGATGTCAGAATCTGCCTGACAGGGCTTACAAAGTGTGATCATGTCCCTTGGGCAGGAGCTCTGTGCTGCTGGTCTGGCTGTCCTGGCACTTGTGCACACATCCTACAATCACATGCATTACCTAACATAACACACAGACACCACAGAGTGTGTCAGATGCCCACTTCCTGTTTTGTAGCCATCTCAGGGTGGTTTAGTCTTGTTTGTCTGTGTGGCTTCCTGGGTCTCATCCAGACCTGCCAGACCCTAACCTCCAAGCTGAGAGCAACCACAGGCATATCCCCTGTACTGTCCAATGGCAGTGTGTACCTGCAGCCACAGGTGGGGATACTTGAACCTGGCACATGAAGAGGAAGGACTTGGCATTCAGCAGACATTACCACCTATACTTACTTACATTCTTGGTACCTCTGTGACTTGGCAAATCTTAGAAGGTTATATGCCTTCAACTTCTTATTGGGAAAATGGCTTCAAAGTACTTACCTGATAGGATTGTTGTGAGGGTTTAATTGAAGTGAAGAGAATAGGATTTGCATGAGTAATAGTAGTGCAGTGTGCCAGTATTCCATAGCCTTTGGTATGTGTGTTGAGGGGATACTTGAACTCAGGGCCTGATCTGTCCCTTAGCTTTTTTGCTCAAGGCTGTGATGTTCTACTATTTAAGCCACAGTTCTACTTCTGGCTTTTATTTTCTGATTACTTGGAGGTAAGAGTATCACACAGTTTCTGCTCACTCTGGCTTTGAACCAGGATCCTGAGATCTCAGCCTTCTGCGTAACTAGGATTATATGTGTGAGCCACTGGCATCTGTCTGTCCTTTACCCTTTGACTTGGATAAGAGGTTTTGTACAAGCAGCTTCAAACTTTGATTTCTTTTCTGTAGAGATCATTGACTACCTTTATGAGAATAGTCTACCTTTGTTTAAAGAACAGTTGGAAAAGAAGATAGAGAAAGAAGGCACCAAAATTCCAACTCCCTCAACACCCAAGCAGGATTTCCTATTTAAAGATATCTTCTACTGTGACGAAGATAGTGAGGGAGAAGGCATGGAGGAACACAGTTAACTGGAGGTGACTGTTGTCCTTGTTCTTTGTTTATATGGATGTGTATTTCCAACACCATGATGAAATACCTGAGATCAACTGAACACGGAGAAAAGGTTTATTTTGGATCACAGGTCTCTGTGTTTCAGTCCATGGTCTGTGGACCTGTGGTAAGGCAGCACATCGTGGCTGGAACAGACACTGGCCTCATGTCCAGGAATCAGAAGAGAACAAGGTTGAGGGAGGGGTCCCATAATCCTCTTCAAGGTATACCCCAGGAACCTCTTAAAAGACCTCCTAGAAGCCTAATAATACTACTCTGGGGACCCTGTCTTTAATTCGTGGGGCTTTGAGAGACCTTCCAGATCCATACAATAGCAGAGAGTAAAGTTCTGTTTAGTTCTGGTGTTTAATTAATAAAGAATGTGCATTGGCTAGAGGGGGGACATGAGTGGTAATTTTTGTTGATTCACATTCATATTGAATGAGTTGATTGAATATTTCTGTACTATTGTTTTGACAGTACTGACACGAACAGCTCTGTGAAGCCACGCCAGCCCAGTCCCTCTCACTGCAGCAAGGGGTAGCGTCCCATCCTGTGACTTTTCCCTATGTGGGTGCCACTGTGCATGTTCAGCAGAATTGAGGAAGCCGACTGTCTCTGAAACGTGCTATTCTGCCTGTTTTTCCAGACACTCAGATGTGCATCCTCAGGGTGGCAAGTTTGAGGATGTGGATCTGCTCTTCCCTCACTCAGTATCTGTTGTGCTGTCTCTGCCTTGTGTGCATTTCCTCATCCTGAGCAGGACACTGACCTCTGATCTGCTTCTCACGGAAATTATCCACTCTGAGCAAGTCACTGAATGATAATCTCAGTTATATTAATTACAGAATAAAATGAAGTGCTAGTCATGGTATAAGTAGGAGGAATATGATTATGATTCAAGGCCAATCCAAGCAAATAATGGGAGGCCCTACCTGGAATTAGAGCAAAAAATATTTTTTAAAAGCTTAGGGCCAGGCGGTGGGAGTTCATGCCTATAATCCTAGCTACTCAAGAAGCTGAGATCTGAGGATCACAGTTCAAGGCCAGCCCAGGCAGGAAAGTCCATGAGACTCTTATTTCCAGTTAACAACCAGAAATCTGGAAGTGGCGCTGTGGCTCAAGTGGTAGAGCACTTGCTTTGAGGTAAAGAGCTGAGGGACAGTGTCCAGGCCCAGAGTTCAAACCCCACGACCCAGCAACAACAAAAAAAGCGTAAGGCATGGCTTAAGTGGCACAGCGCTTACCTAGCAAGCTTAAGGCCTTGAGTTTGAGCCCTAGAACCTTCCCTTGTGGGGGAAGGGGGTGGGAATCAACTGTAGATGCAAAGCATGGTGACATAGGCCTATGATCGCAGCACTCTAGGCTGAGAAAAGAAGATTGCAAGTTTAGGACTATCTGAGCTACATAAAATGAGACATTCCCTAAAAAATAAAAAATTAAAAAAAAACAAACCCTGCTAAATGGGATAAAAGAACCATCTGGGGAAGGGTAAATTGCCTGGGTTGGGGCAATATAACAAGGTTGCTGTTACCTGTGCCCCTGTCCCTATACCTGTGTCTCAGGGGACATAGTAACTGCTGCTTCCTCCTGCCTTCTAAAGTGTCCCCAGTCATCCCTTAGCAGAACCTGGCTCTGTATAACCGGTGTTTGGGAAGTTGGTGCTGAGGCTCCTGGACCTGTGTGCAGGAGATCCCAGCACAGATGCTGGAATGGCGCCCCATGTAGCAATGGCCACTTCTGTTGCACAGTGTACCTGCACTGTCCCTTGTGTTCTCAAGTATCATTTAAGTGGCACCCTTATTTACAGAGCTACATGTGTTCCAGACCTGTCATGAGAGGAGAAGCACACAGGAGAATTGGATTCTTTACTCACATGATCTCCAGCAGCTCACCTTGTGCTAACAGACAGTGAATCTTCCGCAAGTAAATGAACATCATCTTAGTAAACATTTCTCCTTGAGTCAGCCCCCTCTGTCCATCACGCCTATCATTTCCATGCCAGATGGAGCCACTGGGTAAGATACATTAGAACATTAGATACATTAGATGCACGTATCTTGTGGCCAACCAGTGGTTTTGCTTCAGGGGATCTGTCTTTTGCAGTCATGGGACTTAAATTCAGGGCCTGGGTGCTATCACTGAGCAACTTTGCTCAAGGCTAATGCTCTGCCAGTTTGAGACACAACTCCACTTCTGGTTTTCTGGCAGTTAATTGGAGATAAGAGTATCATGGACTTTGCTGCCCAGTCTGGCTTTGAACCACAGTCCTCAGATCTCAACCTCCTGAGTTAGCTAGGATTATAGGCAGGAGCCACCAACATCTGGCTTAGAATGTTTCTTAATAAGAACAACTATTCAGCTGTTCAAGATACATTCCTAGAAGGCAATATTATGTGGAGATTTAAAATGACATTTCATTGACATGAAATATTTTAAATGAAAATTTTCAGATTACCTATTTTCTCCATTTTGTAATTGTAAAAAATAAATGTATTGTGTAAACAGGTGTATTGAAATGTCTAGAGTGGGGTCAGTGGTTTCTGTAGGGGTTTCTAGATGAAGACTTGGGACACTGAGACGCTCGTCTCATGAAAGGATGAATCAAGCTCCTTAGCCCCCCCCCCCCCCCCCCCAGTTCTAGGGGGCGGGGATCTGGGCTGATTCTCTGCTGTTCCTTCTGCACAGTCCATCTGGTGTTCAGTGTGCATAAACCCACCCCTTCCAACCCCATTAAGTGCACACCCAGCAGAACCACTACAGAGATTTACCCAGGAAGGGAAGGTTCACTCCAATCTATGGACTCAACTCAAGAGTTGAAATTCAGCTGAGAAGATGGATAGTCAAGATCCCATTGGCAGAAAAAAAGTGGGGGAAGGATAATGTGGAAATAGCCCATGTTCATGCTGGATAGCAGGTGATTATATGGAGCCTTTTACATTTTGTCCAGTAAGCTCATACAGTTGGATCATTTTATTTTTTTCCCTTTTTTTTTTTTGGTCATGGGGCTTGAAATGCTGGGCCTGGGTGCTGTCCCTCAACTCTCCAGCTCACAGCTAGCCCTCTACCACTTGAACCACAGTGTCACTTCCGGCTTTTTCTGCTTATGTGGTGTTGAGGAATTGAACCCAGGGCCTCAGGCATGCAAGGCTAGCACTTTACCACTGAGCCACCTTCCCGGCCCCGGATCATCTTATTTTTATAACCTTGTTTCACTTGGCACTTCCATGCCTCTCCTCCAGAAGAAGCAAATTGTATAGATCTTAGCTGATGACTTTTTTGGGGGGGTGGCTGGTACTGGGTCTTGAACTCAGGGCCTCATGCTGTTGCTTGCCTCTTTTTGCTCAAGACTGGTCCTCTACCACTTGAACCACATCTCTCCACTTCTGGCTTTCTGCTGGTTAATTGTCTGCCTTGGCTGGCTTCAAACTTCAAATGAGCCAGCCACCTATGTTTATTGGCCCAATGACCCTTTTTTACATAGTTCCAGGGATCTGGGTGAAAAGGCCAACCAGGCATTTGTGTGTGTGTGTTGTGTGTGAAGTTGGACAGTGCAGGAACTCAATGAGAGGACCAGAATGTGGTTCAGGATGGGGTCACTGTGAGGTCCTCAGGGATGCTTTTTTTTTTTTTTTTTTTGGTTGGTCGTGGGCTTGAACTCGGCCTAGGCGCTGTCCCTCAGCTCTTCAGCTCAAGGCTAGTGCTCTACCACGTGAGCCACAGCGCCACTTCCGGCTTTTTCTGCTTATGTGATGCTGAGGAATCGAACCTAGGGCCTCATGCATGCAAGGCAAAGCACTCTTACCATGGAGTCACCTTCCCAGCCCCTGAGGAGCGCTTTTACATAGACTTCCAGTCCATGGACAGAGAGAGAACATGACCAAAGAGATGAATTCATTCCCTCCATGAAGATTCAGCAGTAAAGCCCCATGCAGGAGGAAAGGGTGAAGGAGGAAACCTGGTGGTGCCTGTGTTCAGTGCCCAGCAGGAAGTGGTATCCACCAATCAGAATGACTACAGCAACCACAACAACCCCCCCCCCCCCAGCTTACTGCAAACAAGATGGGATCAACAACTCTAAGATGTTTTAAACAGCCTTGAGCAGGTTCTGTGGGTTCTTGTACTTCAGAGGCTGTGCCTGCCATGGCTGATCGCTTCCACCAGCAGCAAACACCCAGAGAGATGCCGTATATAGAACACAAAGAACTCCCTTCAATTCACCTAAGGAGCTGGTGGGCCACCTGCAGTGAGCCAGGTCCTAATAGAAACTGAGGACACAAGACTCCCAGCTTCCTGGACTGCTCCCTCTTCATACACTCCATCCTTGCCTCTCCTCTCATGGCACTTTCCTATGCAAGACCCCTGGGTGAACTCAGCCACTTTGCTTCTACCTGTACCCCAAGGGCTGGCTATTCCTAGAATAAAACAGCTAAGCTGACTGGCTTTACTGTAACCATGGTAACAAGCCTCAGGTGGACCCAGCAATCCACTGCGACTCCAGCATTTTTTTTTTTCTTTTTTGATGTGCCAGTACTGAGCACTGTTTCTGAGCTTTTGTGCTCAAGACTAGAGCTCTACCATTTGAGTCGCAGCTCCATTTCTTGTTTTCTGGTGGTTAACTGGAGATAAAAGGCTCATGGACTTTCCTACCCGGGCTGGCTTTGAAGCATGATCCTTAGATCTTAGCCTCCTGAGTAGCGTGGATAACAGGTGTGAGCCACCAGTGCCCAGCGGTCCTTATACTCTTCCTTTGCTTTTTTTTTTTTTTTTTGCCAGTTTGGGGGCCTGAACTCTGGGCCTGGGCGCTGTCCCTCAGCTCTTCAGCTCAAGGATAGTGCCCTACCACTTGAACCACAGCACCATTCCGGGCTTTTTTCTGCTTATGTGGTGCTGAGGAATCGAACCTAGGGCCTCATGTATGCAAGGCAAGCACTCTACCCACTGAGCCAACTTCCCAGCCCCTCTTCCTTTGCTTTTTTGCTCAAGACTGCTGTTCTGCCACTTGTGCCATACCTTCACTTCATGAGTCTTAGGCTTGTCTGCCTGTGCTGGCTTTGAATCATGATCTTCAGATCTCAGCCTCTAAAATAGCTAGGATTACAGATGTGAGCCACAGGCACCCAGCTTCTCTAGTAGTCTTGCCTGTCATTACCCTATAATGGCTATTCACTCAGCCCTTCCATACTCCTGCATTAATAACAATTCAGTGAGAAACTCGAAGTCGTCCCTCATCACCTCCCGCAGACAACGTGCATGCCCCCCTAAGCCAACCCCTGGACCTGAGCCTTCCACATTTTCTCCCAAGTTTCTCATCCTGCACTGATCCCTGTCCAAAATGGTTGGTCTGGATCATTGCTACCGTGAAGAACTGGTCTCACCAGTCATGTATGTATGCATAAAACTGGTTGTACATGTGGAATCAGCTAGCAGTTGCTGCCCACCTGCTGTGGTCCCAGCCATTATTTTTCACCGTTCTGTAAGCAACACCAATAGTGTGTTTTCCAGTTTTTTAGTTTTTCATAATGTTTTTCTACTTTATCTCCACTCTTTACATTTCTTTTGTAACTTTTGATCTGTTCATTTTTTTTTTTTTGGAGCTTCAGCTGCAACAGCAGAAGAGACAGTTTATTGCACATGTGTGACACATATTCAGCCACAACTAGGAACAATAAAGTAATGAAGTAATAAAAGTGATTTGAGATCTTTCTTCTTTTGTAATGTTAGACATTTACAGTTTCACATTTTCTTCTGAGCCCTGACAGTCAATAGATCAATAACTGGTCCAGGGACCAATGATTCTTTTCAAAATTGGATTCTGTAATAATTGGATGAATGGATATGGAACAAGCTCTTGAGCTCATGGCTGTAATGAGCTACCTTCCTTAATGATAATTTGAATAAAGTTTGTTGCTGTATTTTACTGTGTTGCCTCTGATCAATTCCTTGGTCAAGACTCTAGACAGGAATCAAATGGGCCCACTGGTAACAAATCTAGACTCTCTTTTATCACATGTAACCCTCCCCCCCCCCCCAAAAAAAAGCTAAAACTAAGGGTAGAAGAAAAATATGAGAGAAAATATAAATTCTTAGAATACAAAAAACACTAACTATTGAAGTAACTAGTTACACTTTTGTCAAAATTTAAAATGTGGGCTAGTGCCATTGGCTCACGCGTATAATCCTAGCTACTTAGAAGGCTGAGAGCTGAGGATTGAGGTTCAAAGCCAGCTGGGGTAGGAAAGTCCATGGACTTATTGCCAATTAATTACCCAAAGAGCCAAAAGTGGGGCTATAGCTAGTCTGAGCAAAAAGAACTCAGAGAAATAGGGATACAGGTGGACCCATTGCAACAATGAGATGTACAAGTCGTTATGTCAAAAACGAACTTTACAACTTTGGTGGGGGAGTGGGGGGAGGATGTGAAGGAATGGGAAGGGGAAACAAAGGAGGAGGCTACAATGCTTGATAAAAAATGTACTCATTATATTGCCCATGTAATTGTAACCCCTCTGTACAGTATTTTCACAATTAAAAAATAACCAAAAAAAAAAAAAAAAAGACAGCACCCAGGCCCTAAGTTCAAGCCTCAGGACCAGCACCAAAAAAAAAAAAAAAAAAGTAAATGTACTTCAAGGTTAGCCCAGGAAGAAGACTTGATCTCCAAGATAACCAGCAAAAATCACAGAAGGTCCAGAGCATAGAGACAGAATGCCAGCCAAGCAAGCAAAATAAATTTTAATTGACTCTTAAATCCACTGTTTGGGGGCTGAGAGAGAGGATTAGCATGCACGAGGCTGTTGTAATACCATAGACTGGTATAAACATTTCTTTTGTATATGTGTGTGTTTGCCAGTCCTAGGGACTTTTTTCTTTTGGTCGTGGGGCTTGTACTTGGGCTGGGTGCTGTCCCTCAGCTCTTCAGCTCAAGGCCAGTGCTCTACCACTTGAGGTACAGTGCCACTTCCGGCTTTTTCTGTTTTTTTTTTTGTGGTGTTGAGGAATCAAACCCAGGGCCTCATGCATTCGAGACAAGCACTCTACCACAGAACCATCTTCCCAGCCCCAGTCCTAGGTCTTAAACTCAGGGCCTGGGCACTGTCCCTGAACTTCTTTTGCTCAAGGCTAGCACCTATCACTTAAGCCACAGCTCCATTACTGGCTTTTTGTTTTGTTTTGATAGTTTAGTGGAGATAAGAGTCTCACAGATGTTCCTTCCCTAGCTGGCTTTGAACTGTGTTCCGCAAATCTCAGCCTCTTGAGGAGCTAGGATGACAGGGATGAGCCACTTGTAGCCTGGCAACATTTCTTAAATAAATGGTTTAAGCTTTAAATGAAGCCGGGCACTGGTGGCTCACACCTCTAATCCTAGCTACTCAGGAAGCTGAGATCTAAGGATCTTGGTTCAAATCCTGCTCAGGCAGGAAAGTCTGTGAGACTCTTATGTCTAATAAACCACCAGAAAATCAGAAGTAGTGCTATGGCTCAAGTGGTAGAGCACTTGCCTCGAACTGAAGAGTTGAGGGACAGTACCCAGGCCCAGAGTTCAAACAGCACGACTGACCAAAAAAAAAATCAAAAACATATTTTTTGAGGGTCTCAAACTGGAGTTACCATGTCTCAAGGATAGATTTCCCTCATTGAGAATTAAGGGTAATGTTCAATTTCTTCTCAGGCAGTTTGGGCATGTATATTCTTTACTGTAGTTACTTTAGTTTTAAAAAAAATCAACTAAAGAATACAGTATCACCTAATTCCATTTAATTAACTCTGCCAGGATCTATACCAAAATGTGAACTCCATCCTTGTTTTTGCATTTGAAAGTATCCCATGAAAGTCTCACTTCCAAGTTGTTTAGAGCGGGTGTTAACCAGGTGCTGGGCAGAGGGGCTGCGGTGACAGGTCAGAGGTGTGTCCCTGTGCGTTGAGGGGCTGCGGTGACAGGTCAGAGGTGTCCCTGTGCGTTGAGGGGTGCACGCACCCTTTGCCAGGGTCGGCGCGCTGCCTAACCGCTCCTCCAGCGCCGCACTGCCGTGGGGTCGCGGCTCAGGCCCGCGGGGAGGGGAAATAACGGATTTTTGTCTGGTGTGGGAGGGGGTCGCCAACGGTCATTTGCCTCCCAACAAGCCACGCCCTTTTCTGGAATTTTCCCTGGCCGGAGCCCTGCCCGCGTTCTGCCTGCCTCGCCTCATTCTCCGGGAAGATTCTGCAGCGGTAAGACGTCTCCGCCCGGGCCCGGGGGCCTCCATGCGGCCGGGGCCCCTCCAGGCCGGGCCGGGCCTGCGGCCGCGCAGCGCTCCAGCTCCCGCAAGCCCTTTCCCTCCTAAATACTTTGGGTTTTCTTTCTTCTTTCTATGTTTTCCTTTTGTCTCCATCATGAGGCCTGTGCTCAGGGCCTAGGTGCTGTCCTCAGCCTTCCACTCAAGACCAGCGCGCTGCCATCTGTAGCTTGTTATTTTCCTTTATTACCACCTCCTTCTTTCTTCTTCTTTCTTCTTCCTCCTCTTCCTCTTCTTCCTCTTCCTCTCCTTCTTCTCCTTCATCTTGTTTGGTTGTTAATTGGAAATGAGTCAAGTCCAGGTTGGCTTTGAACTGCTACCTACAAATCACAAGCTGCTGAGTTGCTAGTATTTACAGGAGTAATTTATATATTTTTTATAGTTCCCCCCCTCCCAGTAGTACTGGAGTTTGAATGCCGGGCTGTGAGCATGCTAGGCAGACTCCTACTAATCTGTGTCCCTAGCCTTTTTTTTCCCCCTCTTTTGGGACTAGGGCTCCCCACTTGCTGAAGTGTCCTCCTGTTTGAGCCACGCCTGCTTTATAGTCAGGATCACTAGTAACTATTTGCCCTCAGAAAATAAGCCAGCAAGTTCGAAGTGTGGCTCAAGTGGTGGAGCACCAGTCCTGGGTGAAAAGGGCAAATGAGAGTGAGGTCCTGGATTCAGGCTCAGAACTGGCACAAGCAAGCAGTGCGCTCCCATCTCCAAGAGCAGCAGTGGGTTTGGTTTTTTAATTTTTAAGGGGTTGAGGAGGGGAGAGACAAAAACAGAAAAAAAAAAAAGGTGGAGGAGGGAAGGCGAAGCACAGGAGACTCACACCTGTAACCCTAACTACTCGGGAGGCTGAGGATAGCGGTTCGAAGCCAGCCCAGGCAGGAAAGTCCCTAAGACTAATCTCCCATTAACCAGCAAAACGTTGGGAGTGGAGCTGTGGCCTTGAGTCAAAAAGCTTAGGGACAGTGCTCAGACCTTGAGCTCAAGCCCCAGGTCTGGCACCATAAAAGGGTGGTGTAGTAACAGCTTTCTAGAGGATGTGACTAGTTGGAATTCTGTATTCTTTACCATGCCTAGGGCCACTTTTCTGTGGTCTTACACAAATTACCCCCAAATTACGCGTTTACCCATTAAGTTTTAGGTCTCTAAAGGAAACCTAGAGAGGAAAAAAAAATCCATCTCCGTTCTTAAAACACCCATCCTGAGACAGTCATAGGACAAGGAAGGGGAGAGAAAGGGACCGCAAACGGTAGGAGGAGGGCGGGCGTCGAGTCCGGCCCGGCCAGGCGCGTGGCCGGGGCCCGCCCACACCGGCCTCAGGTTGCAGCCAATAGTCAGGACGGGCGTTGCTGATTGGTCCTCCCTTCAGTCCGGAGATGACGCAAATCCAGGCTTCAAGCCTACCGAGGCACCCCGCAAGGGCCTCTTTAGCTCCGCCCCTCGGCACACCAAAACAAGCAAGCTGCGCGGGGGCGGGGCCCGAGCTAGGCCGACGCCGCGCGGGGGCGGAGCTTCGGCTCGCGACGACTGAGGGTTGGATGGCTGGCCGCGGCCCCGCACTTCCGCCCGCGGCCGGCTGTTGGGCGGAGACGTGCAGGTGGGTTACAGGCCGAGGCTGGCTCTGGGTAAGCGGAGCGGCCGGGTCGGGGCCGCAGGCCCGGCGGGCGCGTGCGCGCGCAAGCCGCGCGGGGTAACGGGCGTGGCGCGAGGTCGCGGTGGGGGACGGGGGGCGCGAGCGGGCCCTGCACGTCCGGGTCGCGCGCAGGGGCCCGGCGGGCCGCTCCTTTGTGCTTCCTGCACGTCGGAGGCCGGACGTCGGGCGTGCGGTCCTCCCGTGGGTGTACACCGCAGCTCCCGGTGCGCGGCCCGGCGTCCAGGCTCTGCGCAGTTTCCTCGGGCGAAGAGGTCGCGTGGGGCCGAGTGTCGGGCCTGGCCCCGCCCCCGTCCCGTCCGGCCCCGCCGGCCGCGCTCTGGCTCCCGAGCGCCGCCGACAGCCGCCCCCTGGCCGCCGGGGGCGCTGACAGCCGGCCCGACCCGGCTTCGCGGGCGCCCCCTGCGCCCCGCGTGAGAGCTCGCGGCGCCAAACGGGCAGACAGCGGAAGGAAAGGCGCCCTCCACGGGAGACAGGTCTGCTGGGGACGAGGGTGGACAGCCCGGGCTGAATCACCTGCACTTGCTGGGGATGGGCTTGAACGCGGGGCCTGGCGCTGCCCTTCAGCTTTGGTGCTCGAGGCCAGCGCTCTATCCCTTGAGCCACAGCTCCTCTTCTGGCTCTTTTTTTGAGTCTCACAGGCTTTGCTGCGCAGGCTGGCTTTGAACCGTGAACCTCAGGTCTCAGCTTCTGAGTAGCTAGGCGTGAGCCACCAGCACCCAGCTTGATGATAGGGAGTTTTGGCTAAGTGTAGAGCTGTTCTTGAGTGGGAAGTTCCCTGAATATCTAGGGTGTCAGAATTAGAGTGTACCTCTTATTCATTTCTAGTGTGTGCGCGGATCGACTAACCTGCCCCAACTTCCTCAACAGATGTGCTGGTTTTGTGAGGTTGATGTGATGCTGAGGTGAGATTTAAAAAGTTAAAAGTCACATTATAAGTTTTGTTTCTTTTTGAATTTCAGAAATGTTCTTTCGGATGCAAAAGGCTGAATGGATATAAATGGATCCTTTCTCCCTCACAAGCCCAGTAGTAGGCGCTGAGAGGGTCACTTCTCTGTAGAACATTTGCCAAGGTAATCACTACTTTTTTTTTTTTTAACTTTACCACTTTTTTCAGTCATGCATATATATATATATATATATATATATATATATATATATATATAAAACATACACTGAGCACTGAGCTACAGAGAGAGAGCAGGTCCTTGCCTTAACAGATCCACACTGCTTAGGGCAGCTAATGAAAGTCAGTAGGAGTTCAGACCACATTGATGGGTGCAATGGTGGGTACACATACAGGGTCCTGAGAAGCAGAGAAGGTTTCAGGCCAACTGGAAGAGAGGATGAGTCCAACCAGCCTCCCAGATGCAGTGGCACCCAGGACACATTACACAGTCATTGTTCTCAGGTCCAATTTTCTCAGAATCATTAGTAGAATGCTTCACTCCCTTCCCCCTTTTTTTTTGGTCAGTGCTGGGGGGGCTTGAATTCAGGCCCTTATGAGCTCTTGCTGAGCTTTTTCACTCAAGGTGGGTGCTCTACCATTGAGCCATACCTTCACTTCTCCCTTCAGGCTTTTTGCTGATTAATTGGAGTTAAGAGTTTCTTGAATTTGTCTGCTGGGACTGGTTTTGAACCTTGATTCTCAGATCTTGGCTTCCTGAGTAGCTGTGGTGCCCAGCAAGTACACACACATATAATGTGATATGTATATATATATTTCATATAAGTAAATTTTGTATATTTTATATGTATGTATATACATATATATACATATACATATACACATACACAGGTACATGCACACACACATGCTGGTACTGGGGTTTGAATTTAGGGCCTCATACTTGCTTCACTATCAGTCTACCACTTGAGCCAATCCTAAAACTTTATCTTAGTTCTAAGGAGAAGATTTTTTTTTTGGGTCCGGTCGTGGGGCCTGAACTCTGGGCCTGGGCTCTGTCCCTCAACTCTTCAGCTCAAGGCTAGTGCTCTACCACTTGAGCCACAGCACCACTTCCGGCTTTTTTCTTTTTGCTTATGTGGTGCTGAGGAATCGAACCAGGGCCTCAGGCATGCAAGGCAAGCGCTCTACCACTGAGCCACCTTCCCCAGCCCTAAGGAGAAGATTTTTTTCTTTTTGTTGGTCGTGGGGCTTGAACTCTGGGCCTGGGTGCTGTCTCTCAGCTCTTCAGCTCAAGACCAGCTCTCTATCACTTGAACTACAGTGCCACTTCTGGTATTCTAGTGGTTTATTAGAGATAAGAGTCTCAGACTTTCCTGCCTGGGGTGGTGGGCAGGAACCTCGATCCTCAGATCTCAGCCTTCTGAGTAGCTAGGATTACAGGCATGAGCCACTGGTGCCAGGATCTTTTTTTTCCCCCAGGATCTGTGGGGTTTGACTTCAGGGCCTGGGCACTGTCCTGAGCTCTTTTGTTCAAGGTTAGTGTTCTACCACTTTGAGCCACAGTGCCATTTCTGGTTTTCTGGTGGTTAATTAGAGATAAGAGTCTCAGGACTTTCTTGCCTGGGCTGGCTTTGAATGTCCATCCTCAGATCTCAGTCTCCTGAGTAGATACATGAGCCACTGGCACCAGGCTTCATTTTCTTTTTTTAAGTGTTCCTATGAAACCTTGGTTCTAGTTCAGTACAGATGCAAGTACTTCTGCAGTGAGGATATGCCAGCACCATGAATTATTTTAGAAAGACCCAAGTGAGGAGAATTGAGTGTGAGGAGACACCAGGAGGTAGTGCTGAAGCCATGTTGTGGAGGGCCTTTTGCTTGAATTCAGAATTTGAATTTGAATTTTATCTCCCCTGTGGAGGAGTTACCTGTAGGTAGTGCTGGAAGTCTAGGCTGTGCATTGGCAATATATTGGAGGAAAAATTGGTAGTGAATTACCTAAGAGGTAGAGAACACAGAGAAGAAAATATACATGCAATTAAGGAGATAGACTCTCAAACTCAAGAGATGAGGACAAGGGAGAATGAGAAGATGGGATAATTGATAGGTTACTGGTTTGAAGATTGAGTAGATACAGAGCAGGTATGGTGGTACAAGCTTATAATCCCAGCTACTTAAGGTGGGCCCGAGGCAGGAACTAATGGATAGGATCTCCATCTTATTAAGTTGGGCAGCATGACATGTCTCTAAGTATAGGTGAGAGCATCATGGACTGAGGCTGGTCCTGGGTAAGACCCAGGCCCAGAAAACCCCACACAATCTATCCAGAAAATAGCTAAACCAAAAAAGCCTTTCAGATAAGGTTCAAGCCATAGAGCTTTTGCTTAACAACACAAGGCCTTGAGTTCAAACTTCACACTGACCCCTACACATGCGAAAAAACCCAAACCCTGTCAATAAGGGAATAGAGATGAAGAGCAGATCAGGGCAAGAGCTTTGTTCTGGTCTGGTCGAGCTTACTTTGCAATGCCTATCAGGACCTGGAGTAGCGTTCCATTGTTGGCAGTTGGGTATTGACTACAACTATAGAGTTTTAGGTTGTACTATAGAGTTTAGGCTATGCTGCCATTAGTGCAGGGGTGGGGAACCTTTTTTCTGATTTGTGCCATTTGGGTAGTTATGAAATTTAGAAAATGATCAGCAGATGGGTCTCAGGCTAGCTGGCAGGAAGCACGTATCTGTCCTGTCATGTACCTAATCTAATGACTCCACTCACCTATAGCCAGAAGCTTCCACATTCCTGATTTATTGAGTAGCAGGAATAAAGCATTGCATCTCTACAAGCTTAGGAGGGGTTAGTAGTTCAGTGGTAGAATGCTTGTGTAGCAAATGTGGAGGCCCTGGTTTCTTTTGCTAGTATGTATATACATATAAAGATGTAGATATAGAGAAATAAAGATACAGAGATAGATAGAGATTTATCTATCCATCCATTCACATTTTAGCTGGGCGCACTGGCTGTGAATGTAGTCCCAGCAACTAGAGAGACTGAAGCAGGGGCTCCCTGGAGCCCAGGAGTTTGCCAGCCAGAGCAGCATAGTAAAACTTGATCTTTTATATGTTTTTCAGTCTTTGGGTAACTTCAGTATGGGAATGATTCATGATTTGAATAAGGTCAACGAGAAGGGTGGAGGGTATTGAATGTGGAGGTTAGAATAAGTCTTAAGCCATTGGAGGTAAGTTGTTTGAGACAGAGGTTTACGATACTCTATAAATTCATTGTGTAACCTAGGCTGGCCTTGAACTCAGAATCCTGCCTCAAGCTCCAGTACTGGGATTATAGATGTGTACCACTGTACCTGGATGCCTGACTAGGGAGATTTTGGTATTTAGACTGGGAGCAAAGGAAGAAGTGATTGTGAAGGAGTTTGAGTAACACATTGCCAGCGGAGTGGCATGTTAGTATAGCTAAAGAATGCATAGTGAACATGTCCAATTGGATTTGGTAATAGAATGATCATTGGGGACTTTTAGGAAAGCATGTAGTGGAAAGTAAGGATAGAGGCTAGGATGAAAAGGACCTGCCAACCCTGGGGCTTGAACTCAGGGCTTGCTCACTGTCCTTGAGCTTCTTTTGTTCAAGGCCAGCTCTCTGCTACTTGAGCCACTGCTCTACTTCTGGCTTTTTTTAGTAGTTTATTGGAGGCAAGCATTTCACAGGCTTTTCTGCCTGGGCTGGTTTCAAACTGTAATCTTCAGATCTCAGCCTCTTGAGTAGTTAGGATTATGAGCATGAGGTGCTGGCATTGGCCTGAATTGCTTTTTTTAGATATTTTTCTTGGTAGATCTCAGCCTCCACAAAGCTGGGCTGACAGATGCAGACCACCGTGCCCAGCTAATGGGTGAGAAGTGGTCTGGAAAACTTTTTGGTTGAGCTGGACTCTTATCTGTAATCTACCCAATCTCAGCTTCCTTTGTAGCTAATGTTACAGATGTGAGCTAGTGTGAAGCCAGCTACCTGGCTGGTTTCCGTTGCTAATGTGCTCTACACAGCAGTGTCTCTGCTATATTCTCCATTCATAGGTACCTGTTTTATGACAGTAATTCTTACCTACTTGTGTGTATGTGCTGGTACTAGGGCTTGAACTCAAGGTTTTGCACTCTTTATCTTTCAAGGTTACTGCTGTACCCTTTGAGCCATACCTACCTGGAAAAATTTAATCTGCCTTTCTAGGGTGTGGAATTAGACTAGGTTTCTGTGAAATATAAGACAAATCCTGAGCCGGGCGCTGGTGGCTCACACTTGTAATCCTAGCTACTCAGGATGCAGAGATCTGAGGATCGAGGTTCAAAGCCTGCCTGGGTAGGAAAGTCCATGAGACTCTTATCTCAAATAAACTACCAGAAAACCGGAAGTGGTACTATGGCTCAAGTGGTAGAGCACTAGCCTTGAGCTGAAGAGCTGAGGGACAGTGCCCAAGCCCAGAGTTCCAGCCCCATGACGGACAAAAGAAAAACAACAAAAGAAAACAAGCATTTTTCTTAGAGGTGCCTTTTGGTCTCTGCTCGGTTATATTAAAGTGTACAACATTTTACTTGCACTACAGTTCCTTAAGATTTAAGTTTCAATTGACTATAATTTGTTACTTGCCAAAATTGTGTTTGAAACAGTTTATGACTGCAGAATCTGTGGAGTGTCACTTTCTATTTGTGGGCCCTTAGTTGACGCCCCACATCGAGTTGACAACCGGAAAAACCAGCTTCTGCAAACCCTTAACTTTCAGTATTATGCTATTCTTCCTTTAGGACTAAGTTCTTACTTAAATAAAATAATTTTATATTCTGCACAAACATGGCTAAGGCTGTGTGCATTGTATTCCCTAGTGGGCTGTGCCCGTGCCGGGTGGACATTAGTAAGCTGTACCTGAGTGGCCTTAGGGCCGTTATCTGCAGCTGAATCTGCATACTATTTTATTTTTTCAGATGAGAACTCATATATTCTCTCTGTCCCACTTTTGAGGAAGTTCCTAATTTTAGAATTTTTTTTTTTGGGGGGTACGGTCATGGGGCCTGAACTCTGGGCCTGGGCACTGTCCCTCAGCTCTTCAGCTCAAGGCTAGCACTCTACCACTTGAGCCATAGCACCACTTCCAGCTTTTTTCTTTTTTCTTACGTGGTGTTGAGGAATTGAACCCAGGGCCTCATGCATGCAAGGCAAGCACTCTACCACTGAGCCACCTTCCCATCCCCTAATTTTAGAACTTTATTCTTTAGCTTTTTTTTTTTTTTTGGTGGTACTAAGGACCAAGGGCCTTGCCCTTGCTATGCAAGCATTCTCCCACTGAGAAAAATCCCAACCTCTAGAATATTATTTTTGTGCTTTTCCTGAGGCATGAACTCATGGCCTGGGTCATGTCCTTCAGCTTTAAATCTCTCTCTCTCTCTCTCTCTCTCTATCTATCTTATCTATCTCTATCTACCTACCTACTTACCTACCTATATTTTATTATTGTTGGTGGTAGTCATGGGACTTGAACTCAGGACCTGAGCACTGTCCCTGAGCTTCTGCTCAAGGCTAGCACCCTACCATTTGATCTATAGTGTCACTTCCTGCTTTTTCTCAGTAGTTTATTAGACATAGGAGTCTTATGAACTTTCCTGCCCAGGCTAACTTTGAAATGCAGTCCTCAGATCTCAGCCTCCTGAGTAGCTAGGATTACAGGTATGAGCCATTAGCATCTGGCTAGGAGTATATTTCTTTTTTCCTCTTCCTTTGCTTTCCTTCAGTTTGATCTCCCTGAGCTTTTCTGCTCAAAACCAGCAGCACTCTACCACTTGAGCTCCACCTTTTTTTAGTAGTTAATTGGAGACAGGAGTCTCATGGACTTACCTTCCAGGACTAGCTTTGATCCTCAGGTCTCAGCCTTCTGAGTAGCTACAATTACAGGTTTGAGCTACCAGCTCAAGAATCTTTTTTTATTGTGCCAGTCCTAGGGCTTGAACTCAGTCCCTGAACTTTTTGTTCAAGACTCATGCTCTACCACTTGAGCCCATAGCTCCATTTACTTTATTTATTTATTTTTTTTGTCAGTCGTGGGGCTTGAACTCTGGGCCTGAGCACTGTCCCTCAGCTCTTCAGCTCAAGATGAGCGCTCTACCACTTGAGCTACAGCACCACTTCCGGTTTTGAGTGTTTATTGGAGATAAGAGTTTTACGGACTTTAATGACTGGGCTTTGAACCATGATCCTCAGATCTCAGCCTCCTGAGTAGCTAGGATTACAGGTGTGATAGAACTTATTTTCAACTTCCTTTTCTATGAATATTTTAATATTGAAAGCTAGTCTAAGTCCCTGTAAAAGTGTAAAGAAAGTATGTTTCTGGAAAGTATTAAGTAAAAATAAGAAATTTAAACAGTTTATAATACAAACACATATATTTGATTGCACTCATTCATTTATGTAATTATTACATTAGTTGTGAAGTTAAAAAAAGCCTAGCATAAAGTAAAAATTTTTTCAAAATGTTACCGTTTTCTGTTAGTGGAAATTGTGAGTACATAATATGAATTTCAGGCAGATTTCATATTCAAATACATTACACTACCAAATTCTGTGTCCAGATGTTCACTCACTTTGTTTTTTGTTTTAGTGAGGATCAAATGTAGGGGACTGTGTTTTAGGGAAGCACTGCACTGCTGAACTCCACCCCTGCCCACCCCATATCCCTGGTTTCAGATTTGTGTTCATTCAGGTCTGCAGTTGATAGCATGGGCACAGACCTTTTGGCTGTGAAGACACATTTGAATTGAAAACCTGGGTTATAAGTAGAAAGGCACCTGTTCTTCACAATAGCAAGGATATGTTTTCCTTCAGTTCTTAGCTGTTTTCTCTTTTGGATGTAGGTCCAGAATGAGCACTTGTTGCTGGTGCACACCGGGTGGCATTTCCACCCTTGACTTCCTAAAGAGCTATGCCTCCAGGACCCTCTCTGGAGAATTCCACACAGCTGACGAAGACCTCTGCTACTGCTTAGAATGTGTGGCTGAATACCACAAAGCAAGAGAAGAATTGCCTTTCTTGCATGAGGTAAATAACATTAGATAGGCATTATTTTTCATAGATTACTGACTAAGAAAAGAATGTTTGAACTCTGTTAGAAACGTTCAGAGAAATACATTTCTAACTAATTGTTGGTTTATGTAGGTGCTGAGTAAACACTTAGCCCTGATAGAAATGAATTAAAATCTAAAGCAGAATTTATAGTTAGTTTCATTAATTTCAATATAAAACGATTTTATGAAATGCAGCCATTCCCAATACTTGGGAGGTGAGGGCATGAGGATTTTAAGTTTAAGGCTAGCTAGGCTACAAAGTATGACCCTATCTCAAAAAGAGAAGAAAAAAAAGAAATTAAGTTGGATGGGGGTATTTTTAGTTTTATCTTTTATGTCAATATCAGTACTTTCAGTGGGGTTTTGTTCGCTTGCTTTTGGTTTTGTGCCACTGCTAGGGCTTGAACTTGGTGCTTGGAAGCTCTTCCTTAGCTTTGTTGCTCAAGACTAGTGATTTATCACTTGCCTTTTTGGTGGCTAATTGAGATAGGAGTCTCATGGACTTTTCCTGGCTGGTCTGGTCTTTGAACCAAGATCCTCAGGAGGTTCAGGCCTCCTGAATAGCTAGGATTACAAGTCTGAGCTATCAGCACCTTGCAATGTTTAGTTTTAGTTTTTTTTAAAGTAATGACTTTTTAATGGTAAGTAGTTAGAAAACTGAGGATAACCATATCTACTTTGTTATATTTATCTAATAAAACAAACACAGACTACAGAGGTGTGTACAGTATATGGAGGTGAGGATGAGTAGTTAGTTATGAACATGTCCAAAATCTTGAATTATATAAAATTTCTACTTGTGAAGCTACTCATTGTCATTGAAGTTAGTGTTCTAAGGTAGGCACCTGTCTGGTTTTCCTGCCGTGGCTAGCTTCAAACTTCAGTCCTCTAGCTCTCAGACTCCTGAGTATTATAGGTATGACTTATTAGCTAATACAGACAGCTATACTCTGTTTGCCTCTTTATTTTATTGTGTACTATAAATGCTTTATTTTGTACAAACTGAAAGCTTGGGTGTCCTGCTTAGAGTGAGTCTGTCAGTGCCACTTTCCCAGCAACTTGTATTCTGTTTGTGTCTCTTTCACAATTTGGTGATTTTCGTATTTCTAACTTTTTAAGTATTATTGTTAATGTTATGGTGATCAATGATCTTTAATGCTGCTATTATAATTGTTTGGGGGGTACGATGAGCCCAGGTTAACTGTCCAGTAAATGCTGTGTGTTCTGACTGCTTTATTGATTACCCATTCGTTTTTCTCTTTCCTCAGGCCTCTATAGTCTGGAAACATACCAGTATTGAAATTAGGCCAATTAGTAACCCTAGAGTAGTCTCTTTAAGCAAGAGTCACACATCCTATGCTTTAAAGTCACAGATGATTAAGCTTAGTGAGGAAAGCAACTTAAAGGCTAAGGTAGGAGCTGGGCACTGGTGGCTCACACCTGTAATTCTAACTACTCAGGAGGCTGAGATCTAAGGATTGTGGTTCAAAGCCAGCTTGCACAGAAAAGTCCCCATGAGACACATCTCCAGTTAACCTCTCAAAAATGAAGTGGAGCTGTGGCTCAAGTAGTAGAGTGCTAGCTTTGAGCACAAGGAGGCTTTTGGACAGTGCCCAAACCCTGAGTTCAAGCCCTGCAACCAACAAAACAAAGCAACAACAACAAAAAGAAAAAACAGGCTAAGGTAGGCTGAAAGTTAGGCCTTTTGTGCAGAATAGCCATAGTGCTCCTGTAGCAGCTTCCCAAGCTATGGAGAAGATCTGACTAAGATAATTGATGAAGGTAACTGTAACAAACAGCAGATTTTCCATGTAGAAGACACAGTTTACATCAGGAGAAGATGCCATCTAGGACTTTAATGTCTGGACAGGCGAAGTCAGTTCTTGGCTTCAAAAAAGGCAGGTCAAGCTGGGCGCTGGTGGCTCATGCCTGTAATCCTAGCTACTCAGGAGGCTGATATCTGAGGATTTGGATCCTGCCCAGGATCTAGCCTGGGCAGGAAAGACCATGAGACTCTTATCTCCAATAAACCACTCAGAAAACTGGAAGTGGCGCTGTGGCTCAAGTGGTAGAGCACTAGCCTTGAGCTGAGAGCTGAGGGACAGCGTCCAGGCCCAGAGTTCAAGCCCCATGACAGACAAAGGAAAAAAAAAGGCAGGTCAACTCAATTAGGGGCTAATGTAGTTGCTGATTTTTTTAAGTTGAAGTCAAGTGTTCATTTACCATTTTGAATATCCTAGGGTGCCAAAGAATTACACAGATTCTGCTCGGCCTGTGCTTTATAAAGGGACTGTTCTATAAATAACAAAATCTGGAAGATAGCATGTTTGTTTACACCTAGCTTTACTGGATATATTAAGCCCACTATTGAGACCTGCTGTTCCATAAAAAGAATTCCTTTTTAAATGTTCGTATTGATCGACAGTGTACCTGGCCACTTGGAGCAAGGTGGGGATGGAATAAGGCTGATGGCGTCCGTCATCAGTGCTTCCTGACACGCATCCATTCTGCCTGTGGGGCAAGACGCAGTTTAGAATCAGATGTTGTATAGATTCATAAAACTGTAGCTGCCACAGTCATTCCTCCATATCTGGGCTAAATAAATTGAAGACCTGGAAAGAATTGACACTTTAGATACCATTAAAAAACATTTGTGGAAGTGGCGCTGTGGCTCAAGTGGAAGAGCGCTCGCCTTGAGCTGAAGAGTGCAGAGCACCTAAGCCCAGAGTTCAAGCCCCACAACTGACCAAAAAAAAAAAAATCTAAAAAACATTTGTGCTGGGCACCGGTGGCTCACGTCTATATGATCCTAGCTACTCAGAAGGCTGAGATCTGAGGATCACAATTCAAAGCCAGCTTGGGCAGGAAAGTCCGAGACTCTTAATCTCCAATAAGCCGCTGGAAAACCAGAAGTGGCACTGTAGCTCAAGTGGTAGAGTGCTCACCTTGAGCTGAAGAGCACAGGGACAGCGCCCAGGCCCAGAGTTCAAGTCCCGTGACCGACCAAAAAAACAAACATTTGTAGCTGGGTACAGTGGCTCACATCTATATAATCCTAGCTACTCAGGAGGCTGAGGTCTGCAGTCTAGGTTTGGAGCCAGCCTGAGACAGTCTTTAAAACTCTGCACACGTATGTGTGTTGGGCCTTGAACTCAAGGCCCCACTCTCCTTTAGCTTTATAAAAGCTCAAGATTGGCTGGCACTCTATCACTTGAGCCATACGTATATTTTCATTTTTATTTTATTTTTTTTATTTTTTATTTATTTATTTATTTTTGTCGGCCGTGGGGCTTGAACTCTGGGCCTGGGCGCTGTCCCTCAGCTCTTCAGCTCAAGGCGAGCGGTCTACCACTTGTGGTTTATTGGAGATAGGAGTCTCATGGTCTCTCCTGCCCGGGCTGGCTTTGAACCGCGATCCTCAGATCTCAGCCTCCTGAGTAGCTAGGATTACAGGCGTGAGCCACCAGCGCCCGGCTCATACATATATTTTCATAAATCCTTGAAATTCATTACAGTTGAGCAGAAAGGAGGGTTCTCGAAACAATGCTTTGCTGTCCTGGTGAAGATGCCTGAACATTGTCAAAAATGACAACAAAGAATTTAGATGTAATCTCAGTTTATGTCTCTCAAACTCAGCAGATGAAGTGGATTTGAGAGAACTGACTCCAGTTGAGAAGGTCTGTGGTGACATGGCACCATGGTGTAGACAGTCTCACTGTAGTTTTTAGTGAGAGGGATAATCAGTGTGGCTAATTACATCCCATCCCACAGTAGTCAAGTCCTTCCAGAGTCATGGCTCACCAACTTTTTTTTTTTCTTTGTCAGTTGTGGGGCTTGAACTTAGCTCTTCAGCTCAAGGCTAGCACTCTGTCGCTTTAGCAACAGCATCACTTCCAGTTTTCTGGTGGTTAATTGGAGATAAGAGTCTCATGGACATTCCTGCTGGGGCTGGCTTTGAACTGCAATCCTCAGATCTCAGCCTTCTGAGTAGCTAGGATTTCAGGCTTGAGCCACCAGTTCCTGGCTCACTGACTTTTTTAATGCTGTTTCTAGGGCTTGAACTTAGAGCCTAGGCACTGTTCCTGAGCTTTTTTACTCAAAGCTGGTGCTCTACTAGTTGAGCCACAACTCCACTTCTAGCTTTTTGATGGATTATTTGAGATAAGAGTCTCATGGACTTTCCTGTACTTTCCCAGTTTTTCTCTCCCATCCCCACCCACAAGTTGTGTAGTTCATTTTCAACATAGTGTCTAGTGCCTGAAGTTTTAAATTAAGATATATATAGCCAGATGCTGGTGGCTTGTGTCTGTAATCCTAACTACTCAGGAAGCTGAGATCGGAGGATTGTGGTTAAAAGCCATCTCAGGCAGGAAAGTCCATGAAACTCTTATCTCCAATTAACCACCAGAAAACCAGAAGTGGTGCTGTGGCTCAAGTGGTAGAGTATTTGTCTGGAGCTGAAGAGCTGAGGGACAGTGCCCAGACCTAGAGTTTAAAGCCCATGACAAATCCTCCCCCCCAAAAAAAGGATATATATATATATATATATACATATATATATATATATTTATTTATTCTTGAGAAGTACTGTTACTTAATAGGCTGTATGTGGTATAAAAGCTTACACACACAGGAAAACAAAAGTTCAGGGAAAATGTTTTCCAAAATGATATCACAGCTAACATATTTTGTTGATAAGATATAAACCATGCTGCTCATTTTTTTTCTCTCTAGGTTTTATGGGAATTAGAAACCCTACGTCTCATAACTCACTTTGAAAAATCTATGAAAGCAGAACTTGCAGATGATGATGATGACGAGTTATATATAGTAGACAGCAATGGAGAGGCACAGCTGTTTGACTTTACTGGCCAAGACTTTGAGAATAAGCTTCGCGTTCCTCTGCTTGAGATACTGAAATACCCTTACCTGCTTCTACACGAGCGTGTCAGTGAGTATCGTAGGCTTGCACTGAGGCCCCTGTATGTGGTATGAGGTGCTTGACCGCTTGAGCCACCTGCCCCTCCATTTTGTTAATTTAAAATTTGGAAGCAAGGATGTGGTAGCATAGTGGGAGAGTGCTTACTTAGCCTCTGTGAGGTCCAAGATCATCCAGTCCCCACTATAAACCACGAATCTTACATTTGAGGCTTATTGGTAATAAAAATTTATTTGCTCAATGTATAACTAGAATACTTAATATTTCCCTCAACCTCTTATTATGAAAGTTTTCAAATAGTGAATAGCATGTAACCTTCCATGGATTCTGCAATTTGCTATATTTGCATTATCATGTATCTTTTATGGCAGTTTTTTTTTTTTGGGGGGGGTCCGGTCGTGGGGCCTGAACTCTGGGCCTGGGCGCTGTCCCTCAGCTCTTCAGCTCAAGGCTAGCGCTCTACCACTTGAGCCACAGCGCCACTTAGGCTTTTTTTCTTTTTGCTTATGTGGTGCTGAGGAATTGAACCTAGGGCTTCATGCATGCAAGGCAAGTGCTCTACCACTGAGCCACCTTCCCAGCCCCTGTCGTTTTTTTTTTTTAAGTGATGCTGAGATTTGAACTCAGGCCTCGGCTTGGTATGCAGATAGATACTCTACCACTTGAGCTACCTACTAGCCCTAAGTAATTCTTGGTTGTTAGGGGACTGCAGCTCATTAGGGGATATTGAGTGGCATCTCCGGCCTCTTTTTATCCAATGTCAGTAGCATCCTCCAGCCCGCCTGCCACCGGGACAACCCAGAATGTTTCTAGACATTACTGAGTGTCCTGTAGGAAGAGGACGAGGACGCAGGACACCTGATTGAGAGCCACTGGTTTGTAGTGATGTTCACCAATCACCAGTCAGTGGTGAATTGTAGCTGTCTAGATTTGGTTTATATCTTATATCTATATGTTTTATATCTTATATTTGCAGTTCTTAATATGAATCTCTCAAAAGTAAAGATATAGCTGGGCACTGGTGGCTCACACCTGTAATCCTAGCTACTCAGGAGGCTGAGATCTGAGGATCTAGGTTCAAAGTCAGCCCGGGCAGGAAAGTCCGTGAGACTCCCATCTCCAATAAACCACCAGAAAACTGGAAGTGGCACTGTAGCTCAAGTGATAGATAGCTCGCCTTGAGCTGAAGAGCTGAGGTACAGCGCCCAGGCCAGAATTCAAGCCCCATGACTGACCAAAAAAAAAAAAAGACATCTAATATGTAATTTAACAAAATAAGAATACCTTTTTCTTTTGAGACTGTCTTGGTCGCTAGTTAGCTCAGACTGGTCTTAAGCTTAGAATTCTTCTACTTCAGGCCCCAGAATGCTGTAATTATAAACATGTACCACTACATCTGCTGGCAATAAGAATACCTTTAAGGAATCTAATATCTAGTCCATTTTGTGTGTGTATGTGGACACGCACATGTGTGTATGTGTATGCACGTATTCATGCATGCACTGATGCCCTGGGCGTGAACTCAAGGTCTGGGTGCTGTCCCTGAGCTTTTTTCCTCAGGGATGGCTTCTCTACCACTTGAGCAACAACTCCATCTCCAGTTTTTTGGTAGCTAATTGAAAATAAGAGTCTCATGGCTATCCTGCCCAGGCTGGCTTTGAATCATGATTCTCAGATTTTAGCTTCCTGAGTAGCTAGGATTACAAGTGTGAGCCACTGATACCTAGCATACAAAATATGCTTACAAAAATATGTTCTATGACTGGTTTGTTTAAATTGGAGTCTCATCAGGAGCTATACATTACATTTAGTTATTTCTCCCCACCCGTCACACATTAATCATAGGGGGGATTTCATGTGACATTTCTACTCTTATATACAACCTGTTCCACTCCCTCTCCCTCTCTCTTTCCCTTCCCTGTTTATAACACAGTTTCATAGTTCTGTTTCCATATATGCAAACTGCATTGACCATATTCACCCTGACATCACACCCTTCCTTGTTAGCCCAACCCCTCCTGCTAGTGCCAATTCCAGCTACAGAGCCTGTTGATCAAAGCTTTCATTGAGGGTCTTTATGCTGTTCTCATACATATACTCATCTTCTGTCTTTGTTGCTCCTTTTCGTTCTCCAAGTATTCCCTTAGCTAGATGTATGTTCTTTGTTTATCCAAATACACATGTATATAGGTACATATATCTGTGTACATGCCCATGCATAAGCATCTTTGAGGTCTAGGTTCCACAGGAGCAGCAACATATACTACTTGTGTGTGTGTGTGTGTGTGTGTGTGTGTGTGTGTCTGCATCTGTGTCTGTGTGTCTGTGTGTGTGTCTGTGTGCGCACACGCACTTGCGCATTGGTGGCCAGGGTTTTTTAACTCAGGGCCTGTGCTTTCACTTGTCTTCCTCACTTACAACTGGTGCTCTACAGCTTGACCCACCCTTCTAGTTTGGCATTTTGCTGATTAATTGGAGATAAGAATTTCATGAACTTTAGTGCCTGGGCTGATTTCAAACCAACATCCTTAGATCTCATCCACCTGAGTCGCTGAGATTATAGGGATGAGCCACTGGCACCTAGCTGATATCTAGTGTTTTGAACTTTTCTTACCTCATGCAATAGAGTGTCCTCCAATTCCATCCCCATTTCTACAAATGACATGTTTTAATTTTTTCTTTATGGGTGTGTAATCCATATTGTGTGTGTGTTTGTTATGTATCATCTTTATCCATTCATCTCTCATTGAGCACCGTGGCTGATTCCTCACTTAGGCTATTGTGAACAGTGCTATAATAAACACGGATATTGCATATGTCTTCGCTGGATATATGCCAGAGTGGTGTGGCAGGGTCATAAGGAAGGTTGACTTTTTGTGTTTTGAGGAACCTCCACACTGATTTCCATAGTGCTTGCACTAGTTTATATTTTAACCAAAAATGTATGAGGGTGTTTTTTTTTTTTTTTTGCCTCTCATCTTTGCCAGCAGTTATTGTTGGTTTTCTTGATAGATGCCATTTTGGGGTAAGGTAGAATCTTCCTGTGGCTGTGATTTGCATTTTCTTTTTTTTTTTCTTTTTTTGTTGGTCGTGGGGCTTGAACTCTGGGCTTGGGCGCTGTCCCTGCACTCTTCAGCTCAGTGTAAATGCTCTACTGCTTGAGTCACAGCGCCACTTATGGTTTCCTAGTGGTTTATTGGAGATCAGAGTCTCCTGGACTTTTCTGCCCGGGCTGGCTTTGAACCGTGATCCTCAGATCTCAGTCTCCTGAGTAGCTAGGATTACAGGCGTGAGCCACTGGTGCCCTGCTTGTCATTTGCATTTTCTTTATGGCTAAGTATGTTGAACATTTTTTCATGTATCAGCCATTTTTTCCCCCATGGGTCTTAAACTTAGGGCCTGGACACTGTCCCTGAGCTTTTCTGTTCAAGGCTAGCGCTCTACCATTTTGAGCCACAGCTCCACTTTGGGTTTTCTGGTAGTTAATTGGAGATAAGAGACTTGATACTCAGATCTCAGCCTCTTGAATAGCTAGAATTATAGATGTAAACCACCAGCACCTGGCTCTATTTTTATTTCTTGTGAAAACTGTCTGGTCACTTTGCTTGCCCATTTGTTGATTGGCTTGTTTGTTCTTTTGCTGTTTAATTTTTTAAACTATATTCTGTGCATTACTTCCTTATCTGTTGAATAGCTGGCAAGAATTTTCTGCCATTCCATTAATTGTTCCTTCTTACTCCTACCCCCTAGGCAACCGGAGTCCTATTCAGAAAAATTTACTTGTGCCTATAATTTCCAAGGTTTCCCTACCTTTTCCTGTAGTAGATCTAAAGTTTCAGTCTGACTTTGAGCCCTTTGATCCATTTGGAGTAGGATGAGTTTGGCTCCTTTCTCAGAGATTAGCTAGCTATGTGTGTTTTATTCCTAGGTCTTCTATACTGTTCCATTGATCTTTGCCTCTGTTTTTTTGTATTAGTACACAAAACCACAAAGAAGCTTGCTATTTTGTTACTGTGGCTCTGTAGTTTAATTCGAAGTCTAGTGTTGCTCTTTTTACTTAGAATTGCTTTTGCTGGTTGGGGTCTTTCATCCTCCATATGAAGTTTTAGATTGATTTTTTTCTATTTCTCTGAAGAATAGTGTTGGGACACTGATTCTGTAAATTGCTTGAGGCAACATCCAATCCATGAGGATTAGAAGTCTTTGCATCTTGGTGATACCTTCTATTTGTTTCTTCAAAATGTTGTGTTTGGTTTTGGTTTTGGTGTCACTCCTGGTGCTTGAACTCAGGGTCTGGGAGCTGTCCCTTGAGCTTTTTTGTTCAAAGCTAGTGCTCTACTATGTTAGAACAGAAAGCTGCTCCTCCCACCCCATGGTGCCAAGAAGCAGGGTGATGCACACAAGATGTTGAATTCCTGCTGCATTCTGCATCGTGGGAAGCCAGAGCCTGTATTGCTATAGCTGAGGGATAGCACCTAGCCCAGAGTTCAAGCCCCATGACCGACAAAAAAAAAAAAAGACATCTTCTAATATGTAATTTAACAAAATAAGAATACCTTTTTCTTTTGAGACTGTCTTGCTCACTGGTTAGCTCTTCTCTTCTTCTGTCTCTGTTTATTCAAAACTCTCTTCGTGGGCTGGGGATGTGTAGCTTAGTGGTAGAGTGTTTGCCTTGCATGCATGAAGCCCTGTGTTTAATTGTCAGTACCACATACATAGATAAAGCAGGAAGTGGAGCTATGGCTCAAGTGGTAGAATGCTAGCCTTGAGCAAAAGAAGCTCAGGCAGTTCCCAGGCCCTAAGTTCAAGCCCCAGGACTGGCAAAAACAAACTCTGTGTACACACACACACACACACACACACACACACACACACACACACACCTGCAAAAACAAACTGTGTACACACACACACACACACACACACACGCACACACACACACACACACACACACACACACACACACACACACACACACACACACACACACACACACACACACACACACACACACACACACACACCCCTTCTCTCACACCTTCTCCATGCTTTGAACTTGTTAAGACCATATAGTTGCCTGATAGAGTTTACAGATTTTTCTGATTGCTTGTTTTTTTTGTTTGTTTTAGTTACTGTTTTTCCTATTGTTTGCATTTCAGTAAACTAAATGGTAGATCTAAAGATTTAATTAAATTCTCCATAAATAAATACAAAGTAATTGTAACAAAAAATTTTGTGTGTGTATATGTATGTATGTATGTGTGTATGTATGTGTATGTGTGTGCCTGTCCTTGAATTCAGGGCCTGGGTGTTGTCTCTGAGCTTCTTTTCTCAAGGTTATTGCTCTACCAATTGAGCTGCTACACTACTCAGACTTTTTCTGAGTAGTTTATTGAGTTGAGTCTCACAATCTCTTCTGCCTGGGCTAGCTTTGAACTGATCCTCAAATTTCATCCTCCTGAGTATTACAGGTGTGGGCCACTGGCACCCAGCTAACAAAGTCTTCTTTTTTTTTTTTTTTTTTGGTGCTCCTTCTGGGGCTTGATCTCAGGGTCTGGGTGCCTTCCTTGACCTTTCATGCGCGAGGCTAGTACTGTACCACTTGAGCCATAGTTCCACTTCTAGTTTTTTGTTTGTTTTTATTTGTTGTTTGCAGAGCTGAGGACTTATTAAGTAAGTGCTCTTCCACAGAGCTAAATCCCCAATTTCCAGTTATTGGTAGTTAGTTGGAGATAAGAGTCTCATGGACTTCCTGCCTTGGCTTTGAAATGTGATCCTCAGATTTTAACCTCCTGAGTAGCTAGGATTACTGATATGAGCCACTAGTACCTAGCTTCCCAGCATTCTTAAAGTTATTTTTTTTTTCTCCTGAGACCAGGACTCATTGGCTATTGCTGTACCACCTGAGCCAGAGCTTAAAACTTCATTAAAAGCTGAGTGCCAGTGGCTCACACCTGTAATCTTAGCTACTCAGGATGCTGAGATCTGAGGATCAGGGTTGAAAGCCAGCATGGGCAGAAAAGTCCGTGAGACTCTTATCTCTAATAAACCATTAGAAAACCGGAAGTGGCACTGTGGCTCAAGCAGTAGAGTGCTCACCCAAGCCCAGAGTTCAAGCCCCATGACCGGCAAAAAAAAAAAAACAAAAAACAGCTTCACTAAGGAAATAACATTTTAAAGCTGGGCACCAGCGACTCATGCCTGTGATCCTAGCTACTCAGGAGGCTGAGATCTAAAGATCATAGTTCAAAACCAGCTTGGCAAGAAAGTCTGTGAGACGCTTACCTCCAATAAACTACTCAGAAAAAGCTGCAATTGGCACTGTGGCTCAAGTAGTAGAACACTGGCCTTGAGCATAGAGAGGCTCAGGGACAACGCCCAGGCCCTGAGTTCAAGCAAAAAAAAAACAACAAAACAACAAAACATTTCAAGAGGCAGCATGGTGACATGTATTTGTAATTCCAGCACATAGTAGTCTAAGGCAGGAGGATTTCTAGTTTGAGGCCATCTATACTACATACATAAGATCTTGTCTCAAAGATATATGGACATAAAGCTTGTATGCATATGAACAACTATATGTCCATATTCAGAAAATACCTTGAAGATTTTTTTTATACTCATAGCCACCATTGAGATAAGACAATATCAGTATCCTTGAAGTTTCCCATATACACTCAGTGTCATTGTTCTCTCCCCAAAGCAAGCACTTGTCCTTGCATAATAAACTGATTGATCATTCAGTAAATGAAAGTGGAATTAGTAGTCAGTTGGAGAAAAACATCCCTCCACCCCTGTACCAGATAAAATTCCAGATGAAGGAAGATGTAAAATGCAAATAGAATTGAACCTATAGTAATACTTGTAAGAAAACACTCTATGGAGATAATTATGTGAAGTATTCTTAAAAATGTATATTCTGGTAAAGTCAGTTCCTAAGAATACCCTTAGATTGTAGCTGCATTTGTCAGGGCTCACTTGGGATATATATAGCTCAGTGACAGAGCACTTGCCTAGCAGCACAAGGCCTTGGGTTTGATTCTAGGGCCACTGAAGAAAATAGAATTTCTATTTCTCAGTCAGGTAATTACTATTCTAGCACTTAAATTATCAGTGTTTTTATACATCAGTTAAAAAAAAAACAAGAAGCAGGCTTAAGGAATCTTGAGAATTTGATAAGATTTTGATCTCTTATTTATTGAGTCATTATTTTCTTTTTAGATGAATTATGTGTGGAAGCACTTTGTCGGATGGAGCAAGCCAACTGTTCTTTTCAGGTTTTCGACAAACATCCAGGGATCTATCTGTTTTTGGTTCATCCCAATGAAATGGTGAGTGTGAGTGTTAGGCAATAGAAGGATATGTTTTATTCTCCTACACGGAGAGTGTTCATAGAGGCGTCAATAGTGGGTTTTGTTGTAGGTTCTTTAATATGATTGCCAGACATTTTTATTTTTACATTTAAAATGACTACACATAAGTAGAGGAGCTAGGAGGTCAAAGAATGGGGAATCCAAGAGGTAGTGGGCACTTCGGATGGGGGATAGTGGTACTAAAGAAGGCTACAAGGGAGTAATCGTTGTGCTTCAGTCAGACTTAACTAATGAAGGGTTCTTCTTCCTTTCTTTTCTATTCCCTCCCTCACTTTCTCCCTCCTTCCTCCTTTCCCTCTTCCCTCCCCCCTTTTTTTCTTTTTTCCTTCCTTCCTTCCTTCCTTCCTTCCTTCCTTCCTTCCTTCCTTCCTTCCTTCCTTCCTTCCTTCCTTCCTTCTCTTTCCTTCCTTCCTTCCTTCTCTTTCCTTCCTTACTTCCTCTCTCTCTCTCTCTCTCTCTCTTTCTGTCTTTCTTTCTTTCTTTCTTTCTTTTTCTTTCTTCTTGTGCCAGTCCTGGGGCTTGAAGTCAGGGCCTGGGATCTGTCCCTAAGCTTCTTTTGCTCAAGGCTAGTGCTCTTCCACTTGGGCCACAGCTCCACTTCTGGCTTTTTTGGTAGTTTTGGTCAAAGTCAGAGTCTTACAGACTTTCCTTCCCGCGCTGAGTTTGATCCATGATCCTCATCAACCTCTCCTGAGTAGCTAGGATTTACAGGCATGAGCAACTAGTGTCTGTTCCTTTCCTTTTCTTTCTTTTCTTTTTTTTTACATTATTAGCTTCCATTAGTTGGACCTGTGGGGTTTCGTTGTGACATTTGCATACGTTTACATTATCTTCCAGTCACTCTCAACTCCACCATCACTTTCCCTTCCCCAGACAGATTCTTGTTTCTCATTTTCCTCATTTTCCTCCTTTCCACTCCAAACACGTGGAAATTACAGTTAAAATATTTATAAATGTTTTGCTGATAAATGAGATTAAAAGGCAGGGGTTTAGGGGATTCCTGGGTTCTAGAATGAAGAGAACAGAAGTGAGGGTAGCAAGAAGCACAGAAACCAAGCACCAGGGAATCATTGGATCCTCATGTAGATCTGTGGCTCACCAGGTATTGAGCACCTGAGTGCTGTGGGTTCTCTGTACCTTGCCACTTAAAATTGAGCCAGGGAAGCTCTGTGTGTGTGTGTGTGTGTGTGTGTGTGTACGCACGCGCGTGTGCACGTGCTAAATTATGCAACAGAAAAGAGCCATTTAAAAAAAAAAAAGCATTGTAATAGGGTTTCTTGTTAAAAGTGGTAGTAAATTTCAGTTTTTTGTGCCAAATATGATAGGAAAGATCTCCAAAGAAAAAGTTAAGAAGATTGACACCAGTGACAAGTGGCTAACACTGATCTGAGGATCAAGGTTCAAAGCCAGCCCATGCAGGAAAGTCCATGAGATTCTTATTACCAATGAACCACCAAAAGGCTGGAAGTGGAGCTGTGGCTCAATTAGTAGAGTGCTAGCCTTGAGCACAAAAGCTCATGGACAGCCTCCAGGCCCCTGAATCAAGCTCTAGGACCAGCACCCACTCACAAAAATGACCGACAGGGGCTGGGAAGATGGCTTAGTGGTAGAGCGCTTGCCTTGCATGCATGAGGCCCTGGGTTCGATTCCTCAGCACCACATAAGCAAAAAGAAAAAAGCTGGAAGTGGCGCTGTGGCTCAAGCGGTAGAGCGCTAGTCTTGAGCTGAAGAGCTGAAGGACAGCGCCCAGGCCCAGAGTTCAGGCCCCACGACCGGACCCCCCCCCCCCAAAAAAAAAAAAAGACTGACAGCTCTTAGAAGCTAACTCTGTAAGCCAGCAGTAGAATAGAAGCATGAAAAAATGAGTAGGTTGTTAGGCCTTTGTGGCCGTAGGTAGTGAGGAATCCAACTTATGCAGCATAACAGGACTTAGAAATATCTTCCAGGCAAGACAAAGGACCGGAGACAAGGTCTGTGTCCAAAGCAAGGACCAGGCTCCTCTGCCCATGAAAGAAAGTTGACAAAGTACAAAATGGTTGGGGCTTGCTTGTTAAAACGTTTTTATCTTTACTTTTTAGAGGAAGCAGGTTGTGGTTAGTTTTCTGTCACTGTAACACATATTTGAGATGATCCAATTTATGTTTTTTGTTTTGTTTTGTTTTGTTTTTTGGGTCCAGTCATGGGGCCTGAACTCTGGGCCTGGGCACTGTCCCTCAGCTCTTCAGCTCAAGGCTAGCGCTCTACCACTTGAGCCACAGTGCTACTTCCGGCTTTTTTCTTTTTGCTTATGTGGTGCTGAGGAATTGAACCCAGGGCCTCAGGCATGCAAGGCAAGCACTCTACCACTGAGCCACCTTCCCAGCCCCTGATCCAATTTATGAAAAGAATGGTTCATTTTCACATAGTTTTGGAGATTTTACTTGGAAGGCCTCCTGGCCATTGGCTTGAGCAGCACTTCATGGAGGTATATGTGGGATGGGCAGAACCTCGAGAGAAAGGACTCCTTACAGTCTCTTTCAAGGCTCATCCTGCCAGCAACCTGAACACCTCCTACTAAAAATATACTTTTGTTATTAAGGTGTGGCACAGGGGTTACTGTTTCACAAGTCAAGTAATAAGTACATTCCTTTTTGGACAATGTCACCCCTTCCTTTGCTTTCCCTCAGTTTCCTCCTCCCATCCCTGCCCCAAATTGCATGGTTCATTTTCCACATAATGTCTACTGAGTACCATCCATGCCTGCCTGCCTTCCTTCCTCAGTTTCTGCACTCCTCCTTGCCCCCCAAAAGACAAAAAACAAAAACAAAACAAAAAGCAAAATCACTACCACCAACTTTTTTTTTAATGTACTAGGGATTGCGAGACTGGCTGGCTTCCTACTGAGCCCACCGCAGACCTAGGTTCCACCTCCCAATAGCACCAAGCTGAGGACCAAGCCCTTGATTTCTCCTCCAAACTATAGCACAAGTCTCATGTCATAAACATCCTTAGCTATAAAACCATCAGAACTACACTAGGATTCTATCTCATTCCATTCAAAATGACTGTCATCAGAACAACAAAGTCCACAAAATGGCACTAATATCTGTTGTGTCTTCAAATGTGTAGAGAATCCTATTTGCTTCTTTATGTCATTGTATGTAGACTATGGTTTGTTGAGTGAAGTGGTAAATAAACTGTGTTGTGCATTTAGGTTCGGCGTTGGGCTATCCTGACTGCAAGAAACTTGGGGAAGGTAGACAGAGATGATTACTACGACTTACAGGAAGTTTTAACTTGTCTTTTTAAAGTCATTGAGTTGGGGCTTCTAGAAAGTCCAGACATTTATACCTCTTCTGTCCTGGAAAAGGGTAAACTGATTCTTCTGCCCTCACACATGTACGATACTACCAACTACAAAAACTACTGGCTAGGTGAGTGTGATTACTTTATACCAGTGCATTTGGGGGCTTCCTGAGGGTCCCGAGCAGGAAGTGATCTCTTGGGGATTGTTTCCAAATTGCTAAATACAGAATTTCATGGTTTCAAATTCTTGTTCTATCATTAAGTTGACTTAGCCAATGTGTATCTTACTTAGTAATAACATGTATGTAATTAATTACCCTAGAAACCTGTAGAAGGGGTACATTTTCAAGCATCCGCAAACTAGTCTTGTTCAAAGCAGTATTAGAATAGTAAAACATGAGCATGGTGGTTGAATTTAAATTGGGTTTGACTGCTAGTATTTCTAGTATACAGAGAATTTACAGGTAGAGAGACATTAGTATTGTTTGTGAGTTCTGCACTGACTCAGGATAGCTGTGCCCTGTTTAATTGATTATAGTTCATGTGTCATAATTAGTAATTGTTTTTTTCTTGCTCTGTGGTATGTGAAATAGGGCAGGGCACACCTAAAAATTGAACCTCTTAACACTCAGTGAAATCATGTGGTAGTCATCTTAGAAACTGATTTCCAGCTGTGCTAGTACTATTTTCTCATGTTACACTCAATGCAATCGTAGGGTCTGTTCCTGGGGAGCAGGTGGTGTGCATTAGTGTCTAGACTCACGTGTTGGGAACTAATTCCATTGGCTTCATTGACATTTGTCCAGTAGGCAAGACAAATATGTGAGTAGTGGAAGGAAACTCTGTTTTCTCCCACAGGTATTTGCATGTTGCTGACCATTCTCGAGGAGCAGGCCATGGACTCACTGTTGCTGGGCTCAGACAAACAAAATGACTTTATGAGGTCGATCCTTCACACCATGCAGAAACAATCAAATGGTAAAGCCCTTTTCTTGCTACTTGCTTTGGAGTTCTGTCATGGTACACTGCCACGGACCAGCTCGGCCGGAGCACTGGGACTGATGGGTCAGGAATCTCGGGATACGTGGGCAAGGAGTCGGCGAGGTGACAGACAGACACAGGCTCAAAAGAGTTGCATCTGGGTGTTTCTTCATTGAGGAGAATTAACATTTTTATACAGTGTGTGATTGTGACATAGATTCTTTGTTTATTTAAGCATGCAATCAATTTCTAAGAAAAGGGAAGCATTAATAGGTTACATGGAAATTGATGACTATCCCACCAACTGTTTAAGCTAAGTGGTGCGAGACAAGTCTAGCACATTGTTTAATACAATGCATCATCTATTCAGCCTTTTATGTTTAATAATTAACAAACCTAAGACAAGGCTGTACTTATATTGTACTCTTTTTATTTTTTCCATAAATTTTTAAGTCCCTTTGAAACCATCCTAAAAACCACTCCCAGGTTAAGTCAGGCATTCTCAGTTTTCTATGACTTTGATCCCAATATTTTTTTGCAAATGAATTTCTAATTGTTATTTTAAACTATCTTGTTATTGTTTTGATAATAAACACCACAATGGTCTAGATCTACCTAATCTTTGCATAAAATCTAATGAGTACCAAAATACTCTTTTTCCTTTTACATTAATCCATCTATTTTCATCTTTATAAGCTCCTGTATAAGGCAATGGTTCATCGGTCAGCTCAGGAAATGTGATGTCACTAACTTTATATTTTGTGGGAAACCACCATATATTCTCTATAATATTCTCTTACATTATAACTGTTAGGGGAATCTTTCTTTTCCTTTTATTATCAGGGGTCCCTTTTTCTAGAACTCTCTGTGCTTCTGGGATAACGCCTTCTGGTTTAGTTTAATTCCTTAATTCTGCCTGTTGCAACATATCTGGAAATTTCAAATTTCTGTATTTACTATGAGTGAGCCACAGAACTGCTTTCAAAAATGGAGGGACATCTGGTGGCAGAGTCATGTAAGGTGATAGATTGATTGGGGCATTGTCCACATCTAATCTTCAGTCCTAGTCTTTATTATTCAGAGAAGCCGTCTCTATTGGACTAGAAAGGAACAACGTGCTCTGTTCGAGGATCGATAGAAGAATAGCCAGAACGAGAATAAAGGCAACGAATGTACAGCCAAGAAGAGAACAATAAGAATAAAGATAGAGGCAGTAAAGGTGCAGTCAAGTATATAGGAAGCCTTGAAGCAACACCTTCTTCCTGCAGGCATGCTTCCTTGAAGCTTATGCTTTGCCTGGCATGATCTCTCACACAGACTCTGCAGGAGGTGGCGTGGCAGTACACTTTCAAGATGCTAGCGTCACTGAGAATTGAGGAATGACATCGTAAGGAAAAAAGAAAAACTATATGATTGTGGTAGTGCCATTCTGTAATGCTAGCTATTCTGGAGGCCAGGATCAGAGAGATCACAGTTCAAGGCCATCCCCTAAAGTGGTTCTTGAGGCTTTATCTCAACCAAAAAAGCTAGGTGTGATGGTGCATGTATACCATCCCACTATGGCAGGGAAAGCTAGGAAGACCATTCTTGATTCAGACTGGCTGGGAAAATCAAGATAACCAACACAAAAAGGACTAGAATGTCACTAAAGTAGTAGAGCACCTTCCTAACAAAGTGGGAGGCTCTGAGTTAAATAAAGAAGAGATGGAGAACTTTCTGAGGTCAGACTGAGGGTTGGAAAGGACATTTAGAGTTTAATTTGGCACCTTACTTTGATAAAAGTAACTGAACTTCAGAAATATTTGTTATTTTTCCAAGGTGAAAAAATTTAGTGGTTGAATGAATGGTAGAAGCTCTGGGAGACACATCTGTAAAGGTATGGTGGTGGACACTGGGGGAGAGCCTCGCCTATCCCGTCGTCTCCCCTTGCTGTTGCTGCATTGTCCCCTGCTGCTCTAGGGTTGCACAGCCTGACATGAAATCACTGTCCACGTGTAGTTATTTAAGCTTCAGTTAATTAAAAATAAAACTTCAGCTTTTTGGCCACCTACTGGTGGCTCATATCTATATTCCTAGCTGTTGAAGAGGCTGACATCTAGAGGACCCCAGTCAAGACCAGCTTATTATGTAAGAATCCATCTTCAAAATACCCAGCAAAAAGTTGGGCTGAAGGCATGTCTCAGTGGTAAAGTGTTAGCTGAGCAATAAGCCAGGTGATCTGAAGCCTCTGAGTTCAAGTTCTAGTACCACTAAACAAGAAAAATAAATCATATTTTAAGTCCCACTAGCCATATTTCAAAGCACAATTAACTACAGGTGCTTGGGGCTTCTTTCCTTGACATGTAGATTCAATACATTTCCATCATGAGAAAATGGTCTTGGATAGTACTATTCCAGATAGTTGAGAAAATAAAGCAAATGCTGTTGTCTTGACACATGCCTGTAGTTTCCATACTTCAGGTGCTGAGGTGGGAGAAGTAGGAGTTTGAGGTCGTCCGGGCTACGTGGTAAATCCCTATCTCAAGAGACAAACAGAACACACAAAACGGGAGAGAAGGAGGAGAGAAAGAGAATGAGATCTGAAACTCGTAGTCCTGTTATCTATTAGATTGCAATCTTCAGTTCTGGTGGTTGGGTCAAACTGGTCATGGGAAGAGGGGGAAGAGTCTGTGCTTAGATAAAGAGTTTGGAATCTTGATGAAGAGGACCAAATCAGTAAAGCCTGAATAACTTGTCTGTGAAAACAGGTTGTATGTATTTTTTCCCCTCTTCCATGTTTCTTCCAGCAGCTCAGTTGTGGAAGTTTCTAAAAGACCTAATAGATACAAAGGAAAGGGCTGGAGTCAGAGCTTGTGAATAGCAAGAATTATTATAAAAGGGAAGGACAAGTAGCAAACAAGGAAGTGTGGATGGATGAAGTGTTTGCTTGCTTGTTACCCCAGGAATTCTTATGTTCCGTGGCTTGCAGATTTCCCTGTGTCATGGGCCACATTTAGATCTGGAAATACTGTTTCTCATGCTCTTCCTCTCCCCCCTCCTCTTTTTTTTGTTATTTATTGGTAAGTGGCAGGATAAAGTTCTGGGAGGGGCTGAGGAGCTGATGAGAAAAAATTGTTTCAAGTGTGGCCAGCAGGGGAAGAAGGTTGTATTTAGACTGCTTTGTTTCCAGTCCATAGGTTTGCCCATTGAATTGTAGGTTTTGTCTTTGGTTTTTGGTGGTACTTGAGTGTGTATTCAGAGCCTTCTAGTTACTAGGTTTAGTGCTCCATCACTTGAGCCACACTTCTAGTCTACTATTAAAAATTAGAGCGGGGTGCTGGTGGCTCATGCCTGTAATCCTCACTACTTGGGAGGCTGAGATCTGAAGATTGCAGTTGAAAGCCAACCCAGGCAGGAATGTCCATGAGACTCTTATCTCCAATTAACCACCAGAAACTGGAAGTGGCACTGTGGTTTAAGTAGTAGAGCACTCACCAGGAGCCAAAGAGCTGAGGGACAGTGCTCAAGCCCAGAGTTCAAGCCCCACAACTTCACTCCCCCCCCCCCCCCCCAAATATATATAGTTTACATTGGTGGCAACGTAAACTAACTAGTATAACCACTCAGCAGGCAGTTTGAAGGATCCTCATAAAAGTAAACATAGAGCCCAGACCCTGGTGGCTCTCACCCATAATCTTAGCTACTCAGGAGATTGAGATCTGAAAATCACAGTTCAGTACCAGCCCAGGCAGAGAAGTCTTTTTTTTAATTTTTTTTTTTTTTTTTTTTTTGGGTGGGTCCGGTCGTGGGGCCTGAACTCTGGGCCTGGGCACTGTCCTCAGCTCTTCAGGTCAAGGCTAGCGCTCTACCCCTTGAGCCACAGTGCCACTTCCAGCTTTTTTCTTTTTGCTTATGTGGTGCTGAGGAATCCAACCCAGGGCCTCATGCATGTAAGGCAAGCACTCTACCACTGAGCCACCTTCCCAGTCCCCAGAGAAGTCTTTTGAGACTCTGATCTCCACTAAAACTATGCCAAAAAAGGAAAAGCTGGAAGTGGAGCTGTGGCTTACTAACCTTGAGCAAAAGCAGCTCAGGGACAGCACCCAGACTTACTGAGTTCAAGCCCCAAGACACACTCACACACACACACATTCACACACACGCACGCACGCACAATTAAACATAGAATTTCTCTATGACCCAGAGATACCATTCTTGGGCATCTACACAAAATGTTCAGAACACGGTAAAGACACTTGCACACCCATGTTCATGCACTATTCACAATAGCCAAGTTATGGAAACAATCCAGATGCCCTACAGTAAGTAAGTGGATCCAAAAAATGTGGTATAGATCTGAAATATAAGTCGACATGACAACCTATACACAACTCCAGCCATTCACATACAGACTGAAGGAGAATACCAGTAGGAGATGAACTTAAAGGTGTAACTCTCCTGAACAAGTAAAATACTATTTATTGAAATGTATTCCAGGAAATGGGAACATGGGTTATTTATGTTGTTGGTGCTGGTGTTGTTTTTGTGTGTTTCTTATCTTTTTTTGCTTCTTAGAGGAAGTAAAGAGGGATACAGAAAGGAAGGGTGAACAAATGCAATCATATGCTATGTGGAAAACGAACTATGCAACTTGTGGGCAGGTATCGGAGGGGGAATCTGAGGAAAAGCGAAAGAAGGGGTGGTATTGTCCAAAAGAGAAGTATATGCATTACATGAATTGTGAAATATTAACCCCTCTGTATAATACTTAATAATAATACAATTATATCTAAAATTATATTACAGAGGGATGGTAATATTCGAAAAATTGAAAATTTGCCAGCTTTGAAATACGTCTGTCTCAGCCCGGTGCCGGTGGCTCATGCCTATAATCCTAGCTACTCAGGAGGCTAAGATCTGAGGATTGCAGTTCAAAACCAGCCCGGGCAGGAAAGGCTGTGAGACTCTCATCTCCAGTAAACCACTCAGAAAACCAGAAGTGGTGCTGTGGCTCAAGTGGTAGAGCACTCACCTTGAGCTGAATTGCTGAGGGACAGAGCCCAGGCCCAGAGTTCATGCCCCACAACCGACAAACAAAAAACAAATACAACCTCTGTCTCTAAAAGCTGATATTATTTTTCCTTAAACTACTTAATTTTGTTAATTTACTTAAATTGCTGCTTTGATTTAATCATCAGTGTAAATGCTAATCTTTAATATCTTTTTTCTTTTTCCTTCGGTCATGGGCCTTGAACTCTGGGCCTCTGAACGCTGTCCCTCAGCTCTTCAGATCAAGGCTAGGGCTCTACCACTTGAGCTACAATGCCAATTCTGGTTTTCTGGTGGTTTATTGGAGATAAGAGTTTCATGGAGTTTCCTGCCCAGCCTGGCTTTGAATCGCAATCCTCACATCTCAGCCTCCTGAGTAGCTAGGATTACAGGCGTGAGCCACCAGCGCCTGGCATTCTTTAGTAACTTTTAGTTAGTCTTTGTAATTGATTTGTAATTCAGAAGTTGTTGCATTGTATTTCAGATGATAGCATGGATCCTTTCTGGCCAGCCTTACACTGTTTCATGGTGATTCTGGATCGGCTTGGATCTAAGGTCTGGGGTCAACTTATCGATCCTATTGAAGCATTTCAAACCATCATCAACAATGTGAGCTATAACAGAGAGATCCAAAATATACGGAACAGCTCTGTGAGGTTAGTGAAGCTAATGTTAGGATTTCAAAACAATCTCTAGTTAGAGTGTGGTGGTAATAACTCTGTAATACCAGCACTCAGGAACCAGAGGCAGGGAGATCATGGGATTCAGACCAGCCTGGGCTACATTGTGAGACTCTGTCTTAAAAAAAACAAAAAAACATCATTGTAGCTGGGCACCGGTGGCTCACACCTATAATCCTAGCTACTCAGGAGGCTCAGATCTGAGGATCACGGTTCAAAGCCAGCCCACACAGGAAAGTCCATGAGACTCTTTGTTTTTAGTCAGTTGTGGGGCTTGAACTCTAGGCCTGGGCGCTGTCCCTGAGCTCTTCAGCTCAAGGCAAGTGCTCTACCATTTGAGCCACAGCACCATTTCTGGTTTCCTGAGTGGTTAATTGTATTGAATTTGTTATCGTTTTTTGGCAGTGTGGCCATTTTCACAATGTTGATTCTTTCTGTCCAAGAGCATGGAAGGTCTAATATTTCCTAGTGTCCTCTTTGATTTCTTTCTTTAGATTTTTATAGCTTTCACTAAATAGGTCCTTTACATCTTTGGTTAGATTTTTTTTTTTGTATCCTGCTACTGGTGGTTAATTGGAGATAAGAGTCTCATGGACTTTCTTGCCTGTGCTGGCTTTGAACTGCGATCCTCAGATCTCAGCCTCCTGAGTAGCTAGGGTTATAGGCATGAGCCACCAGCATCCGGCTTCGATGATACTCTTATCTCCAATTAACCACCAGAAAACCTGAAATGGGACTGTGGCTCAGGTATTAGAGCACTCACCTTGAGCTAAAGAGCTCAGGGACAAAGTCCAGGCCCAGATTTTAAGCCCCAGGACTGACGACAAAGAATCATTGTGAGGAAGTTTGTCGCATCTGATTTAACAGGGGGACTTTTTTCCCCACGTTCATTTTAGTGATTTTATTTATTCTTAATATTTTAAGGACAAAGGTAGAGCCGGAACCGTACTCGGATGATATGGTTACTTGCAGCCAGATTGTGTACAATTACAATCCTGAAAAGACCAAGAAGGTAAATAGAACCTTGGAGATAGAACCAAACAGTCGAAATGGAACCTTGAAAATCCCGATGATACTGTGGTTTTACAGATAGTGCAGTTTTATATAATTAATGGTTGCTGATTTATGGTTGCTCAGTGACTAGATACACAGGGAAAATGGCCTACACTATAGTTTGCACTTTGGATGTGCCAAAGTGAATGTAGGAAAGATGGAAGGCTAGAGGGTGGGGGAGGTGATATGACCAATAATCAGCTGGCTGATGAGAAGAAGGCTAAAGGTCATGAAACTAATGTCCAAACTCTCATGATTGTATTTTCTATTTCTTGGAGCTTTATTAGAAATAATACACAGTTGACCAAAATAGAAGTGTTGAGGGCGAGGAGTATATTGTTTCCAGTTTGAGCATTAAAACCTGTTGTGGTATTTGTTTCTCTGAACATTTTTTTTATTGTAGGATTCAGGATGGAGATCAGCCATTTGCCCAGATTATTGTCCTAATATGTATGAAGAAATGGAAACATTAGCCAACGTGCTCCAGTCAGATATCGGTCAAGACATGCGTGTCCATAACAGCACGTTTCTGTGGTTCATACCTTTTGTCCAGTCTCTCATGGACCTGAAGGACCTGGGTGTGGCCTACATAGTAGAAGTTATTCACCACCTGTACTCTGAAGTCAAGAATGTCCTCAACCACGCAGATGCAGGATGTGACAAAGTCACAGAGTTCTTTCTCCTGATTTTGGTGTCTGTGATTGAACTGCACAGAAATAAGAAATGTTTGCATTTGCTGTGGGTTAGTTCCCAGAAATGGGTGGAAGCTGTTGTGAAATGTGCCAAGCTTCCCACTACAGCCTTCGCACGGATTTCTGAGAAATCACCTGGAAGTTTCTCCAAAGGAACAACGATGATGTCCTCCCTGTCGTTGCATTCGGTGCCATCTAACTCTGTGCAGCTTGCTTGTGTGCAGCTCATTAGGAGTCTTCTCAAAGAAGGCTACCAGCTTGGCCATCACGCTCTTTGCAAGCGATTCTGGAATAAGCTTAACTTATTCCTTCGAGGAAATTTGTCTCTAGGTTGGCAGTTGACGGATCAGGAAACCCGTGAGTTACAGACTTGCTTAAAACAAATTATTAAGAACATAAAAGGCAAAGCCTCTCCATGTAGCACTCCAGTGGACCTGACTTCTGCTTCTAAAAGCCCGCTTGTGTCTTTTAAAGAAGAAAATGAAGAAATAGAGAAACCCAAAAAAGACACGAATGGTATGGAAAATTGTAGTCCAACATTTACTAAAGAACCGATCAAAATGGAGACCTATCAAGTGCAAGAGAGTCCATTGAGCAGAGCGGGTAACATAGAATGGGAGGATGTGAAGCACACTTACCCCAAGGATCTGAATGAGGAAGATCAACTCCCATCCGAGTCACACTTAGTGCAGAATAGTAAAGGCCTTTTTACCAAAGGAGCTCGAGAGCAAGTGAAACCCAGTAGAGGGAAACAGAAGTCTGCCAGGGAGAAAGTTGTATGCACCTCAACAAGTGGCCCAGAAAGGGATTCTGACAGAGGAGTAATTGTTTCAACATACTTGTTGACTGATTCTAGCACTGATTCTCTAGAAAAAGTGTCCACATCAAATGAGGATTCTGCTTTAACGGATGATCATGGTAAAACCTCGAGACCAAAGAATAAGGTGCATAAAGATGAAATATGTGCAAAGCTGTTCCGTGTCATAAAGCAGCAGCCTAGAAGGAGTACTTCACTCAGTCATGCTGCTGGGGCAGAAGGAAGCAAGAGTGACCGTGATGCCGAGGTAGAGAGCTCTGCGATAGGAGACAGCGTCACGTGTGATCCATCTGCAGACCCTGAAGCCATGCTGGATGTTGAGCAAGGAGAACAAAAGCCTGAAGACAATTTATTGCTGACAAAGAAACAATGGAAGAGTGAAGAGTTAGATTTGTACTCGCCTCATGAAAAGAGTTTTCAGATACAGGAAAGACGTGGAAAAGGGGTGGTATCGAGTACAGACATGACCAACATGACAAAGACTCTGTCTCCCTTTCAACATCCTTCAGCTGTACTTGAGTCAAGAGATACGGAAGCAAGTAAGAGTGCAGATTGGGTCTCCTCTACTAGGGACGAGCCCTCTGACACTACTCACAAGCCCACTGTTGGAACAGATTGCCTGGTGGACCGAGACCTCCACAAAGTAGTGGCCCAAGCCAGTGTTATTAAATTTCCATCAAATTCAACCAGAAATAGTTCACCCCAACTAGAAAGAAAAGTAAAAAATGACAAAAGATGTTCCACAACTAACCAGAACAGAGTTGCAGATACCAGCTATGGGCAAGTGATCGTCATTTCAGATTCTGATGACGACGAGGAACTTCTGGAACTTGAGAAACACACCAACCAGGACACAGTAAGCAGCACTAAGGAAGTGCCAGGCCAGTGTGACTCGGATGCAAATGCTAGTGGTGACAAGAAGTTTATAAAGGAGGAAGATGCAAAGTCCATTCTACTTGAGTCCGATTCACAGTTTTTTGAGTTTGAAAGTGCCTCTGAGGTGTTTTCGGTGTGGCAGGATCATAAAGAAGAAGGCAGCAAGGATTCAGTTGAGGAGGTGGGAGGAAGCTCAGGTGGGGCACATGTGTCTGCTGAGGCTGAGAAGGACAGCACAAAACGGGCAGAGCCACATAGTAGAGATGAGGAACTGTGTGAAATGGAAGTCAAAAAACCTAGGAGAAAACAGTATGAAAAACCTGTGGCCAAAGACCCTCTAAGGCCTTCATCTTCTAGAAAGAAGGAGCAGTCTCATGATGACAGTGACTTGCACGCTGTGGCCTCAGAGACCGCCACGCCCAGTCTGGCTGCACTGAAGAGGTCCTCGCCGAAGCTCCGGACTTACTCCAAGCCTATCAGGAAGGTCCCAGCCTCCAAAACGCCTAAGAAGACACATTCTGAATCTAAAAGAGGGCAGAACAAGAGTTCCCATTACCTGAGTTGCAGAACAACTCCTGCCGTTGTGCCACCCAAGAAGTTCCGCCAGTGTCCCGAGCCAGCTTCAACCGTTGAGAAACTGGGTCTGAAGAAAGCCCCTCGGAAGGCGTTCGAGCTGTCCCAGCGCTCCTTAGACTACTTGGTGCAGTTACGGGATCATGGCAAAAGTGTTGGGGTTGTGGAGACCCGAAAAAAGGCCAAGTTAGTTTCTCCGCAGACTCTTCCTGTCAAAAACAACAAGAAACTGCTGCCCGACCAGGATGATGTTCAGCTACAAAGGCAGGCAAAGCCTAAGAATAGAAAAGACGTTTTGGTGAGTGAAAGTACCCGGGCTAAGAGAACAAGGTCCCCCGTGGCTGCGAGTGTAGATGTTGTGAGGCCGGAGTCTGGCAGACCAGATGAGTCCGGGAAAGGCACAGAGGTGCTTGCCAACAGCGGTGAAAAACAGCTCCTCCACCTCTCATCCTCCAAAGCAGAAACACCGCCAGCAAAGCGCGCTTCAAAGGAGCCCAGTGATGATTGTCTTCTGAACTACTGTGATTCTAGAGCACAGAATGGAAGGATGCCAGACAGTGACATGCCTGCCTCGACTGCAGAGAGCCCTGGAGGCGGTGATTTGACCGGACGGAGCGGGCAGGTGGCAGTTGTGAACCAGTCTGAGCTGGATTCCGGCAGCGACATGGATGACGACAATTTATATTTGACACAAAATGACCCTGAAGACATGGACTTATGTTCACAGATGGACACTGACTACGCTCACCTGATTGAAGTGATTCCCGGAGAAGATGCGCTTCCGACAGAAGATGCTGTGCATCCACCTCACGTGGAGTCTTCGAGTGACACTAAGTGCAAGTACAAAGACTGTGTTGAAACCATAAAAGCCCAGAGTGAGTACTGCGCACAGCACTCAGAAGCTAAAACAGCAGACGACAATGTCTTCCGCAAACCTGGCCTGCCTCTTTCTGCAGTCAGGCCTTTGAGACCTACCACCACTAAGGTTTTCAGCTCAAGTGGTAGCTCACGGATTGCCAACCTCTCCAGGTCTCTGGACAACACTACAATCCCATCAACTCTAAGAAATAAGCCAACACAGTCAATTCTGAAAATGCCCCAGTCCTCCGCAGTATTGCAGAAGCCGGTGGCTGAAGTGAAGAGCTTGCGCAGTGCTCTCAACCCACAGAGCCCCAGCAGCGCCCTCAGGTCAGCCTACAGACCTCCGCCAGCAGCCTCCTCGCCTGCAAACGCGCTCTCTTCGTCACAGTCTATCTCTGACACCTTCATTAAAGAGGTCTTAAAGTGGAAATACGAGATGTTTTTGAACTTTGGTCAGTGCGGGGCACCGTCGAGTCTTTGTCAATGCATCTCAAGATCTGTGCCTGTCAGATTTCAAGATTGTACAGAGTATTTTGATGTTTTTCTCCCCTTGATGATATTGAATACTTTTGAAACAGTAAGTGGCATTCCGCTCTTGGCCTCTGCAGACCTTTTCAAGTTGTTCGTTCTTTATTGCTGAGTGATGATTAGAGTACAGTTCAAGTGCTTTGTTTGGCTTAGTTGTTGCATTTGGATTTTATATTGAGCAGACAGTAGTGCCCGGCCCAGTTGTGGATGCCAGTAGTATAGTTACAGATGGAGGGGGCTGATGGGCCAAGTTGATAGGTGGCACTGGAGGAGGTGTGTGCCAGTGCCAGGGAAGGGCCGAGGTCCCAGAGGAGATATCTCATCTGCACTCTGTTGACATTGTTTTGAAAGGATGTAGAGAGGCACTGTAGTTTTCTTTATAAGTAGCCAGGAATAAATTACATTGAACAACAGGACAATCCTAAATTTCTCTTGACATGTTTGTCTTCTTAACTTTCTGTCATAAGAGTTCTCTTTCTAATTTCCTATACCTACCTCTTCCCCCTTTCTATCTCTTCTCTTTGCTTTTTGATAGGGTGGCCAAATAAAATATAAAACTTGTAGTTCCAGTTATTGGTTCCCAGTTCAGATGGCGTCTCAGTGCTGGGCACAGTAGCATGCCATTGGAGTCTACCCACCCCTTTGGAGGCTGAGGCAGCGAAATCAGTTGAGTTTCAGGCCACTGTTTAGAGAGATACTATCTCAAAACCGAAACAACCCAGCTTAGAGAAACAGCAAATAATTCTTGAGCAGAAGCATTCAGCTGTGTTTCAAAGGTTGTTTTTGACGTTTTCATGGTGGATAAAGGTGTATATTAGGGACAAATTCTGTGTTTTTTATTTGTTTAAAAAAAATAGGACTGGGTGCTGGGAAGGTGGCTCAGTGGTTGTGCGCTTGCCTTGCATGCATGAGGCCCTGGGTTCGATTCCTCAGCACCACATAAGCAAAAAGAAAAAAGCCGGAAGTGGTGTTGTGGCTCAGGTAGTAGAGCGCTAGCCTTGCTAGCCTTGAGCTGAAGAGCTGAGGGACAGCGCCCAGAGTACAGGCCCCATGACCGGACCCAAAAAAATAAAAAATAAAAAAATTAATTAATTAATTAAAATAGGACTGGGGCTGGGAAGGTGGCTCAGTGGTAGAGAGCTTGCCTCGCATGCATGAGCTCTTGAGTTGGATTCTTCAGGCAACACATAAGCAGGAAAATCCAGAAGTGGTGCTGTGGCTCAAGTGGTAGAGAGCTTGCCTTGAGCTGAAGAGTGGAGGAACAGTGCCCAGGCCCAGAGTTCAGGCCCCACCACCGATAACAAAAAAAAAAAAAAATAGGACTAGGAATATTGAGGTGATTTTTTTTTTTTTTTTTGTGGTCCTCTGGTGTGTGTTCACCAGTGAACTGTGAAAACAGTGTGCTCCTGATAGAAGTCAGGCACAGGAGGTCACCTGGGAAAGAGTCCATCCATCCACAATAGGCAGTTCACGGAGACTGAAAGCTGATGCGTAGTTGTCAGGAATGTCTGGAGTGGAAGAGTCTGACTAGTGGTAGGGTTTCCTTAGAGGTGTGACAGACATGTTCAGGAACTACATAGTGATGATGGATGAACTAGAACCGGCTGTAGTGTGTACTTCAAAATAGTGGTTTGTGAAAGGGGATGAATAACAGAGAGGCTCAGGATGGCAGATAAAACCTCGTATGTTTTTATGTTTTTAAGGAATAATTCTCTCCATGGTTATACAGTAAAGGCCAAATGTGCTTAGATATCCGCTGTTCAGGAGATAACTTCAGAGATCTGGTGGATTGTGTTTTGAGGCCAGCCTGGGCAAAATAATCAGCTGTGTACCTGTGTGTACCTGTCATCACAGTCTGACGCTAGCCTAGAGTTAAACTTTACCTGAAAAATAACTAAAGTAGGAAAGAGCTGGGGGTCATGACTCATGGGTGAAGCCCTCAGGTCAAACCTGCCCTTTGGGAAAGATATGGTCCAAACAGTGGCAATAGTATGGTCTAACCCAGTTCTTAATGATTATTTTTTGCGCCAGTCCTGGCACTCGAATTCAAGACCTGGGCACTGTCCCTGAGCTTTTTTACTCAGGGCTAGCACTTTGCCACTTGAATCATAACTCCACTTGGAGCTTTGCTTTTTAATTTTTTTGGAAATTAGTTGTAGGTAAGTCTTGTGAATTTTTCTGCCTGGGCTGGCTTTGAACCAAGATCCTCAGATGCTGGCTTTCTGAGTAGGATTACAGTGTAAGCCACTGGTGACCAGCTTTCTTGTTTCACTCTTTAAGATTTTGTTTTTAGGTGTAAGTTGTAATCTGTATTTGGTTATAGGTAGTATTAAAACAGACATGCCGGTGGCTCACGCCTGTAATCCTAGCTACTCAGGAGGTTAAGATCTGAGGATCATAGTTCAAATCCAGCCTGAGGGACAGCGCTCAAGCCCAGAGTTCAAGCTCCAAGACCGACAGAAAAAAAAAGACACCAGAAGCTCTGTGGAAGGGGAGGCTTGTTGACCCCTGTGCTCCACCGGGAAGCTCCTCATCCCCACTCTTTAAGTTAATGTTATCATAGAGCACTCAATGCCAAGGGAATGCACCTGAACCAAGTATACACATAAATGGTTACACTGAGACCTTTATTAGACAAGTTCCTGCAGTAATGCTGTCTGCCACAGGTACACATATAAAGAGTCAAAAAGATTTGAAACAATGCAGACAGACATAAGCAGAAAAGGTTGGATCAAAACATGGACAAATGTTTCCCCTTTTTATTGAGGTACATCATCAGTGTTAATTCTGTTGGAAGTGTTACTGGACTTAGATGATTTTTTTCAAAGCTAGATCTTCAGTTGCATAACTGTTACCACAGTCCAATTTTAGGACCTTTCCATAGCCCTCACAGACTCTTGAGCCATTTCCTAGTTCCAGATACACATTAGGCTGCTTTCTGTACATTTCCTCTTTCTGGACCATCACGTATCTGGAACTTTCCACCACCCTTTAACTGTAGTTTCTTGGTAGTGTATATCAATATTTTCTCACTTTTTATTGTCAAATAAGAATCCCAGTATCTAGTGTTTCCCATTTGTTTATCCACTTACTGTTGCTGATTAGGTCATTGCAAAAAATTGGACATGACCATTCTAGACAACTTCATTAGACTTCCACGGATTAATTGATTGATCCTTATTGGTTGTCCCTTGGAATTCTGGGTTCTGGATTTACTGTTGTTCTGAAAAATTTTACTCTAAATTTAGCACAGCTTTCCAGAATGTACTGCTTGCTTCATTTGCTCTTTTGCTTTATACAGATGGCACAGGAATGGATCAACTCTCCCAATAAAGATAATTGCTATCAGGTACAGCTAAAAAAGCTTGCAGCTGATTATAAAAAAAGCTGGGAGTTTGTGGGTAAGTTCTTTCTTATGTAGCCTGGAGTGTGCATGATGATAATTGGAGATTTCTGTTGAAAAGGAGATGCCATCATTTGAATTTTCTCAGGTGTAGGTTTCCTAAGCTAAATTCTTAGAATAAATAAATGTGTTTATGTACAAAAGTTGAATTGTGTGTCTGTAGTGTCCCCTACATGAGAATGTAAGTTATGAAATTTCACTTTTTTTTTGGTTGGTCGTGGGGCTTGAACTCTGGGCCTGGGTGCTGTCTCTCAGCACGTCAGCTCAAAGGTGAGCGTTCTACCACTTGCGCCACAGTACCACTTCCAGTTTTCTGGTAGTTTATTGGAGATAAGAGTATTACGGGAACTTTCCTGCTGGGGCTGGCTTTGAATCACGATCCTCAGATCTCAGCCTCCTGAGTAGCTGGGATGACAAGCATGAGCCACCTGCACCAGGCAAAATTTCACTTTTCATCACCATGTTAACACTGATCTCTGTAGCCTTGGGGAGGGTATTCCTATAGTTTTCTGTAATAGAAGTTTCCTTGCAACTCTTATTTATCTTCTGGTTGCTTATAAAAACAAAAATGTGTTGAAAGTTTTTCCACTGATTTATATTGCCTTTGGTTTTCCTTGGAAGTTTTGTTATTCAGAGTTTAGTTTTTTCACATATTGCGATGGTTATGTTTTTGTTTTGTTTTAATTTTTTAAGTGTTTCAGTCTGTCTCATCCCAGCACTTAGTGCTTTAGATAAGTGTTACTGCTAAACCAGCAATTGATACTGGACTTTTTTTTTTTTTTCCTTTGTTGATTGTGGGGCTTGAACTCTGGGCCTGGCACTATCCCTGAGCTCTTCAGCTCAAGGAGAGCACTCTACCACTTGAGCCACAGCGTCACTTCCAGTTTTCTGGGGTTAACTGGAGATCTCACAGACTCTCCTACCCTGGCTGGCTTGGAACTGAGATCCTCAGATCTCAGTCTCCTGAGTAGCTAGGAGCGTCCAGCTGATACTGGACTTTTTTATTCTTGATCTTGCTTTATTTTTCCATTCCTCTTACTTTACAATTACCCTGTCTCCTTTGTTTAAAATGTTATTGATAGATTTTAAATTCTTGTATGTACTTAGATGTTTCTGAATTTTCTCCTTGCATTTTTTTTTGTTGTTTTTTTTGCCGGTCATGGGACCTGAACTCTGGGTCTGGGCACTGTCCCTCAGCTCTTCAGCTCAAGGCTAGTGCTCTACCACTGGAGCCACAGCGCCACTTCCAGCTTTTTCTGTTTATGTGGTGCTGAGGAATCGAACCCAGGGCCTCATGCTTGCAAGGCATGCACTCTACCCCTGAGCTACCTTCCCAGCCCCTCTCCTTGCATTTTTAAGTGAGGGACAAATGAAAGAATCTCATGATTAAAAGCCAAGAATAAGGTCAGGCATGGCGGTACATGCCTGTAATCCCAGCAACATTCAAGAGGCCAATTCAGAAGGATTATGATAGTATGGGCTCACAGTAAGTTCCAGGCTAGCTTTTTTTTTTTTTTTTTTGGTTCGGTCGTGGGGCCTGAACTCTGGGCCTGGGCGCTGTCCTTCAGCTCTTCAGCTCAAGGCTAGCGCTTACCACTTGAGCCGTAGCGCCACTTCTGTTTTTTTTCTTTTTGCTTATGTGGTACTGAGGAATTGAACCCAGGGCCTCATGCATACAAGGCAAGCACTCTACCACTGAGCCACCTTCCCAGCCCTAGGCTAGCTTTAGTTACATAGCAAGACCTTATTTTGATAAAATAAAACCAGAATATACCTTAAAAAAATGAACAATTTCTCAATATTATTCTATTTTGGTTTTGTAGTAGTTGTGTGTATGTATATGTGTTATATTTATTGCATGTATGTGTGTATGTAGGTATGTACGTAGGTATATGTATCTGTGTGCTGGTAGGACTTGAACCCAGGGCCCTCACACTGCAGCTTAGCTTTTTTGCTCAGATTGGCATTACGCCACTGAAGTACATCTCTGCTGTCAGCTTTTTTGCTGGTTAATTAGAGGTAACAGTGTAGATTTGTCTGCCTGGGCTGGCTTTGACCCTCAATCCTCAGGTTTCCTGAGGAGCTAGGATTACAGGTATGATCCACCAGTGCTTAATCTTCTGTAATAGTTTTCTTTTTTGTTGTTGTTGTTGTTTTTTGGTCAGCCATGAGGCTTGAACTCTGGGTCTGGGCTCCCTCAGCTTTTCAGCTCAAGGCTAGCACTCTACCACTTGAGAAACAGTGCCACTTCCTCAATTTCTTTTAAATCTTATCTAAAATCTGTTATGTAAATGCTGACATTTTATTTTTTATATAGTTTATCTGGATGAAAGTGAATTGGCTAAACAGCTTCATCCCAAGGAAAATGATTTGGTGTTTTTGCGTTGTGGGAGACTAAGTGGAGAGAAGAAAGACACGGAGAGAGGCAGCGTGGCAGACCACCATATGTATTACTGTGGCTATGTCCATAAGTTCCGTCGCACTGCGCTCAGTAAGTAATAAGTTGACAGGTTATCTGCTCCTTACTGTGGGTAGATTTGGGCTTTAGATGCCCTGGATGTGCCACATATTTTCCAGACAGGTATTTACTATGTTGATTTCTGGCTAAATTCTGTTCTCTGAGTCTCTACAACTCCTTCATTTTTTACAGGAGAAGTAACAGGAAATGTTTATCTTTTTCTCCCTACTTTTATCCTTTTCATACTAATATAAATGCTTGCCAAACATTAAAAGAGTCCTTTCTCTACTTTTCCTAGCCTAAACTTCTGTGTATTTTCAAATGTTTTAAAATGTCCTCTTCTGGTGCATTTTTTCATCTGTCCTTTTGCTGGTTATGATCTAGACCATTTTTAAACCGTAGAACTTGGGGAAAATCTCATTTCCCTAGCTGCCAACCATTGCTTTATCAGGATTTCTCCTCAAAATGATGTTAGCTTGAATTTTATAAGCACCTCTGTCTGCTGTGTGAGGAACCTTATAATCTTCAAAACTCTAATTCATCCAAAACAAGGGCTGGGGAATGTGAAATGGTCTTTCCAAGATTGTTGTCACTGTTAAGTGATCAGTCCAGAACTGGTTTCAAAAAGACCTCTGTTTATTTATCTCTTTTTTTTGGGGGGGGGGGGGGGTCTTGAGCCCTCACTTGGCTTTCTTACTCCTAGTTGGTGCTTTAGCATTTGAGCCACACCTCTGCTATGGCATTTTGCTGGTTAACTGGAGAGAAAAGTCTTGAAGACTTATTTGTTGGTTGTGGGGCTTGAACTCAGGGCCTGAGTGCTAGCTAGCTCAAGGCTAGCACTCTACCACTTTGGGCCATAGACCCACTTTCAGGTTTGAGGAGTTAATTGGAGTGGTTAATTTTTTGCCAGGGCTAGCTTGGAACTTTGATCCTTAGATCTCAGTCTCCTGAGGAGTTAGGATTATAGACATGAGCCACCAGTGCCCAGCTTAAGACTTTCTTGCATGGCTTTGAACTTTTATCTTCCAGGTCTCAACCTCCTAAACAACTAGAATTATAGGCATGAGCCACCAGTGCCCACTAGGTAAAGTTCACATTTTTTTTTTGTCAGTCGTGGGGCTTGAGCTCTGGGCTTGGGCACTGTCCCTGCGCTCTTCAGCTCAAGACAAGCATTCTACCACTTGAGCTACAGTGCCACTTTCAGTTTTCTAGTGGTTTAATGGAGATAAGAGTCTCACGGACTTTCCTGCCTGGGCTGGCTTTGAACTGCGATCATCAGATCTCAGCCTCATGAGTAGCTAGGATTATAGGCGTGAGCTACCGGTGCACGGCTAAGTTCACATTTTTATTTTATGTCTTCGTGAGTCTGTCCCTTCTCCTTTTTGCGTCACATCTTAAATAGCAAGAAGCATCTTAAGAATGCAACATTATGTTGCTCTTCCTTGCAGCACACCCCAAATAAAGTCATCCCCTTTACTTACTGCATCCCCTTTTTTTTTTGTCGGTCGTGAGGCCTGAACCCTGGGCCTGGGCGCTGTCCCTCAGCTCTTCAGCTCAAGGCTAGCACTCTACCACTTGAGCTACAGCTCCACTTACTGCATCCTGTTTCTAAGCTCTTACTCAAATTGCTGCAGTGGCCTCATAAGTGATTCTTTACTTTTCCCATGAACTGGAATTTGAACTGGATATTGTGTTTGTGCTTGCTTAGGTAGCCACTCTGCTGCTTGAGCATGCACTTAGCCTAAAAGTAATTGGTTTCAGTGTGCACGATAGAGCATATTGCTTCCCTACACACAGCTGTCCTGTTGCTTTATATCTGAATGGATGGATTTGGAGTCATTACTGTGGTCTACAATGTCCTCTGTGTTTTACACTAGATCTCCTAGCACATGTCCTCTGGCTTTTCCTTCTAGCTCTAGTAGCCTTCTCCCTACTTCTAAAATGCTTTAACGCATGTCTGTGTGATGGTTTTTGTAGCTTATGCCTGCCTATAGCAGTCTTTGTTCCCTAGTAAAGACCTTGCTTTCTTCCTTACTTCAGTCTCTGCTTAGTACATCTCATCAGGAAGACCTCCTGGACCAGCAGGCTGTCTGCATCCCCATTGCTTCTCATCTCCTTCTCTGCTTGCTGCTATTAGTACTTGGCATGCCTGACTTGTTTAGTTAGTATCTGCCTCCCTCTTCTAGAAACTTGTCTCTTCAGGCCAGAAACACTGCCTGGTTCTTAGGAAGCATTCAGTAAACATTTATTGAGTGAGCTATTTAAATCATAGAAACATGAAAGTTATGAAGTACTTACGAATATACTTTTTAACTGGATAACATTCTTCACATGTAACTGAAATTGCCTTTTCTTCTTCCTGTCAATAGTGCGCAGTAGGAAATCGGAGTGTTCCCTTTCCATCCAGATTCAAGATCACTTGCCAGCCAGTTTAAACGAACTTATGAAATGTGTTGTAATCAGTTCCCTGGTAACAACACAGAGGAAATTGAAAGCCATGTCTCTGTTGAGTGGTCGGAACCAACTGGCCAGAGCCATTCTGAATCCAAATCCCATGGACTTCTGTACCAAAGATCTACCAGCTATGTCCTCTGAGAGAATTGTGAGTGCTGATTGGATGGTGCCAGGGAGAGTCAGAACATGTGTTGTCAGGAGGGGAGTGTCCCATTTGAAGCTGCTCCATGCTCCTCTATGTGTACGAGAAGACACGTCCATGTGCAGTGATGTTTGGTGTCAGCCCTCCTCCTTCGGGGAGGGGAAGGTAGGGTAAAAGCACCATGCACTGCAGGCTCCAGCATTCAGGAGCAGAGTCTCAGATTTAGTGCGGTGAGTTTTGTGTTTGAATCCTTGATGGATTTAAACTGGTCGTGGTACAATTGCAAAGGTGAAGTTGTCATCTTCCGTGAACGTGTTTTTCACATGTAAACTGCTGAAAACAGAAATGACAGGGGTAACTGGTATTTTTGAGCCCCATCATGCGCTGGGGCTTTTGTATGCATTATCTCTTGTCAGCTCTCATCGTCAAGGAGTGGCAGAGGTTGAGGCTCAGAGAGGTTAGGAGTTTAGTATGAAAGTAAATTGAAGTTAAAAGAAAAAAACTAAAGGTTAGACCCAGATCTGACCTGGAAAACTTATGTTTTCCACTCATGATTATTATATTATGAGGCAATGCTCTTAGAATATTTTTACTATCTAAAGAGATAACTGATACAATGAGAAAGAATGATAGAAGAAAAGTATAGATTAGTAAATGAAATTTATGATCATTTTTATTTTTCTGTAAATATTGGGGCTTGAAATCAAGCTGTCACTCAGCTTTTTCATTCAAGGCTGGCACTCTACCACTTGAGCCACAGTTCAACTTGCCCCTTTTTGCCAGAGATAAGAATTTCATGGACTTTCCTGCTCAAGCTGGCTTTGACTCTTGATTGGATTGCAGCTTCCTGAGCAGGCAGGATTACAAGGCATGAACCACTGGTGCCAGGCTTGTGATTGTCCTTATAAGAATCACAAACAAAAATGTAGTTACAGTTGTGAACTGAAGCCAGTGACACCAGTTAGCAATTCATAACTACCGTTCTTTGTGGTAGTGAAACTCTCCCTTAGATTAGTCACTTCTAGCCACTTCAGGATTATGCCTGGCCATCACCAAATGGTTTTTGCAATCTGAAAATTGAATGTTTACCTTTCTCATATGATACCATGGGTAGGAGTGGGGGAACAAACCTCTCACAATGTCTTTTTGTATATAGATTAACTACCTAAAAGATTTCAATGAAGATCAAAAGAAAGCAATAGAAACTGCATATGCCATGGTGAAACACTCACCATCAGTTGCCAAAATCTGTCTGATTCATGGGCCACCTGGAACAGGAAAATCAAAAACTATTGTTGGTCTGCTGTACCGCTTACTCACAGAGGTAGGTGTGGAGACGGCCACAGCTGCACTGTCCCACTGAGGCACTGCTTTAGCTCCTCAAGTTCACTGACATACAAATAGTATTAAAGTCTTCCTTTTCTTTTCCTTTTCTTTTTGCCAGTCCTGGGTCTTGAACTCAGGGCCTGGGTTCCCCAAGCCTCTCTGTGCTCAAGGCTAGTGCTCTACCACTTGAGCCACAGTGCCACTTGTGGCTTTTTCTGTTTATGTGCTACTAAGGAATCGAACCCAGGGCTTCATTGATGCTAGGCAAGCACTCTACCACTAAGCCACATTCCCAACAAGTCTTTTCTTTTCTGCATGTACTTTGTATGTTATGTAGAAGTATATCAGCAAAAGAGGTGGCAGAGAGAGGGACAGGTCATAAGAAGTGAAAAGAGGGCTAGGAAGGTGGCTCAGTGGTAGAGTGCTTGCCTTGCATGCCTGAGGCCCTGAGTTCGATTCCTCAGCACCACATAAGCAAAAAGAAAAAAGCTGGAAGTGGCACAGTGGCTCAAGTGGTAGAGCGCTAGCCTTGAGCTGAAGAGCTGAGGGACAGTGCCCAGGCCCAGAGTTCAGGCCCCACGACCGGACCCAAAAAATAAATAAAAAAGAAGTGAAAAGAGCAGAAAGCACTGTTTCACAGGAAAAAAAAATCCTCAGGACTATAGGGTAGTTTTTCAGGCTGCTTTTGTAGGTCAAGGTCTAATGCCAGAAACCCACCAGAGATGTATGCTTGGACTAAATGTTGGTTGGACTGAACATTGATTGAAGTAACTGGATACTAAAGAAAGACTCAGAGCATTTATAATAAAACTTCATGCTTGGCCCTGATGGCTCATGCCTATAATCCTAGCTACTCAGGATGCTGAGATCTGAGGATCATAGTTCAAAGGCAGCACATGCAGGAAAGTGCCGGAGCCTGCCGGCAATGAAAGGGAATCCTGAATTAGGAGGTGAGGACGGGGAAAAATAAAGACATAAGACAAAGGATGGGGTCGGGAGGTCTGCAGTTCAAGACTGCAGCACCGTTTATTTTTAACTTTCCCTAATGTATACTATTAGAAGTCAAGAGGTAACATAAGGTTACAATAGTCCAGAAAAACAAAGAAAATTTCAGTAAAAACAGAGTGCAGTAAAAACAAGACAAGGTCAACTGGTAGAAAGTAAAACAAACTGCAGACATAGCAAAGCAATCCCGGGCACCTGGTGTTTTTAAGTAAGCCAGTTCCTTGTACGAGCCTTCAAGTGAGCACCAGGGTCAAGATGATCTTTAAACTTTACTGTCAGCTCCCAACAGGAAAGTCCCTGAGACTCTTATATATCTAATTAACCACTGGAAAACTGGAAATGGCACTGTGGCACAAAGTGGCAGAACACTAGCCTTGAGCAAAATAGCTCAGTGCCCAGGCCCTGAGTTCAAGCCCCAACACCTAACAGACAAATAAATAAAGAGATGACAATAAGCATATACAGAATCTAATGCTGCAGGGAGTGTGGGTGGTAAAAGGTCTCCACACAGGAAACTGACATAAAGGATTAAATCCAGCAGTGTGTGCTAAGCAAGTGCTCTTTAGTGAGCTTCCTGTCTCCATGTAGAAGTAATTTTAAAGTCAGAATAAGATTCTTACATTTATTGGTTATCACAGGAGCCTTTAAATGGTAATGATAGTAGAGAAAAGCCTTAAAACTGTGTAATAATAGATAATAGAGTTCATCGTTACTTTGTGTTTGGTATGTGGCAAATTGCAGAACCCGAGGAAGGGGCATTCTGATGAAAACTCCAATGCGAAAAACAAACAAAACCGTGTCCTTGTGTGTGCACCTTCGAATGCAGCCGTTGATGAACTTATGAAAAAAATCATCCTCGAATTCAAAGAAAAATGCAAAGATAAGAAAAATCCTTTGGGTATGATACTAAGTGTGGGTTTCTAGTGTTTTTGTTCTTGGTGTTTTTGTGACACCTCTAAGTAAAGAGCAAGCCAGTCCTGGGAAAACTTCCACCCAGGGCTGGAGCTTATGTTTGCTTGGTTCACTTGTTGGTACATACCCCCTGTGCCAGGCACTGAGGTTTCAACAGTGAATCCTGACATGCACATGACATATGGTCTGATGAGGGAGTGGGCAGGTCAGCAGCTGGATAATAGAGCGAAAGGCCCATGGCTAAAGCCGGCGCTTTTAGATTCCTCAGAAGAACCCTTGATTTATTTGTGTGAGGAATCTTCGATAAAATCCTGAGTGCAGTTAGGAGTTCACTATAAAAGGGAGGAGGGCACTTTGGGCACACATGTCTGCCACTTAAAAGGGATCAGACAAGAGAAGTGCAGGGAGCCAGTGATAGAATGCAACACTGTTCCTGTGGGCCACAGTGCTGGTTTGTCCTGGCCCCAGGCTGCCCAGTGAAGGAAGTGCTGCCCAGTGAGGGAAAGGTGGGTCTAACTGTGAACATGGGCTTATTAGCAAAAGTAGTGAGACTGTTTTCACTGGAGTTACTTACTATAGTAGCTTACTATGCTGCAACCCCAGTCCTGTGAGCTAGGAATTAAATAACCCTGCCCTAGATGGAGCAGAGAGATTATGTTGTGTCATGGTCACAACTCTTGGTTGATTCACGTAACAGTGATGAGTACTCCCACATGTGATGAAGAAGTGAAAGTACTTAGCCTTAACTTTTTTTACACCCCTCACTTTGAGTTTGTCTTCTTCAGCTTTGTATTTTCCTGCTTTCCCAAGTGCATGTCTTGTCTTCCAGGCTGAATTAACTACCAAAACAGCCAAAGTGGAGCTGTGGCTCAAGTGGTAGATGCTGTCCTGGAGCAGAAAAGCTGTGTAAGGGAAAGAGCTCAGATCCTGAGTTTAAGCCCTAGTGCAGAAAAACACAAAAAACAGTAGTATAAAGGTATAAAGGAAAGTAAGCCTGCAGCGTACTCTTGGTGATCCTGCTAGCTTGTGCCAGGTAGAGAGGATTGTTAAGAAGAATAGCAAAATGCTGTCTAGGAAGTATTCAGTGTGGATTCTGGACTCTAGTTGACCATTTGTGTTATCTTCCTTCTCAATTGTCTGCATTTTTTTTCTTCACAATAGACACAATGTACGGAGACAGATAGGATTTATTGGCACATCCTTATTTGTCTTTTTGTGATTTTTATCAAAAGGAAACTGTGGAGATATAAATTTAGTACGACTGGGTCCAGAAAAGTCCATTAATAATGAGGTCCTAAGGTTCAGCTTGGACAGCCAAGTTAACCACAGAATGAGTAAGTACTAATGATGCTACATTATAGTGCTTTTTCCATTTCCTTCAGTCAGTAAAATGTAACCCTGAGCACTAACAGTAATTTGGGGACTTAGAAGTAGTCTAGTTTTGGAAATGACTTGTTGTTCTTACTGTAATTCTTTTAATTTTATTAGAGAAAGACTTACCTTCTCATGTTCAAGAGATGCATAGAAAGAAGGAGTTTCTCGATCATCAGCTGGATGAGCTTTCCCGCCAGCGGGCGTTATGCCGAGGTGGACGGGAGATGCAGGTATCTAAACATTTCAGTAGAAACCCATAGCTTCACAAACTAGTTGGTGAGTATTTGATGTCATTGTTTTATTGAGGAATGGCATGATTCCGAGAGAAAAATGTATAATGCTGGGCTCAGATCTGTAATCCTAGCTATTTGGGAGGTAGAGCTGAGAGCTGAAGTTTAGGCCAGACAGGGCAAGAAAGTGACAAAACTCCCTTTTCAAACCAATGGCTGGACATGGTGATTTATACCTAAATTCTAGCTGCTCAGGGGGCTGAGATCTGTAGGACCCATGTTCAAAGCCAGCCCCAGGCAGTAACCTCCTCAAGACTCCATCTCCAAAACAACCAGAAAAAAAAACAGACTAGAGATGTGGCTTATGTGGGACAGTGTAAGCCAAGCAAGCCCAAGGCCCTAACTCACATCTCTGGTACTGGCAGGCAAGCAAGCAGTCAGTAAGTATATATAAACAGACGGTGTATAAGAGGTAAGCTAAAGGCATGACTTGGGTAGTAAGGTGTCTGCCTGGGAAGTGCATGCCCCTCCGTGAATTTAATCTCTAGTACCTGACAAAATATAAAAATAAGAATGTGGGGCTGAGAATGTGGCATAGTGGTAGAGTACTTGTCTAGCCCTGGGTTCGATTCCTCACTACCACATAAACAGGAAAGAGCCTGAAATGGCACTGTGGCTCAAGTGGTAGAGCAAAAGCAGCTGAAGGGACAGTGCTCAGGCCCTGAGTTCAAGCCCCAGGACTGGCTGAAAAAAAAAATGTGTACTGGAATAGTTTGCCTGTATCAGGAGTTAGCTTTGTTTTTGGTTGGCCATGGGGCTTGAACTCTGGGCCTGGGCGCTTATCCCTGAGCTCTTCAGCTCAAGGCTAGCTCTCTACCACTTGAGCCACAGCACCACTTTCGGGTTTTTCTGTTTATGTGGTGCTGAGTAATCGAACCTAGGGCCTCGTGCATGGGAGGCAAGCATTCTACCACTGAGCCACCTTCCCAGCCCAGGAGTTAGCTATTTTTTATGAAAAAGGAAGGGGCTGGGAAGGTGGCTCAGTGGTAGAGTGCTTGCCTTGCATGCATGGGGCCCTGGGTTCGATTCCTCAGTACCACATAAGCAGAAAAGGTCGAAGGTGGCACTATGGTTGAAGTGGTAGAGCACTAGCCTTGAGCTGAAGAGCTGAGGGACAGTGCCCAGGCCCAGAGTTCAGACCCCATGACCAACAAAAAAAAAAAGAAAGAAAAAGGAAATAGACACTGTTGATTTTGTAGTCTCTTAGTGTAGCTATTTTGGTAGCTCTGAAGCTGCCACAGGTAGTGTGCGTGAGTGAATGTCCAGTTTGACTCACTGGCCAAGTTATGTTTTATTAAAGAGCCACCAAATTTGTTAGGTATCTTTTAGTGGTGAGTTAAACCAAGTTCGTGTTAGATTAAACACAAAGGAAATTTATTGGCTTTTACACCAGGGAAAGCCACATGTGAATTGGCTCCAATGTGGAGAGATCCAGAGACTAAAATGATACTTTTCTACCTTGTGATTTGTTTTTGTTTGTGTGTCAGTCATTCTTTCCTTCTCTAAGAGAGTGCCTAGCCCGGGTGTACTCCATCCTAGCTTGAGAACTCAGAGAAGGAGGTCTTCCACCCCATACATCAGTTCCAAGGAAGCACTCTGAGAGGGCCAAGCAGGTGTTGGCCCTGCAGTTTCCCAGGCCTATATCACATGCTGGGCACTGGCTGGAGGATGGCTGGGTTGACCGCCTAGGAGGAGGGGTGATGCCCCAGGCTGGAGAGCTTAGCAAGCTGACGGGTGACACTCTGCTGTATCTGGGCCTGACTGACTCTTACCCACATGGTACTGATAAAGAGAAAGTAAGCTGGGCTAGTGAGTTTTGGTTGATAACCTATTTTTAGACTCACTCATGAAATGTAAAGTAGTCTGTTGGAAACCATTCTAACTTAGTTTTAATGATGGCATTCTCATTTCTTCCAGAGGAAAGAGTTAGATGAAAAAATTACTAGAGTTTCAAAAGAAAGGCAAGAACTTGCTTCAAAAATTAAAGAGGTAAGTAGTTTACATATAGCATTTTATTTTCTTGATTGATGAAATAGTTCAGATAACATAAATGTACTTTCTAAATTACATCTTGAAAGTGTTACAAAAAATTACAAGCACAGAAGTAGTGTTATTACATTTATATATTTTTTTCTTTAAAGAAGAATTCCTCTCACCATCTAAGCTTAGTTTTGTGGTACAAGGGTTTTGTGGTATGAGGGCTCAATAGGCAGGCTAGCATCTGAAAGATTTCTTTTAGGAGGTGATTTTCCTCTTGGGTCTGCATAACTATGAAAAATCCTTCTTTGGGGATGGGAAGGTAGCTCAGTGGTAGAGCACTTGCCTTGCATGCCTGAGGCCCTGGGTTCGATTCCTCAGCACCACATAAGCAAAAAGAAAAAAGCTGGAAGTGGCGCTGTGGCTCAAGTGGTAGAGTGCTAGCCTTGAGCTCAAGAGCCGAGGGACAGCGCTGAGGCCCAGAGTTCAGGCCCCACGACCAGACCCAAAAAGAAAAAAAGAAAAAAAAGAAAAATCCTTCTTTGCTTCTTTTTCTTTCCTGCTGCAAAATAGTGACCATTACGATCAGATAAATGATCCATGGAAGTAGGTTTATGAGTGTTTCTCCCTATTGGAAAAGGAAGGTCACAGGTGTGGTTTTCGGAAAGAGTATGGCAACTGTCTGGTCTGTCCAGTGCTCTAGATGGTTAGGACTTGGCATCAGAAAGTTAGTGTGCCAGGTGTGGTGGTTCATGTCTGTAATCCAGATACTTGGATATCAGAAAGTTTGAACTTTAAGGCCAGTCCAGGCAAAAAAGTAGCAAGATTCCATCTCAATAAGCTGGTCATGGTGATGCATGCCTATCATCCCAGCTGTGTGGAAGGCTGTAGATAGGGGAATTATATTTCAAGGTGGTCCATGCAAGAGCACAAGGTGCTATCTAGAAGCTGGCTAAAGCAAAATGGGCTGGGTCATGGCTCAAGTAGTAGAGCACCAGTCTAGCTAGGTAGCATGAGCCTCTGAGTTCAGAACCTGGCACCACATAGAAAAAGAACAGCTTCATTTTGAGCAGTTCTTGGTTTAAGGCATACTCTTTGTGTGTGTCTTTGAATCCTGTAACATGTACAGTTATTCCCCGGTGTCTCCAGAGGTTGGTTCCAGGACTTTTCCCTCTCCTTGCCATACAGCAGAATGCAAAGATGCTTGGGCTGAGAAGGTGGCTCAGTGGTAGAGTGCTTGCCTTGCATGCCTGAGGCCCTGGGTTCGATTCCTCAGCACCACATAAGAAAAAAGAAAAAAAAAAGAATGCAAAGATGCTTTGCCTGTACCTGTGATAACACCTGTGTACTGTAAATCATCTCCAGAGTTCTTGTCCTGATCATACATGATGTGATACAGATGCTGTCTAGATCACTGCTACACCTATTGTTTAGAGAATAATGACCAAACCAGCCCACATATATTTCATAGAGACTTTTCTCCAAATATTTTCGGTCTGTGGTTGTTTAACTTCACAGATGTGGAACCCACTAGATACAGAAAGCCAGCTCTGTAGTTTTCCCCAGTATTTTTGGATGTGAAAATAGATAAGAGTAAATACAGCTTAGACTGGACCCTAATCAAATTAAGCAGATTCAAGAGGTCCGGGTGATGGCAAATGATGATGTTAGTCATGCTCTCCATCTGAGATAAATGCAGTTGAATTTAATGAATATTTCCCTTAACAGTTTGTTTAAACTAATAATTATCTGAAAGCTTTGTATTAAAATTAGAACCTGAGCCTAAATGGATCTTTGCACTCTTGAGGATGAGTTCATTGTTGGTGGTGTGTGGTCTTTACTGCACATCACACACGTTGTGTGGACTGATCAACCGTGTTTGTAGACTACTCACTAGATGGCTGAGCACAGAGGCCACCTTCCTCCTAAAGCTCACACTCAGGCCTCAAAGCCCACTACTGCTTCAGAGTGCCTGGGTCCTGAGGCTCAGGGGTGAGAGGTGGCAGAGTCTCTGCTGAGAATAGCACCTTATTAGAGCGACATCAGTGAGGAGGCCTTCTCCTTCTCTTCATCTTAGTGCATTCCCTTATTACCAGCTGACTGGGTGGTTTTTCTTACTGGGGAAGTAGAATATTCATTCTCCAGGCTTGTAGGCATTTTTATTGATGCTTTTATAAAACAGGAGAATATGTATTTTCAAGTACATATACTATATAGGCTTAGTTCTTTTTACTTTTACTCAGATAATTGTGTCACAACTCAGTAAAATTTAATTTCTCTTTATTCTGATACTTGCCTATCAATTGGGCTGTAAGGATTGTAATCTACTTTGTTCAAATCAGGACCCTGAATAATTGTTTTGGGGTGTGTGTGTGTGTGTGTGTGTGTGTGTGTGTGTGTGTGTGTGTGTGTGTGTGTGTGTGTGTGTGTGTGTGTGTGTGTGTGTGTGTGTGTGTGTGTGTGTGTGTGTGTGTGTGTGTGTGTGTGTGTGTGTGTGTGTGTGTGTGTTGTCAGTCATGGGGCTTTAACTCTGGACCTGGTGTGTGTGTGTTAGTCATGGGGCTTTAACTCTGGACCTGGTGTGTGTGTGTGTGTGTGTTTTGTCAGTCATGGGGCTTTAACTCTGGGCCTTGTGTGTGTGTGTGTGTGTGTGTGTGTGTGTGTGTGTGTTGTCAGTCATGGGGCTTTAACTCTGGGCCTAGGCGCTGTCCCTGAGCTCTTTAGCTCAAGACGAGTGCTCTACCACTTGAGCCACAACACCACTTCCAGTTTTCTGGTGGTTAATTAGAGATAAGAGTCTCATGGACTTTACTGTGCCTGGGCTGGCTTTGAATGGTTATCCTCAGATTTCAGCCTCCTGAGTAGCTAGGATTATAGGCATGAGCCACTGGAGCCCAGTCGTGAATAATTTAAGTTACACTTACCTCGCATTCCCAGCTTAGGTTGCAAAGCATGTTATTATTATTATTACTTTTTGGGGGGTGCGGGAGCAGGGGGTAGGGGTGGTAATTTCTGGTCATCTTGAATGTTTCTGCTAGCTTGTAGACTTGATGTTTCCCCAACTTCTGCCAAGTATTTCTCTGTCACATTCATAATACGTGGTGGGTATGTTGTTGTTAACAGTGGTTTGACAGAGGTAGGGAATGGTACAGGAGTGAACTGTGTAACCTGTGTGTCTTTTAGGTTCAGGGACGCCCCCAGAAAACACAGAACAACATCATCTTGGAGTCGCATGTCATCTGCTGCACGCTGAGCACCAGCGGGGGTTTGCTGCTTGAGTCAGCTTTCCGCGGGCAAGGGGGGCAAGCCTTCAGCTGTGTCATTGTAGACGAGGTTAGTGGCAGTGGGCTAAACACCCCGACTGGTAATGGGAGACGCAGCCTCGCAGCCTTAGATGAGTCCTGGCTGCCAAGATATTAGTAACATAGGTGGGATTTGTTTTGTGATGGGTTGGGGTTTTTGTTCATTTTAAGGTTTTTTTTTGGTGGCTTTTTTTCTTGGCAATGCTAGGGTTATACTCAAAACCTTGAGCTTTCTGGATTTGCTCTCTACTGCTTTGAGACATGTCCCCAGTCCCTAAAATAGTTTGCTTTTCAATCTGTTACATCTGAAGTCTTTCATGTTGAAATATGAGGCTCCTGGCCTGCCATTAATTTTCTAGTACTAGTATTGTAATAGAAATTCAGATGGCTTTGGCCACAGTATTGCCACTGACATCCTTTTTTACTAGTCCATTCACTGAACAGACATTTATTGAGTATCTACTGTTGGCCAGAATGAAAAGTCAGAAGACAAGAGAACTGGGGTCCAGGAGATCCAAAATCTAATAGTCATATTAGATTTTGCAGTTGTGTCTCAGTTAAATTTAAGCCAGGCATGGCGATTCAGTCTGTAATTTCAGTTACTCAGATGGTAGAAATTGGGAAGGTCATGGTCCCATGCCAGCCCAGGCTAAATGTCAGCGAAAAGTCTTAGAATGTTTTCCCAGCCAGCTCAAAGCCCTGAGTTCAAACCCTAATGCTTCCCCCTTTAAAAGTTTTTTTTTTTTACCAGAATTAATAAGTGGAAATGACTGAAGGAAATGTCATTAAAGAGAAACCTGTGTCTTGTGCTTGAAGAGGCCTATCAAGGAACCAGGAAGCAAGATGGAAATGCAGGGAGACCTTGCTCACATAATACTGTGTCTAAAATGCTAAATGTGCTCTCAGCTCAAGCCATCTGAACATAGAACACAGACCTAGCATGCCCTGTAGCCTTCTAATTTGTAGCTAGTTCCAAGGCTGAATATAAAATACATGCTAAGTTTTTTTAAATTTGTGTTTAGATGGTTTGTTTTTAAGTGGAGGTGGGGGGAGGGGGAACGGGGCAGTAAGGAGAAGGTCCCTGTAGCTACTAAGCCACCAGTGTAATCCTAGCTGTAATCCCAGCTGTAATCCTAGCTACTCAGGAGGCTGAGATCTGAGGATCACAGTTCAAAGCCAGCCCAAACAGGAAAGTCTGTGAGATTCTTATCTCCAATAAACTACTCAGAAAAGGTCATAAGTGGCACTGTGGCTCAACGAGTAGAGCACTAGCCCTGAGTTCAAGCCCCAGGACTGGCAAAAAAAAAAAAAGTTCTTGTTGATAGGTGGTGTGGGAGACAAATGGGATTAACTATGTGGGTGCACAAGTAGCAGGGATGACGCTCTTGCCCCTTCTTTACTTTCTGTCTTACCAAGGCTGGGCAGTCCTGTGAGGTCGAGACTCTTACTCCCCTCATCCACCGCTGCAACAAGCTCATCCTAGTGGGAGACCCCAAGCAGCTCCCACCCACTGTCATTTCCATGGTGAGTTGGAAGAGGCTGGTTTTATTCAGCCTTAAAATGTCCTCTCTTATTTGGAAGGAAGAGGAGGAGATGACTGAGAAAAGAGAAACAATGTTTGTGTTTAACTAGTGCAAATTAAGCATGGCACCTCAGGGGGGTTAGGCAGGAAAACCCGCAAGTTTGAGGCCAGCTGAGCTCACCTGTCGACACTGTCTCAAGAAAAAAGAAAACCAGGAAGTCTCTCCAAAGTCCTTTTGTTAGTGGTGTGCTGCTTCTGAGTGTGCCGGGCAGTGAAGGCGTAGTCGTCGGAGGTCAGAGCCCACAGGGCACAGTGCAAGCACGCTGAGCTTCCTGCAGGAGGATTGTAAGTCAAATACCGAAACAAAAAGAAAAAAGACCAGGAAGAGAGCCCTACCCTCTTGATTCACATGGAAAGATGCATAAATTGAGGAACATACAGTAAAGGATTATGATTTGGGGGCACATGATTCCAAGTACAAAAGAATACCTCTGTCCCTTACATGATTTAAAAATAACAAGAAAAATAATTCATCTTGCTAAACACATGATGTCCTAGAAATAAATATATATCAGAATCAAGACTCGATGGCTGTTCGAGGCAATTGGAATAGAGTGTAATGGCTTTGAAATTTCATAAAATATATTTATTACTAAAACAATCTACATAAATACAGAATAGTTGCCTCACAAACTTACTACAGAAAAGTTCTTTTTTTTCTCTTTTTTTTTTAGTGTGAAAATACCATATAGAGGGGTTACAATTACATGGGCAAGATAATAAGTACATTTCTTATCAAGCATTGTAGCCTCCTCCTTTGTTTCCCCTTCACATCCCTTTTCGAGATCTCCCCCCTCTCCCTGCCCCACTTCCCAAGTTCATTTTTCTAAGCATTTGTGCTCCCTGTGAATTAAATGTGTGCAGTTTTGTTGTAGTTAATGGCCTTGACTCTAGAATTCAAAATAATGATGCAGTTCTTGCTCGATGTATGAGCACAGCATAGGAGCCTGGCCACACTGGAGAACCTGTGTCCTAGGAAGACTCGATCAGCCCACAACAGACAGCCTTGCTGTTGTCCTTCCCCTTGCAGCCTGCCCCCTTTTTTTGGCTGCTTGTCGCCACAGCTTCTGGTGTGAGGATCAGGCTCCAAAATGGCCCCTCCCCTGAGTCTGTGACTATTGCTGATCATGTGCCAAACCCATCAGCACTGGCATTGCTTTAACCACCAGTGTGCTTTTCTCCTCTCAGAAGGCACAGGAGTGTGGCTATGACCAGTCGATGATGGCTCGCTTCTACAAGCTGCTGGAGGAGAGTGTGGAGCAGAACCAGATCGGCAGACTGCCAGTTGTACAGCTCACTGTTCAGTACCGGATGCACCCAGACATATGTCTCTTCCCTTCCAATTACATTTATAACAAAAGCTTGAAAACAAATAGGTGGGTTTGTGTGTAGGGTTTGCTCCATAGGAGAAACAGCACCTTTACTCTGCTCATTAGTCTTATCATTTTTAAAAAGTCACAAAATTACAATAATTTTCTCTATGTCATCATGTTGATTATACCAAATGCGATGGGTTGCTTTTTTTTTAAATCATTTTTTTGTTCTACGTTGATTGTATAGATTACTTTCTAGCACTAGAACAGAAAGAAAATCTGTCCATACCCATAAAAGGGCTCTCTTGCTCCCTTTCTTTTCCCTTGCCCCTCTGCTCTCCTGCACAGCAAAGAAAGGTTAGGGAGGATGAAATACACAAGATACATTCTGAATGATGACTGCTTTTTTATAGGCTCACTGAAGCCAATCGATGCTCCTCAGACTGGCCATTTCAGCCCTACCTCGTGTTTGATGTCGCAGATGGTTCGGAAAGACGGGACAATGAGTATGCTCCTCCCCTTCTCCCCAGGGGTGTTAAACAATCAGTACTGTTTATGTGTAGCTCTGTATCAGGCATTCCCCTACATATCTTTCTGCCCAGTGTCAAGACACAGTTATTTTCACTTCCCTTATTGGCTCTCTCCCTCCCTCTTCTGTGAACTGGGGCACCGTGCCCTAACTGGGGGCCCCATTAACACTGAGAAGGTGACTGCAGTGAGTGGTACAGACTTGTAAGATGATCGCGGTCTCTTGAGGGGGACCTTCCAGGGTGGTGGCTTGGGTGAAGGAGTGGAGATAGAGTTGAATTAAGGAAAGAATGGGGAAAGACATAAGAGACAATGTGAGACTACTTTGAAGATTTTGAGTTATGAGTCAGGCTGTCTGTGAATGTCAGCAAAAAGAAGTCATGGGATCTGGGAAGGTGGCTCAGTGGTAGAGTGCTTGCCTTACATGCATGGGGCCCTGGGTTCAATTCCTCAGCACCACATAAACAGAAAAGGCTGGACGTGGCGCTGTGGCTCAAGTGGTAGAGAGCTAGCAAGCTCAGGGACAGTGCCCAGGCCCAGAGTTCAAGCCCCACAGCCAGAAAAAAGAAAAACAAAACAAAAAAGAAGTCATGTATTGCCAGGTAACAGACCTGTCAGAGGAGTGCAGTGAGGGGGTGGCATGGAGGCACAGACATTCCTCTCTCATGAACTATGGGACACATGCTCCGCCTCTGAGTCAGAGTGTGTCCATGGAGTAAGGTGGTGGGAGGGGTACATTCATTGAAGAAGTTCAAGTGCAAAGGAGTTTGTTGTCTGATGGCCACACCACAGGGTGTGAAACTTGAAGGTCTCTTTGGAGCCTGCTGGAATAGAGACAGAATGAAGTCCAAGGGCATTGTGGGAGCCAGAGGTCACAAGGATTCTTGACCATAGAGGCCTCATCCAGGAAGCAACCAGGGAAAGTGACTTTGGGGATGGAAGAGCTGGACAGCCACTGGGTTGTCTCTAGTTGCTGAGTCTAGAAGTTGGTTAGGCAAGTGTTTCCTGAAGATCTTTAGAGCAAGAGCCCTGGCACAGTGTGTTCCTGAAGACTCTTAGAGCAAGAGCCCTGGCACAGTGTGTTCTTGAAGACTCTTAGAACAAGAGCACTGGCTCAGTGTATTCATGAAGACTCTTAGAGCAAGGCAGACAAGGACACTGGCACAGTGTATTCATGAAGACTCTTAGAGCAAGAGCACTGGCACAGTGTATTCATGAAGACTCTTAGAGCAAGGCAGACAAGGACACTGGCTCAGTGTATTCATGAAGACTCTTAGAGCAAGGCAGACAAGGACACTGGCACAGTGTGTTGGTGTTGGTGGGGTTGGATCTGGTTGGGGAATGAGGGCTGGGTTGGAGTTGCAGAGTGTGCATGGGGCTGAAAGGGGAAAATGAGGCCCATGTTCAGCTCTGGGGCCATGGAGTGTGACTGGTCCCTCTGTGGGATAGCACATGGTTAGCATGGCCAGTAGGCTTTTTGTTTTGTTTTGTTTTGTTTTTGTTTTTGGTCAGTCATGGGGCTTGAACTCTGGGCCTGGGTGCTGTCCCTCAGCTCTTCAGTCAAGACTAGTGCTTTTCCACTTCAGCCACAGCGCCACTTCTGGTTTTCTGGTAGTTTATTGGAGATAAACTTTCCTGCCCGTGCTGGCTTTGAACTGGGATCCTCAGATCTCAGCCTCCTGAGTAGCTGGATTATAAGTGTGAGCCACTGGCACCCGGCTGCCAATAGGCATTTTTATCAACAAAGATAATGTAGCGGAAGTCCTTTCTCAGTGAGTGTGAGACAGTAAGCCCTTAATGCACACTACCTGTTTATTATTCATATCCTTATTAATGTGTGTGCGGTGACTCATTCTTCCTGTTGCCAACCCTGTCTTAACTGGTCAAGAAAATGGCCCCAACCTCCAGTTAATGCCACACTGTCTTTGTATAACTCTTACGTTTCACTGCGCACCCACCTCTGTGTATTCATGTGTAGAGAATAATGGTCATTATAATGTTTGAAAGATAATTGAAAGATCAATCTTTTTTGTTGTTGTTGTTGTCAGTCGTAGAGCTTGAACTCTGGGCCTGAGAGCTGTCCCTTAGCACTTCAGCTCATGGTTAGCGCTCTACCACTTGAGCCACAGTGCCACTTCCGGTTTTCTGGTGGTTTATTAGGAGTCATGGACTTTCCTGCCTGGGCTGCCTTTGAACCGAGATCCTCAGATCTCAGCCTACTGAGTAGCTAGGATTACAGGTGTGAGTCACTGGTGCCCGGCTAAGATGAATCTTTTATGTTAATGGGAAACAATACTAAATAGAATGAGTTAGCATTTAGACTGCTGTTTTGATTTGTCTTTTCTTTTTCCATCTTGTTTAGCTCCTACGTAAATATTCAAGAAATAAAATTGGTGATGGAAATAATGAAGTTGATTAAAGACAAAAGAAGAGACACTACCTTTCGGAACATTGGCATAATAACCCATTACAAGGCTCAGAAGACGATGATTCAGAAGGACTTAGACAAAGAATTTGATAGGAAAGGGTAAGGTGTTTTAACCTATGTTCCTAGTGTTTGTGTTGAATTTGAAGGCAGTGTAGCAGGAAAGAAGAAAGGAAATGTTAGGAAGTAGTCTGGGTTTGTGTCAGGTGGTTGGAACATAGCACAGCACTAGGAGGTTGTGGCTTGGGCTTTCCTAGACTCGTGCTGGGTAGGTATTGGGTGCTTTGGCCCCAGTAGATAGAGTGCCTCCTGGGAGTCAGAATTCCTATCAGTGGATTATTGACTGGGCTCTCTAGGACTTGTGCTAGTTTTATGGCTTGTTAATCTGAATTCTCATTGTATTGAAACCAGTGAAGTCACATTTTGTTTGAATAAATTAATCCTTTTATGTCCTTATGTGTAGAGATAAGAATGTGTTTTTGTCTTGCCTCTAAAGTAAAAGTAAAGATTAACTATTGGAGCTTAGAACTAGTGGCTCACACCTGTAATCCTAGCTCTCAGGAGGCTGATGAGAGGGAAGATGGTGGTACAAGGCTGGCTCTGGCAGAAAGACTCCCATCTCCAAAATAACCCAACAAAAAAGCAGAGCTGGCGGCCAGGTGCTGATGGTTCACGCCCATAATCTTGGCTACTCAGGAGTTTGAACTCTGTTGAACAAAGTTCAAAGCCGGCTCAGGCAAGTCCATGACACTCTTTTTTTTTTTTTTTTTTGAGGGGGGGGAATCGGTCGCGGGACTTGAACTCTGGGATTGGGCACTGTCACTGTGTTCTTCAGCTCAAGGCGAGCACTCTACCACTTGAGCCACAGCGCCACTTCCAGTTTTCTGGTGGTTTATTGGAGATGAGTCTTACGGACTTTCCTGCCCGGGCTGGCTTTGAGTGTGATCCTTAGATCTCAGCCTCCTGAGTAGCTAAGATTACAGGCGTGAGCCACCAGCACCCAGCAGTCCATGACACTCTTATCTCTAATCATCAGAAAACTGGAAGTGGTGCTTTGGCTCAAGTGGTAGAGCACTGGCCTTGAAGCTGAAGAGCTGAGGGACAGGGCCCAGGCCCAGAGTTCAAGCTGGATGACCGACAAAAAAGCTCAGGGACAGCACTCAGGCCCTGAATTGAAGTCCAGAACCAGCACACAAAAAATTGAGGGCTGAAAGTGTGACTCAGTCAGTGTTAGAGAGTAGAATGGTGAATGGTGGTGCTCATCTGTAATGTTAGCACTTGAGAGGCTCAGGCAGAAGGATTTGAGTTTAAGACACCTGAGCTGCATATCAAGTTCAAAGCCTGTCTAGACTACCTAACAAGATAGTCTCAAAAAATAAAATGTAAAAATTATTGGAAATCTATTAGTTTAAAAGTTTCTTAGAAATTAGCCTGGTGCTGGTGACTCATGCCTGTAATCCTAGCTACTCAGGAGGCTGAGATCTGAGGATCACAGTTCAAAGCCCTCCAATAAAACACCAGAAAACCGAAAGTGGTGCTGTGGCTCAAGTGGTAGAGTGCTAGCTTTGAGCTGAAGAGTTAAGGGACAGTGCTCAGACCCGGAGTTCAAGCCCCACGACTGACAAAAAAGAAAAAAAGTTTCTTAGAAATTATATAATCACTTAATCACAATAAAGAATTTGCAACAACAAAAAAGCGACTAATAGCCAAAAAGGGGGGAAAAAAACTAAAACACATGGAGCTGGGAAGGTGGCTCAGTGGTAGAGCGCTTGCCTTGCATGCATGAGGCCCTGGGTTCGATTCCTCAGCACCACATAAGCAAAGAAAAAAAAAGCCGGAAGTGGCGCTGTGGCTCAAGTGGTAGAGCACTAGCCTTGAGCTGAAGAGCTGAGGGACAGTGCCCAGGCCCAGAGTTCAGGCCCCACAACCGGACCCAAAAAAAAAAAAAAAAAAAACTAAAACACAAAAACTGAAGGAAAAAAAAAGTTTCTTAGAAATACAGAGGAGATTAAAAATGGCCCTGGGGTCGGTGGGGGGAGGGCGCGAGGAGGAGTGTGGAGTGGAGACCTCAACAGATCTATATAACAAGTATCAAAAGAGTAGGAAACAATGGGGTTACACAGCCCAGGGATGAGGGCACCTGCCTGCACAGCTGAGCCTCGCCCCTGCACAAAACCCACCCAGGAGAGGAAGGCTACCTTCAGCCAGTAAGCAAGAGTGCTTGTAAGTCATATATGCCTAAGTCAAGACTCATAGCTTAGGTGATCAGAACTGGCAGTTAACATTTGTCAGAAGCAGATAGCATGTGAGACAGGTGCTCAGCACAGTTAGTTACTTGGGAGATGGGAGTGAGAACCCCAGGATGCCCACGATGAAGCTGGGCTGCTGAGAATGTACACTGGTGAGTCACTGTAGAATACAGTTCAATGATCGCTCAAGAAATTAACAGAAATGCTGCATGGCTCAGCAGCTCCCCTCCTCAGTATATACCCAGAAGGATTTTTCAATGGTCGCATAAAAGCTAGCCAGTGTTTGCAGGAGCATTGGTAATAGACTGGTAATTGGTAATAAAGTGGAAAGGACCCCCAGTCCGTCAGCTGTGAGTGGAATCTTGTGGAATGTTGCGAGAGGACACGCAGCAGGGGAGCCTTTGGAATGTTGGGCTGGGGCATAGCGGCCAGTCACAGGATTGTTCCAGTTCTGTGAAGCTGCTGGATAAGGAGGTGTGTCGCCACGGGAGATGAATGGTTATCAGGGAAGGGGGTGGGCCACAGAGCCCACTGCCTTTTTCTCTTTCCAAGCTGTTTTCCCTTTTGTAAATAGCTCGGCGGAAGTGGACACTGTGGACGCTTTCCAGGGCCGTCAGAAGGACTGCATCATCGTCACCTGTGTCCGGGCCAGTGCCACACAAGGCTCCATTGGGTAGGTAGCCGTCTTGGGCTTCCCCCTTGCTTGCTTGTAACCAGTTAGATCCAGGCGCATCACTGCTAGGCAACACTTCCGCTGGCTTTAGAAAATTCCTTTTGCAAAATCTGAATATCTTGTAAGACATCTTTTTAGAGTTAAGAGTTGTGCAAAAAAGATACACTGTGAAGTCTGCTTTTCCTGTTAAGACTGTTACTGATTTTATGAGTGAAGTCAGTGACCTTTTAGAGGTATATTTTGCACCAGTCTGTAGCTCTCATGCAGTTTTCTGGTTTTTGGTTTTGCTTTGTCTAAGTTCGTTAACTAAGGATTACCTTGAGACTCCTGTGATTATTTACTCCTACAGAAGATTGTTAATTTGTTGAATTATTTTTATATGTGCCAGAACTGGAGCTTAATTAAACCCCAAGCCTTGCATTCTTGCTTTTGCTCAAAGCTGGAGCTCCACCACCTGAACCACAGCTCCACTTGCAGCTTTTTACTAGTTAGAGAGAAGAGTCTCATAGAACTGGGCACTGGTGGCTCACACCTGAAATCCTAGCTACTCAGGAGGCTGAGCTCTGAGGATCAAGGTTTAAAGCCAGCCTGGGCAGGAAAGTCTGAGACTTATTTCTAATTAATCACCAAAAGATATATTTAAATTTCAGATTTAGTAATTGAACTAACATTACTTAGGTGTGAAGGGGGTGTGTATGTGTGTGCGTGTGTGCACGCACACATTCATGCACGCACGCATGCATGTGAGTGAGCTGGTCTGAAGGCTTGAACTCAGGGCATGGACGCTGTCCCTGAGCTTTTTAGCTCAAGGCTAGTGCTTTATCGCTTTAGCCACAGCTTCACTTCAGCTTTTTGGTAGTTAATTGGAAATAAGAGTCTCAAGGACTTTCCTGCCTGGACTGGTTTTGAACCTCTATCCTTAAATCTCAGTTTCCAGAGTAGCTAGGATTATAGGCATGAACCACAGGAATTCAGCTTATTTTTAGGATATTTTTAAGACTTGTTAGGCCAGGTGTGGTGCTGCACCTATAATTCTAGCTCTGGGAAGTTGAGAAGGCTAAGAATTAAAAGGTGAAAGCCAACTATAGCAAGAACTCAACTCAGAAGGGAAGGGTGTGGCTTAAGTGGCTGAGTGCCTGTCTGGAAAGGATCGTGTCCTGAGTTTAGACTCTATACAAAATGTAGGGGAGGAAGTGAGGAGGGGGAGGGAGAAGTGGGAGGGGGGTTCACGCTGATAAATTTTCCAGTATCTCATTTGAGTTCAAATAGGACATTAAAAAGGAATCGCTTTTGACATAAAGCACCAAGGGTTTGGCTTGGTCACACTTTTGTGGCATTAGAAACCAGACACTGAGTTGTGCGGAAGTGGACAGGGTGGCAGGGAAGGTCATCATCCTGTGTCCTGTGTCCCCTTCCAAGTCCAGAAAACCCTTGCATAGGGGAAAATGACTCTCTTTCTGTTGCTTAGATTCCTGGCAAGTTTGCAGAGATTGAATGTCACCATCACCCGAGCCAAGTATAGTCTTTTCATCCTGGGGCACCTGAGGACCCTGATGGTAAGCGCATCCTCAGGCCACGGGCTCCAAACTTGCCTGTTATTACTGTTACCAGCTTGAGGTTTCATTTTTGTTTTTTGTCAAAAAGGAAGTGATCCTGGGCTTCAGAATAAAGCTCAGCCCCAAGGCATGTCCACCCTAGGTTGTGTAGAAGAATGGGCCTGTGCCGGGTGCCGGTGGCTCATGCCTAGCTACTTAGGAGGCTGAGATCTGAGGATCGTGGTTCAAAGTCAGCCCGAGCCGGAAAGTCCATGAGACTCTCATCTCCAATAAACCACTAGAAAACCGGAAGTGGCACTGTGGTTCTAGCGGTAGAGCACTCGCCTTGAGCTGAAGAGCTGAGGGACAGCGCCCAAGCCCAGAGTTCAAGCCTCACAACCGACAAAAAAAAAAAAAAAAAGTCTGTGTCACAGGAGTGTGAAGAAGGCTTAAAAAGCCACACATGCAAAGTGAGCCTCGCCCTCTGGGTGAGGGGCCCAGAGGCCATGGGCAGCAGCACGCACTGTTGTTTTCTGTGGGCCCGTGCCAGCGTGCTCACATCTGGGAGAGGCATGTGCTCTAGGCTTTAGTAGACACAGACCATGAGCTATGCGGGTCATGGCCCCCTAAGCACTAAGCACAGCACTTACTTCCAGTTTGCCTCATTAGGAGAAGGAATTGCCCGGGTTTTCAACAGTCTATGGGCATCTATTTTTTCCCTCCTGTTTCTGTTTGTGCCACCAGAGGGCGTTCAAATGCACCTTCTGTCTCACTGGATTCTCTCCAGGATCTCTCGTCTTGAACACAGCTGGAAAGCTGTGTGCTCCGTACTTTATGTTCCTGATTTTAAGGTTATATGAAAAATCTTTTATTGTAACTAAGTATTGGTAAAGCTTATGATTCTTTTTTTTTTTTTTTTTTTTTGGTCGGTCGTGGGGCTTGAACTCTGGGCCTGGGCGCTGTCCCTCAGCTCTTCAGCTCAAGGCGAGCACTCTACCACTTGAGCCACAGCGCCACTTCCGGTTTTGTGGTGGTTTATTGGAGATAGGAGTCTCATGGTCTCTCCTGCCCGGGCTGGCTTTGAACCGCGATCCTCAGGTCTCAGCCTCCTGAGTAGCTAGGATTACAGGCGTGAGCCACCAGCGCCCGGCAAGCTTATGATTCTTAAGTGTTAAAAATACTGATATTTTCAAATAAAATGATGGTCTGGGATGTATTCATTGGGTAAGGGTATATGTAAGGCCCTGGGTTTAATCCCAGCACTAAAGAAAAAAGAAAAAGACGATAAGGTAAAATAAAATGGATTAAAAATACAACTGTTAGAGCTTTGTGCTAGAGGCCTATCATATTTTTTTTTTCCTTTCGGCCGTGGGGCTTGAACTCTGGGCCTGCGTGCTGTCCCTCAGCTCGTCAGCTCAAGGCTAGCGCTGTACTACTTGAACCACAGCACCACTTCCAGTGTTGTTGTGGTTAATTGGAGATAAGAGTCTCACGGACTTTCCTGACCAGATTGGCTTTGAACTGTGATCCTCAGATCTCAGCCTCCTGAGTAGCTAGGATGACAGGCGTGAGTGAGCCACCCGTGCTTGGCTAGAGGTCTACCATATTTATAATCCTAGCTACTTAAGAGGCTGAGATCTGAAAACCAAACCACAGTTTGAAGCCTGTGAGACTCTTTTATCTCCAGTTAACCAACTTGAGGTGGGGCTCAAGTGGTAGAGCATTACTAGCCTTTAGTAAAAAAGTTAAGGGAGAGTGCCAAGTCTCTCAGTTCAAGGCCTTAGTACTGGCACAAAAAGAACTCTTTTTTGTAGTCTTAGGATTGGATTCAAGTTTCAGTGTCTTGGGCTCAGGAAAAAAGTCAAGACCTCTCCTGTGAGATTGCGCAGGCTGCCAGTCTCCGGAAGTCTCCTTAGTTGAGGTAGAGCCCAGCCCCCGTCAGCCTGGGACCTGGGACCCGCTCCCGCTCCCGCTCCCGCGGGGAGGGATGGTAGGCCGCACCGTCACCATGCCTCGTGCTGTGCCCACGTGACCTCCTTTAGCCTGGCCAGACCCTCGGGAGCATAGTGGGCATCCTTGCTAGTTCCCACCCCAAGGCACTGATACGCCAGTGTTCTTTCATTTAGATCTTGGTTTTAGTTTCACTTAAAGGACGGTTTCAGGCCCTTTTTGACAGACTTGTATTCACCTCAGTCTTGTTCATGCGTAAAAGTTGAAAATACAAACGAAAGGATAGGAAGGATATTCCCAAAGGTGTGGTTTGTCCCATGCGCTCGTGGTTGTGAAGCAGCAGTGGACTGCAGGAACGGGTCTCGGGTGTGCTCCTGGTTCTGGTGCTGCTCTGTCTCCTGCTCCTCTGGACAATAGACAGAGTGGGGCCGGATCTTGGGACCCTCCCCCGTCCCCGCCCCCTCCCCGGGGGGGCTTCAGCCGGGGAGCCTCTGAGAAGCCAGGCAGAGCTCCCAGCTGCTTTCTCCGAGAGTCAGGTACTGCAGTTGCCTTCTGCAGCCAGCTTCCTGCAGGGGAGCAGAGCGCTGTCCGTCCTCACGGCTGGCCCCTGCAGAAGAGGGTGGCACGAGAGCCAGAGCTCATTCCGAGTGCTTTCTAACAGTGTCCCGTCATCATTTGGTCTTGGGTGGCATGTCAGGAGTCCTGAGCAAGCCGCTGACGCCTGGCAGCACACGTGCTGTGTGTTCAGAGGCGGGAACTGGGACCCCACGTTCCCCCAGCAGCGAGTCATTGTTTCTCTCTCTTTTCAGGAAAATGAGCACTGGAATCAACTGATTCAGGATGCCCAGAAGCGAGGGGCCATAGTCAAGACCTACGACAAGAACTACAAGCACGATGCAGCGAAGATTATGAAGCTCAAGCCTGTGCTGCAGAGGGGCCTGAGCCACCCCCCCACCACGGCCCCAGAGGTGGCCAGGCCCCAGGGCGGCCTGCCCAGCAGCAAGCTGGACGGCGCACTCGCCACCACCTCTTTTGCTGCTTCTCTCTATCACACGCCCTCCAACTCCAAGGAAGCACCTGTCACCATCACCTCAAATGGCCCCGAAAGGTCTTGTCTTCAGGAGCGCCTGAGGGACCCACGACTCTTTAGAAGGTTGGAGCTTGATGCCAAGGGGGTGTTCCCCAGGGATCCACAGCCGTCTAGCCCCCAGCATTCTGGGGCAACCCCTCCCTTGGGAGAGCCAGGCTTTCCCATGAGTCACCAGGACCAGGGTGGCAGGGGGTCCACTACCAAAGCGGCTCCTGTGAGCAGTGCCAGGTCTCTCCCGCAGGCCAGGCCTCCGGCTCCCAGCCATGCCGGGCCTACCAGCGGAAGGAGGTGCAGGAACCCGGAGCCGGGGCTGAGCTACAGGCGGGAGACCAGGGCTTTTAGCAGGGGCGAGCAGGAGAGGTACAGCTCGGTGTCCTACTATCCAAAGAGGAACTCTTACTGGCCCAGAAGGGGGCCCGAGGAGGACAGTGGTGCCAAGAAGAGACGGCTTTTATAGTGAAGCCGAGCACTGGGCCGGCAGCCACAGCACAGCTGTAAGCATGCCAAGACCAGCTAGCAGAAACATCAGACGGTTTTCGGTTTTTGTGTTCTGTTTTATTTTGCTTTTTCCTTAAAGAGTTTGTGTGCTGCCGGAAAACAAGCGCGTCTCAACACCTGAGCCTTCAATCATCTTCACTACTTTTTCTCCATTTGGAAAGCCTTCAGAGGGCGTCTGTGTACACACGCCTTGGCGGTGAGACTCCATGTGGAACTCGGCTCTGGCGTGGGAAGAGAGGTCAGATGGAGCAAATGTTGTAAAGGTTGAGATGTATATTTGTATAGCAAATTAACAAATTGTTTTGAGAATGTAATCTGGTAGACCACTTTTCTTTTCCCCTGCTTAAAATGTTGTATAGCACATTAACAAAACCTTTGGAGAATTTGATCTGGTAGACCGCTTTTCTTTCCCCTTGCTTAAATCATTTTTCAACAGAATGAACTAAGAGAAGAAGAAAAAATGAGCAGAGGGCAGGCCGCAGGCCCTTTGAGCCGCGGTTCTGTGCTTTGGGAGTGAGCTGGCATTGGTGGGTGCTGGGACTGGAGGCGTAGTCACGTTAGGGTCATTCCGCTAACCGTGACGAGTTCACTTACCCTTTTAGTATGCTCTTCTTACAATAATAGATTCTAGATGGAAGCATCATTTCTGAATTGTTACTCAGATTGGGAGCTCTGTGTTGCCGAATGTGAGCTGGCCAGCCGACCAGGCTGCAGCTTTCCACGGTCCCCCTGCCCAGACAGTCTGGAACTATCCGTGCAAAATGAAATGCTCTTTGAAGTAAAGGAAGCAGTGGGGCTGGGGAAGAGCCGCCAGCTGTGCTGTGCCCTTCCGGAGCCATCTGGTTGATGGCGGGTTATGCTCAGGTCAGGGAGGGGCTGCCTGATCTGTCCATACCCCCAGTGTCCCAACATGTGACAGGGGTTTGCAGTGCGTGCTCTGCCCGCCCCGCAGGGCGCTGGGGGCAGGGACACATCTCCTGAAGAAGTTTCTGTGGCCTTTGCTTTTAAGCAAATACAGTTTTGACTTAGAAATTCTATTGAGGCAGAGTTGAGAAAACAATGACGGCCCAAGTGCCGGCGTTGCATTTCCTCCTGTGGGACAGCAGGGGGCGCACCTCTCCAGTGCTGCGCCCCTGGGCCTCAGTGCTGTCCGGTGTTTGGCCAGGCCGGGCAGGGGTCCCTGACGGGGGGCAAGAATCTCCCTGTTCCTCTGCAGTTTCCTCTTCTGGGATCTTAGGAGAAGAGTGTGGTTTAACAAAGACATGGGTTTTCAAAGGAGGCGTGACAAAAACAGGTGTGGACTCGGCCTCCTGCTCTGCTCTTAATGACACAGCCCTTAAGAAGTTGGGTTTTCCGAATGTGGGCTTCCGGCCCCACGCTGGAGGCCTGGGAGCCTCCGTGCCCAGTGGCACACCACGTACGCACCGCACCGCACCACACCACACCGCACACGCAGAGGTGAGCAGAGTTGCATCCTCCTCGTGGTTTTTTTTTTCTTTTCTGTTTCTTTTTTCCCCCAGTGAGCTCAGGGCCTTGGGCCTGCGAGGCAAGCACTGGGCCTGAGCCACACGCAGCCAGGCGCCACCGTCCTGAGAACAAGCCTGGGTCCCAGTCCAGCCTCAGCAGAACGTACTGGTGTTTCACATCATATTTAAAACTCCGTTCCAATGGGTAAAAAGCATTGCCAAAAGGTCGTGTCCCGAGGCTGTGGTGCGGGGAGGTTGCGGGGAGGTGGGTAGGAGGCCTTGCCATGGCTCTCGAAGGAGGCGCCCTGCTTCCGCCGACCCTGCCCGTTTGGAAGGAACGTGTTCGACTTGAAAAGCCCCTTCTGCTTCTTGGCGTATCATTTTCTCGGGATTTACTCTGCAGTTCATTTTGGTGTATGTTTTTGAGAATTATTTGGAGCAAATATGATAAGTATGTTAATAACATCCTGTAAATGAATTTTGTAACAAAGTTGTACTAAACTATTTTCCAAAACTAGTTGTGCCAATTTTTCTGTCGTGGCTTTCCTTCCTGTCCTACAGACTCACAGCTGGGTTTGAGCAAACAGCCCTCTTGCCTTTGAAGAATTAAAAGTAGAAACAAGAAGCCTGCGTGGGTTAGAAGTTCTGTGGCTGACTGAAGGCCCCGGAGTAACAGACACTCCTGCCTGGCCTCCGTCCACGCCATTGCTCGTGTGCCAGGATACGCCAGGCGCTGGCGGTGCAGGCAAGGCTGCGCCCACCGCCACGTTCCCCACGCCAGGGAGCGCGGGGCTTCCGGCCCACCATCTTGGGGTGTTGCGCATGTATCTGGCAGAAGTGGAGGCTCATTGTTAAGCTGAGGACGAGGAGGGAGGAGGAATGAGCCACTTAGCAGTGCCTGCCACTGCCACGTGCCTGGAGACCCCTCCACATTATCCCTCCAACCACTCCCTCCATCCCCTCCATCCCTCCATCCCCTCCATCCTCTCCATCCCTCCATCCCCTCCATCCCTCCCTCCTCTCCATCCCTCCATCCCCTCCATCCCTCCATCCCTCCATCCCTCTATCCCCTCCATCCTCTCCATCCCTCCATCCCCTCCATCCCTCCCTCCTCTCCATCCCTCCATCCCCTCCATCCCCTCCATCCCTCCATCCCTCTATCCCCTCCATCCTCTCCATCCCTCCATCCCCTCCATCCCTCCATCTTCTCCATCCCTTCCATCCCCTCCATCCCTCCATCCACTCTATCCCTCCATCCCTCCCTCCTCTCCATCCCTCCCTCCCCTCCATCCCTCCATCCCCTCCATCCTCTCCATCCCTCCATCCCTCCATCCCTCCATCCCCTCCATTCTCTCCATCCCTCCATCCCCTCCATCCTCTCCATCCCTCCCTCCCCTCCATCCCTCCATCCCCTCCATCCTCTCCATCCCTCCATCCCCTCCATCCTCCCCATCCCCTCCATCCCTCCATCTCCATCCTCCCCATCCCCTCCATCCTCTCCATCCCTCCATCCCCTCCATCCCTCCATCCCCTCCATTCTCTCCATCCCTCCATCCCCTCCATCCTCTCCATCCCTCCCTCCCCTCCATCCCTCCATCCCCTCCATCCTCTCCATCCCTCCATCCCCTCCATCCCTCCATCCTCCCCATCCCCTCCATCCCCTCCATCCCTCCATCTCCATCCTCCCCATCCCCTCCATCCTCTCCATCCCTCCATCCCCTCCATCCCTCCATCCTCCCCATCCCCTCCATCCCTCCATCTCCATCCTCCCCATCCCCTCCATCCCTCCATCCCCTCCATCCCTCCATCTCCATCTTCTCCATCCCCTCTATCCCTACCACCCCTCCATCCTGATCCCTCCATTCTTCCATCCTCTCCACGTTATCCCTCCAACCACTCCATCCCCTCCATTCCTCCATCCCTTCATCCCCTCCATCTCTCCATCCCCTCCATCCCCTCCATCCTCTCCATCCCTCCATCCCCTCCATCCCTCCATCCTCTCCATCCCTCCATCCCTCCATCCTCTCCATCCCTCCATCTTCTCCATCCTCTCCATCCCTCCATCCCCTCCATCCCTCCATCCCTCTCTCCTCTCCATCCCTCCATCCCCATACATCCCTTCCTCTCCTCCATCCCTTCCTCTCTCCCTCTGTGGAGTTGCTCATTGTGGTTACTGGAGCCACAACCAAGTGAGCACAGTTCCCTGCAATTGTCCCTCCTCCTGGGTCTCACCACTCACTAGGAATAAATAATTCAGGGAGGAAGCTAAAATTTACCTTCAGCTTAAATAGAATTTAATATTGTGTGACACACAGGCAGTTTGTGCACCCCAGGGTTCCACCGTAACTCATGGAAGACGTGAGCTCTTGTTGCGGGTCCTGCGATGTGCACAGACGTCTGCCATGGCAGTGGGGTGAACAGTGCCATTAGACAGGGCCTCTGGACCCACGGGGGGAAGTATGCCCTTGTGGGGTGCCCTAAACACTGATGGACACAACTATGGTGTCGGCAGCCCTGCTGTGGATGGGGCTGCCACACTGACGACACTGGGAAGCTGGTGTCCAGAGGGTTTGCCCTCGCCCAGGGTGCCATGGAGCCACTGGCATTGCAGCTTGGCCCTGTGGGCAGCAGGAAGCAGAGCAGCCCTGGATGCCCACAGGGGCCCACGAAAAACCCATGCCATCTACTTCTGTCCAGAAGGGAGCTGCCCAGGTGAATGAGAGCACATGGGCCCAGGGGGGGAGGGGCTGTGGGGGGGGTGGGTAAGGAAGTGCCCGGTGGACAAGGTCCTGTGGGACTCAGTGGCTGCAAGGTCTCAAAAGGGTGAATATCCCCGCTGGGGGTGCTGGCCTCTGTGGAGACACTCATCTCCCGAGTCAGCAGCCTTCTACCCTTGGCGATCCAGCCATCCTTGCTCTCCCAACCTTTGAGAACAGTGCAGATTGTCCTGGCACCCTTGTGCATGGCAGTCACCATGGTGACTGAGGCCTGTGGGCCCTGTCTGCATTCCCATCTGTGTGTCCAGCCCCTCCAGCCTCCCTCTCCCTTACCTGAAGGGAGGGATGCTGCCCCACTGGGCAGTGCTGGGGGCGGGGCGGGGCGGGGCGGGGGGGGGGGGCAGAGCTGGGGGCGGGGCGGGGCGGGGGCGCAGAGCTGGGGGTGGGGGCGGGGCGGGGGGCAGAGCCCTGGCAGTGGATGCTTACTGATGCTGACTCCACACCTGGCCCTGTTCTCAACTCTAGAAGTACTCACTGGCTTGCTCCTTGGGATGGGCCTGGGATTTCCAATTTGCAGCATCCCATTTCAGAGCTAAGCGTCTGAGTCACCTGCTGGAGGTCACCCAGCAGCTAGGGAGTGCAGACAGCTCCACACACACACAGCCCCTGCCCTTGGCTGCTACTACTGTGCCCTTTGCAGACGTCCTTCAACCGATGCAGCCCTGTAGGTATCGAGTCCCATGCTCCAGCCCAGCCTAGCTGTCCTTGCTGCATCCCGAGGGTCATTCGCTTATTTAGCCAAGGACTGAGGATGCTACCTGGTCATCTGCAGGCTTCCAGCCTTAGGCTGCCCTTATAGGGCACAGTCTCCTGGGCCACCAGCAGCACAGCCTTGGGGGCTGGGAGGTCTGTGTGGAGCTGACCAGGCTGGGTGGGAGGAGGGCAGAATCAGTGAAGGTCTGCATTTTTTTTTTTTTTTTTGTCGGTCATGGGGCTTGAACTCTGGGCTTGGGCGCTGTCCCCAGCTCTTCAACTCAAGGCGAGTGCTCTGCCACTTGAGCCACAGCGCCACTTCCAGTTTTCGAGTGGTTTATTGGAGATAAGAGTCTCATGGACTTTCCTGGCCGCGCTGGCTTTGAACCAAGATCCTCAGATCTCAGCCTCCTTAGTAGCTAGGATTACAGGCGTGAGCCACTGGCATCCGGCTCCTGGGAGACTCAACTCCAATGAACCACCAAAAAGCTGGAAGTAAAGCTGTGGACCAAGTGGTAGTTGGAATGCCAGCCTTGAGTAAAAAAGCTAAAATGACATGGGCTGGGCATGTGGCCTAGAGGTAGAGTGCTTGCCTAGCATTCATGAAGCCCGGGGTTTGAGTCCTCAGTATCATATACACAGAAAAAGCCGAAAGTGGCTCTGTGGCTCAAGTGGTAGAGTGTTAGCCTTGAGCTTAAGAGTACAGGGACAGCGTCTAGGCCCAGAGTTCAAGAAGCCCCAGCACAGAGAGTTAAGGCCATCATCCTGGGATATAAAGCCAAGTCCTGTCTCAGAAATAAATGACCATTCGTTTGCTTTTCTGTCTTTTTTAACTTCCCTACAAGTTGTGATGTGTGTGCTACAAAGGAGAAAGAGGGAAGAGATGTTTCTCTACCTCAGCCCCTTTACCTCTCCCTGCCGGGATGAACTGGGGTGGGCTGGAGTTCCTTGAGGGCAGCAGGATGGGAACCTCCTTCCCCCCTGGCCTCCCAGGCCTGCTGGAGAAGCTGCGCTGCTCCCCAGGGGGCCCACAAATGTCTGGTGACTGTGAGGCATGACAGGAGGGCTGCTGACACAGCAGTCGTTTGTTGTTTGTCTGGAGGACTGAAGGCACAGCGGGGCAGGGTGGGGCCAGGCCCCCAGGAGGGCTGGAGGGGGGGAGGCAGGGAGGGGGGAGGGGGGAGCCATGCCCTGGCTGTAGCCAAGCTATTGGGATGAAGCCTGGCTCCCCTAGGGCTCCTTGCAGAAGGGAGGGGAGGGAGGTGGAGGGGCAGAGCCGGGCTGCCTGATGGATGCCTGAGCTCTTCATAGCTGAACTCTGGGCCTGGGCGCTGTCCCTCAGCTCTTCAGCTTTTCAGCTCAAGGCGAGCGCTCTGCTATTGAGCCAAGCACCACTTCCAGCTTTCTGGTGGTTTATTGGAGCTAAGAGTCTCACGGCCTTTCCTCCTGGGCTGGCTTTGAACCTCAATCTTCAGATCTCAGCCTCCCTGAGCAGCTAGGATGACAGGCGTGAGCCACCTGCGTCCGGCTCAGCCCAGCATTTTTGGCTGGTTATTTCAGAAGCAGCATTTCGTCCATTTTTCCGCCCAGGCTAGCTTTGGGAGCCACGATCCTCCCGGTCTCAGCCTCCTGAGCAGCCAGGATTATAAGCAGGAGCCACCAGGCGCTGGTTCCTAACCCGCGCCCCCTCCTAATCTCCGCTCCTTATAAGCAGTCATTCATTCAAACTCGGGGCAGTTCTGACCTGAGTGGCCTGGGAGAGGCTCTGGTGTCTCATTCCCACACCCGAGCCTCAGTGCAGACCCTCCAACTCTCCACTGAGAATTTCCCGGAACCCAAGGCCAAGGGTGCCAGGGCGGGGCTGAGGTCAGCTGACTCGGTCCTGGCTCCTGACCTGGAGCCTTGTCTCTCTCTGGGGCTGTGTGGCACCAGATGGGGGAACCTGAGCTCTGGGCCTGGGGGCTGCAGCACGCGCCAAGCTGGCTGTGACCTTGCTTGCTCCTCCCCATGTCTGGAAGATAATGGGTTTTCCACAGGGCCATGGGCA